TAATGTTTGTGACATGATCTTTGACTCTTTAAATGACTTAAATATTTACCGGAAAGATATGAATGTTGTGTCATAGAAGATTATTTTTAAGGTATGGTGCGTCTTTGCGCGATATTTGTGTTAACTTTTACGCATACGCTAAGTTCAGTCTTTCAAGCGAAGACTCACTCATATATAAACAAAATGTATTTGTGAAACAGTGATGCCCCCGTATAGCAACACAGCGAAGATTAAACTTATCTTAAATGTAGTGTTGGCAAATCGGACGATTTTTTGTAATACTCGCTTTAATCGAGTACCCGGTTAATATTTTTGGTAAAAGTATCAATATCTATTATTTATCTTATTCTATACTTATCGGTAGTAGTGATGCACAAATATACTGTATAGGGACATTATATTTATAATACACACATATACGATATCGTCAAAGATTTACGATTTTAAAATAAAGAAAATGAATAGGGAATTAGACACACAAAGAAGACAAATAAATAAGTCATCGTCAATCACCATTTTACACTTTCTTTTTCAGTCCCTGAAACATGTCGCAATCAAGGAGAATAATTATTTCATGCTCCATTATTAATAGTTATTATGTGGAGTGTCCAGTAAATCGCTGGTTTCGGAATAATTTAAGTTTAGGTGATTTAACAGATTTTGAATCAGCTGTTCTTTTGTTACAACTCCAAGCTTATTATGTCGGCGGCGGCATCTCGTTTAATTATCAAATGAGGTAATTATAATTCAGGCTTTCAAAATATGTATACCCCGAGCTATCAAAACTATCAATTAAATAAACTGTGAAAACTAATAAAAACAATTTGATTCACTTCAAACATGCACAAGATCAAGTCTAACGGTACCTAGAATAAGGGAAATGTGTAAGTTAGTATATATTTTCAGATTATAATTCATTCATTTTCTATGCCTTTACTTTGTAGAATTAAATTTATCCGAGTAACCGAATAGCAGTTTTACTAACCGATACTCGCAACGTTCGACGGTTAACCGGTTAACCGGGTACTCGTTGCCAACACTACTTAAATGCAAATCAAATATATTAGTACCAAAACTAGGGTTTTATCTGACTCACAAGAAATACATTTGTGAAATATGAAAGCTATAGCACCACTTGTTCAAAAGTTGGCCAAGGATAAGTTTTTGAAAGGTAGGTCAAACTCCAGGGTCAAGGTCAAAGAGTCAACTTTGTTGGTTTCTAGTTTCTTAAGAAAGGTCTTGTCACAAATATTACATATGTGAAGTATAAAAGCCCACACTTTAAAAAGTAGGTCAAACCCCAAGTTCAAGGTCTAAATTCTTGATATCCAATGAAAGGTATTGTCACAAGGATTGAATTTGTGAAATATGAATGCCCTAGCCGTTCAAAAGTTATAGTCAAGGTTTGTTTTTTTTTTAAAGTAGGTCAAACTCCAAGGTCAAAGGGTCAAAGTTCTTGGTATCATGAAGGGTATTCTCACAAGGATTATATATGTGAAAAAATGAAAGCCCTAGCCTTTACCGTCCAAAGCCTGTGGCCAAGGTTAAAGTTTTTTCATAAGTACTGAAATCTCCAAGGTCAATGTCAAAAGGTCAAATTTGTTGGTATCCAATGAAAGGTCTTGCCACAAAGAATACTTATGTGAAATATGAAAGTCTTACTATTTACAGTTAAAGAGTTATGGCCAACGTAAATGTTTGGTATTTTTGTGGAAAAGTGGGTCAAACTCCAAGGTCAAGTTGAAAAAGTCAAATTTGGTGATACTCAAAGAAAAGTCTTGTCACAAGGAATACACATGTGAAATATGAAAGTCATAGCTCCTCTAAATCAAAAGTTATGGGCAAGGTTAAAGTTTTTGCGGACAAACAGACAGACAGACAGACGGACGGACACGACAAAAATTATATACCCTCGAATCTTCGATTAAGGGGGCATAAAAACTGTTGAAGTGAAAAGAAATGATCATTTTCGACTTCTTTTATATGTGTATGCTATTTCATACAATAATTTTTTTTTTTTAATTTTTGTGATATTGTTGAATGATTTCGCATAAGGTATGCGTCAAAAGGAGCAAACAAGACAAAGACGGCACAGGTTAACCTTGTGATTCGTGGGTCCCGTAAACGTATTCGCCGATAACAATCGTATTTTGTACTTAAATTAGAAAATGAATGGTAGAATATATTTTAATCATGTTAACATTTTGAAGAGGTTATTGTATAACAACACTCCATCAAAGGGATTTACAAAATTTTTATTATTCGGTTTACTGATAATTGAAGCTTGGATTTTTCATTGAAGTCAAACTGTGGATGTGACCGGTAGGCAGGGGATGCTCACTCCTCCATCGCACCTGATCCCACCTCTGATGTTTTGGAGGTTTGTGTTTGCTCTGCTCCTATTCTATATCGTTTTTATGGACTTTTGATCTTGAATACTGTTTGTTATCTCCATATGTTTCATTGTAAAAAGTAATTTGAATTTCATCCATATCTCTTGGCTCTGAAATGCGTGTGTACAGACTTTGAAAATAATTTGTCCTTAAAATATTGAAAATAAATAAACTGTCATCAGCTAGAAAAAAAATAATTTGTCCTTGACTGGCATTACTTCTCCCTCCCCTTTCTCTCCACAGGTTCAATAGTTAACAATGATCATAGGCCATCAACCTTAGGAGATTTATTTGGGATGAACTGTCCTTTCTAAAAAACTACTTCATGTACATGTATATTTATAAAGCGCTGCTCTTGGGACTCCACTTATTCTGGAACCCCAAGCTCCATATAGAGTTTGAGGGCCAATGATCAATAAATCTTGTAAATAGTCATAATCTCAATAATCATATTTCAAATTTAGACTATAGAACACTTTGACAGAATTTTCATCGCCTTTTTCAAAACCAGAAGCGTTAACAATTAGCTGTTGTGGAACTTCTGTATATGGGAACAAATTTGATGACGCAGAACAAGGGTTATCACTTAGGAGCTACACGGACGGACAATGCTCCGATACAGTGCGCATTGAAGGCAGGATTGAATAGGCCGTCACACTGGTATGCATTAATAATGGATGATTTGAGTCCTTTTTGTGTTGAGAGCTTATAAAGTATAAAAACAGGTAAATTAAAAAGTTTGGACTTATTCACCACTTGCTGAGCGATTCATCAACTTTGATCAGGTATATGCACGGCTTGGGTCTTGCCCAAAGAAGGTGTACTTTTGATTTACAACACCTCTCATAAATAGTGCTGGAGCCTCTCACGCACAGGTGAACAGCGGTGAGGGGCTTTTGCCTTTGAGGATTCCGGAGCACCTTGGGTAAATAAAACATACATATCGGTAGAGATCGGAGATGGATTTACAAACTCTCGAGATTAAGGTTATATTATCTTCTAAGGATTAAATTGACATTCAATGAATATCAACAAACGATCAGTGCTTTTTCAATATTGATATAAGCAAATACTTTTCATTTTCTCACTTGTTGGCGAGACTTGCATTAGGATTTATTTTTGTTGGACGTACTTTGGTAAAAATTGAGTTGAGAGGATTAATGTCTGGCGATGTCCCAGTTAAATTACGATTTCGTGGGGGTGTCGTCCACCCAGCTTCCTTATGTTCATGACAGCTTCCCTGCCGGGTCAAGAATCAGCGCCGTTAAGTATAACACCATGCGGAGTGTCCAGCGACCCAGAAACATGGTCTACACAGACCCGCAAGAAACGAACAAGGACAAACACGGACTACGTCTTCCACAGTTACAAATTCATAGACATGCCGCAAGGAGAAAGATGGACAACGGTGGAACAACAAATGTGGAGCGCCAGAAGGCTTATTTCCGATTGAAGGGTATCCCCCTTCATCAAGTGTACTCCTTACACCGTGCCAAAACTGACCGCATTGACAATGACCAAAGGTCTCTAAATGGACTCAAAAATACAAGCGTGTCTTTGACAAGTCTTTGGAAGGACCCAACTATTCTTCAAAATGAACTTACAAGCATTGATTTAGCTGACACCGATTCTTCTCGGACCAGTGATTTCAGTGAATTTGGTGCGTTTTCGCGCAAAAGCCGATTGCAGGAAATGGACAGAGAATCCCCTGTCCCCGGGGTGCTACCGGGGAGAAAATCAAGGGGTCGAAAAAGTCGCAAATTAGGGAACATCGTGTCCTCCAAACGTCTTCAACAATTACTGGACAGTGATGACCCTTTAGATCCGGACGCCTTCTATCATCGCTAGAGATAATTATTTATTCAACATTTCACACTACTTTTTTACCCGAGCAAAATATTGCTTGTAGATTTCACGATTAAATTATATTGACACGTCAGCTAAAAAAAAATTTCAATAAATCTCAACAAGTTATGAGAAAATCTTTCAGCATAATTTGTGTTGGATTTAGAAAAACTAATTTCACGAGTCAGAAATGAGAGGTAACGTTTTCCTACTTAAATTATTTACTTATCTTTCTCTATCAAAACTTGAACAAAGCATACAATTCCTACTGAACTAAATAGTCTGTCAACGGTCTGGCACATCTAGAGATCGAGTAATAATGAAAAACGATAATCGTTTAGCAAACACCATTTATTCATTTTGAATGTGTGTTGTTGTGCAGTGCCAGCTAGTTTTAATCATACACTAGGTGCAAGAACTTTTATTGAGAAAAAATCTTAACTACAAAACTATCAAAGTAATTTCAACACATGACCCACACAATAAAATACATCAGTAAAGTAATTTAATCTCGATATTTTGAATCAAAATCAAAAACTGAATTTTGAAAGTCTTTGCCATTATCTGGAATAATACGTTAAGACATGTAATGAATAACTTTAAGATCTCTTCCTCACTCTATTAATATCTACAAACTATAATGCTGTACACAAATAACAAAGATAAAAAGTACATCAACAGTTGTCAGGTATTCGGTAAAATTTAAATGATTCTCTGGTTATAATTGAAACAATGAAAGGCACTTTTTACACAAATAACAGATTATTTATTAACCACAAGATGTAACTAAAATTTTGGGATATGATATCTTAAGCTGTCAACTATCATTTGGCAGAGAAAAAATTCAAAAATTTTAGATTTAAAATTTGATCATTTTATTATATCTTTAATATGGAGCTCTTCTTTTAAAGGAGATCAAAATAGTCTAAAAATGGCCACAACCACCCAGCCCCCTTAAATAAGTAAAATACCGAGACTGGTAAACCATACGTTATATATTTATTCTTTAAAAAATGTGATGTCAATATCAGACTAGTAATATATGCCACTCAGGCTTCAAATTCAAGTTTTTTCTCAAGTTTGATTATTTTCAATTATGCAAATATGCAAGTTGAACCATGCATACATGTATACAAAAAAATGTAAACTATGAAAATAAAGGTACAATAAGGAATATTTTCGCCTCCGTTACATTTTCACCCTTTTGACATATGCACAGGTGGACATATTTAAGACGATGTGAATTCAAAGAAGACAGTAAAATACCTATAACAAAATTGTGACCGGGCGAATTTAAAAGGGACAAAATTGTGAAAGAGCGAAAATAACACAAAATAACAATAACCCTGTACACAGTATTTAATATGACTATTTATAGGACCAATACCATAATTAAATTCAAATTATGTATATCAACATTTTTGTACCGGTATGATAAGAAAAGTAATTTAGTGCATGTATTTGTGTATTGTAGCAGAGTTAGAGCATATGGTCCAAGTTTATCAAATAACTTTTATGAAAACAAAAGAGAATATACTTATATGCATTGTCGCAAACCACAGCTTGCGACTTTGACATACATGTATATGTGGACATTTTTTGTATATACTATTACACTGTTTTTTGAAAAATAAAATTAGCTGTCGTTGACGCTTGAAGTACCAATAAACATGTACTGAATTTTCACGCGAATTAATAGCCATTCTCTGTAACCACTTAAACTTCGTTGCCACGCATGGTCACCGATTTTAATGAAAAATGCTTGATCACAGCAGAAACAAATATCAAACAAAATCGTTGCTAATTCGGTTGGTTCCGGAAAAGTTTGAAAAATTGTTTTTCAGCCACTTTAAATCTTGACTGTGGCTTAATAAAAACTCGAAAAAGCAAACAAACCATTCTCACAAAAACATGACACCTTGATGTCACTTAAACTGTAAAGAAACTGTTTATAATATATCTCTACGTAAGTGGTAACAAAGGGTACATTTGGAATACATCTAAAATGCTGAAATATGCTGAAAAACACTCCGTATTCACTTATGGTAGGTGTTACATGCTAAAACTAAAGACTTAAGAAAAACAATGAAAATGTTTGACCTTAAGTATATAAGTATAAGCAATATTATTCTATAAATAACTTTTATGGTTACCATGGTAACACAGTGTAACCATGCAAACCAGTAACTAAGATTGGGTTAATGCTACTGTCTTGAGGAAAAACATGAAAATTAAAGACTGGCAAATATGCATCCTTAGGACCTTGCAACACCAAAACCATAAAAAAATGGGTATAATTGCTACTTTGTAGTGTTACCATGGAAACAAAGTACCAGTGCTTAAAAGTGAATTTTTTTTCGCTGCATTAAGAGTTAAATTGCCGTATAATCAAGAAACAAATTAAAGGACTCAGCTTGAATTGCACTTATCTGTTAGAACTGAAGTTGAATATCATATATTGATAAAATTTGATGAAGAAAACAACACTGTTGCTATGGTTACCAAGAAGGGAAAATGTTCGATTTTATGAACTTTATATCAATATTAAAGTGTGCCAACTTCTTGCATCCACTTAGAAATTGGATGATAGTCAAAATTAAAAGTCAGGTTACTTGTTAATAAATATCAATCATAAAAGTTTTGGGAATCTACATTTAATCAAGGAAAGAAAATATTTTTCAGGTTTTTAAGCATATTTTCTGCTTATTTCCATAGCAAGCTCTATTTAAAGAATCTAATCTGAATTTTTTCAAATGGAAAAACTACTAGCACACCAACATGTTTTAAAATTGATCATTAGTTATGAGGAAATGTGCTTTTTTAAAAGATAGGATCAGATTTAAACATACAGAGTGTTACTTTGAAGGCTCTCTGTGGTATAAAAATCCTGCCAACCAAAATAAAATATAAGGTATATGTTTCAAAACATCCTATAAATGATTTTTATTTTTACGTGTAGGACTTTATAAAATTCAATTAATATTTTTTTTTTTAGTTTTGAATAATTTGTTACCATAGTAACGTATATAATAGTTGATTTACCAAACATGTTTATCATGCATTTGAGACATCTGACCTTCAACTTTTGCATACAGTCATTGCCAATTGTTTGCTTTGCCGCAAATGTTAACTATGGGGCTCTAAACATGTTAAAAAATGCCATTTTTCGAAATTTAATACATGTTGCCATGGTAACTGTAAAACATAGCAACCAATTTTTGCCTGATTTCAGTTTAGGGTATCAATGACTTTTATCATAGAGAGTTTGGAGAAATTCTGAGACTATGCGTGCCACAGCTCCTATATAAAATTTCAAATCATTACAGAGAATGGCTCTTAAATCCATACACTCAATTTCCATACAAAATAAAATCTTGATCATACAAGACATATATCTATATTCCCTTTCCTCACATTGTTTTTCTAACTTTCTAATACAAGTCCTTTACAAGTCACCGTACTGTTACACTCTTTGTGATATGTATAAGAAAATAATGAAAATGCTAGATGTCTTAAAGGCACACAAGTTTAACTATTCCTTTCTAAATGAATCTGGCGTGGAAAAGAAACTTTATAAGCCTCTATGTATGTCATGCAGTAAAAAAGAGTTTTTCGCTAGCCTCCCTTCCTTACGTAATGGAATGTCAATGAGAAATGCTAGGGTATTGACTTCGGAATACTGATATAGAGCACGGTGGTTTATGGCAACAAATGATATGAAATCTGGTTTCAGCATTCATACAGAATGTAATATTTTCTGCATAATGGCAAAATCCTGAAAAAAAAAGCAAAAACAAACGAGTTTATCTGAGTATTCGGACAGGTTAAAAAAAAAAAATACATAAACATGACAAACAATTTTGCATGCTTGCACCAATGGTTTTAAAATTATAACATGTTTATGATTCCAACTGGACCAACTCCTCTCTAAGAGCACTTACACAATTCGTTAATCATTTTACAGATCACATATTTTTTCTAAGGTTATTTCGAAAGTGAATTTCATTATGTCCAAGAACAAGTTAAATTGTGCAACATACTAGTCATTAAAAATCTTAATGTTACGGATATGACTATTAGTGATTTCCTGCAACTTGATGTTTGCACATAACATATACTAGTAACTAGGTCAGTGGTGAATAAGTTTGTACGTTGTTTAATTATATGCATCAACATATCAAACGACAAAATTAATTCTAAATATATTGGCGCTTTTACATCTATATGATCTTCTAGTAAATGTCAATCACATTAATGAACTGTGCATTTGCATCCTTTATAACAATACCTACCTGTGGCACAGCGAAGAGTAAGGATTGCGCAATGTAAAACTGTCGTTGTGTTTTATCATGTTTCCAGAGGTGAACTACATTGCCTGGGGATATAAAACAGCTAATATTTCACTGAATTATCTTGTATAGAAGTTTCTTTTTATGAACAGACAATGTGTATTGGATGCTTTTAATGTTCTTTTGTTATATACCTGTTATAGTCTTCTCGTAATTTCCTTCTACATTTCCAACGAAGAAATTCCCTTGGGAAGTGGTGATTTGGTCATATTTATGAATATTCAAAAACAAATCATGCGTGACAGGGCAGAAAATGGCTGTACCACTATCTTTCCAGTTTGTTGTGGAGAAAACACCGCTGTTTCGACTGATTGGGATCAAGTGCTTCCCTAAAAATAAAAAAAAAACCAAATCATCAGTAATGTAATAGACATCCAGGCACGTAGTATCAGGCACTTTTTTTCAAACTTGACTTTATACTATTGATAATGTTCATTGAATGGCAAGTTGACCCCCTACTTTTTGTTGTAGAATGCTAGTAGTTAAATTGTGTTAGATGATTACTTGTGTTTAATAAAATTTGGTTCTTATAGGAAGTATCCAACCCCAGGCCCTCCATTGTTTTCTGACTGCCCCTTTAAAAATGATACCGTATGCCTGGTATCAGATTTATCGGGGAAAAAAAAACAAGCATCTTGAAAAATAATTTTTTTTTTGCCTTTTACTTTTATACCTTAGTGAATTAAATTTACAATGTGATTCCAGTGTTTATAAGCTCCACATTGAATACCGGGCTATGTACATGTAAATTTATCCTGTCAATCAAAGTGATACTTGGGGGTGGGGGTGGGGCAAAGAATATCAGTGAACAGGTACTTACTGTATAAGGAAGTTGTTTCCGGGGGCTGTTCTGTGTATTCATCTTCTACCCTTCTTCTTTTCAGGTTATGAACAGTGCCACAGTCCATAAGAGGTGTATTATTGTTATCCAAGATGTCGACAGTTTCTAAACTCATGATCTGCCCCAAGAAAAAATATCCTACTTTTTGAGTATTAGAATATTTATATTGTTTTTTGCTTTTCATTGCTAGAAATGGAAGCATTATTGATGCATTTTCTGATAGAGTGAGCTCGAATGATAAATTTATTATAAATGAATTGTGCTTTATTCCGTATAATAATGGTCGAAGTCATGCAAGTTGTAATTATTCCACAATAGGAATGAATGAAGCTTTTATCATGCATTGAACACTGCTTGGCGGGCTTTGTTTTGGTTAGTAAGCACTTCTTAAATATCCTTTACTTTGAGCCTCTATAACTTTAAATTGCTGAATCAAGTTAAAAATAGTCCGCAGTAGAACATTTACTTTTTAATCCGAATGGACCACCATATCAAATTTTAAATGTATGTCGTTTAAAAAAGGTTTCTCTTTAGATTAAAAAGATATGTTCCTTTCGTATCATTTGTACTATTTAAAACTTTAACATTTATAACTTCCGACTGTTGTAAATGCATTCTTCTGAAAACATTCCCTACCTCAGGTTTTTGGCGCCATTAAAACATGCTTAACATTTAAAAAGTGAATTATTCTAAAGAATATTGAATCTGTCCATTTCTGTATCTTTAACTTCTCTGCATACAATGATATATACAAAACCTACCTATGTAAACTATCCAGATTTCTGTCACCGTATTTTTTTTTCAACAAAACAATGTCATCGTATCACTTATCACGAATTGACCTACTTTCCATACTCCAAATTCACCTGAAATAATTGCACCTGTTTACCAACAACTAGCAAGCAGCGATAATGTCATGATGACAGTGCGGTAACAGATTCATAACATGAGAACTAACTAGGCGGTGTAATCCCTTTCTTGAGAACAATACCTTTGTTTACATATGGAAGTCCACTTGTGTCTTGTCTCGCGTGAAAGTTATTAGTTTGAAATAATATTAATGAAGTTTTAAGACTTCCATCTTATGAATTTTAGAAGTTAGAGTAATTGAGAACAAGGCTTTGGGTGTTTATGAATACTGGTTATAAGGTATATTCCTTATTCTTCATAATTTTGGTTAAAACAGACGCAAAACAGGATGTTTCAAAAGGGGAGGGGGTTCTAAAAACAAATTTTGACAAGCCAAGCCCCACCCCCATCCCCCCAAAAATCCCTCAAAAATCCTTCTTCGCTAGATGAGGTGGATTATTTTTCCTGATTGTTCGATACATTTTTAATTTGTTTTATTTCTCCAAATGCTGGAGCCAGTGTTCGACCTTAGTTCCTGGTTGTACCTATATACGCTATCACAATTGGTCAGTAAGAGCGGAAGAACGACTCAACTTCTCATAGCACCAGACACAGGCACTTGTTTCGGAAATAATTTTTTTTACACATAGCATAATAATAACACAGGGTATCTAACTCCGAATTACATTCAGTACCCCCTCCTCAGAAATGCCCTCTCCAGTTTCATGGATCATGTCAAAAAATTAAACATAGGAAATCAAAGGTTACAGCCTTACAGAGCATATCTCAAAGAATGTTGTCCGTAAGTCAGGCAAAGCTTCAGACTAAACTAATAATATAATTGTGTGCATCCCTAAGTGCATCATTCATGCACGTTTGGTTGCCATAGTTCTTAACGTTACTTGAGAATGGACTTATTCTAAAAAAATTATTCTGGTCATTCATCAGAATACTAGTAATGTAGGTCAAATCCAATTGGAATTTGTAATCGAAAAGATGGCGAGTTTTAGAAGTATTGATGTCTTATATATTTTTGTTGAATTTAAATAGATACTTTAAAGGCTTATTTCCTATTCAGGTTTTTAGTGGAAAAGGTAAATTTTAACTTGAGAAGGGGTCCTTTTGCAGGACATGGGTGTAAGGGTTGGATAGTTGTAACTTGTATGCTGTTTTACGTCCCATTCGAGAATTTTTCACTCGTATAGAGACGTAGACGTCACCGTATACTGTTGAAGAGCCCTTACTCGACACTCATGGCCATTGAGCAGTGAGATATTCTAATCGTGCCAACGCCAACCGTGACACGGGCTTCGGTATTCGCTGTCTCATCGATGCATTGGTTATTATGCCTTATGAAGCAAACCTTGTAGTGTGCCTCCTTAAATGCACCATCCATGCGAAATCGGTTAACAAAGGGTTTATAGTTATACTTGAAACTTGCTTCAAAAACTATATCCTGGTCACTTCAAAAATTGTGGAAAATGTACTTCAAATTCAGCATCCGAAGCAAGTCTAGTAGTGTAAATGTTTCGATTTATCATCTAAGCAAGTTTTTGTTCTGGGAGGGCAAAGAGTTACTTGATAAATTAATGAAACTGGCTCCAGAAACATTAACCTGATCACTCATCTGAAAAAAAAGTGTAGGTCAGATCTAGCCTCAAAAGAAAGTCTGGTAGTATACATGCTTATATGTATCATACATGCAAGTTTGGTCAATAAAGGGCTCATATAGCTAACACTTTAAAAGGAGTCCTACTCCAAAAACTTTATACATGTTTTTGCCTACAGGTAAATGATTATCAGCAAAGAGAAAGTACACAAGTTGTATCATAAAATATTAAATCGGACAATTTTTTGCAGTTTAATGGATTCAAGAAAAAAAAATCACTCTTGTCAATGTGTATTTGGACAAAAATATTCTGTCTTTAATCAACAGTATGCAATTTCAACACTGACTCTGGAAAATTCTTTAGAAGGACATAAAAAAAGTGAAAGGTAAGTAGATACTTATAACAAGAGAAGCTGGGATACGCCAACATTTAAACCATTGCATATTCAAATGTAATACGGAGTGTGTATGGTCTTAAGAGTGCATTCGATTCCCGCCAAAAAAATTAAAAAAAATACATTTAAAAAATTTAAAAATATAAAAAAAATCTTGAGGGAATGAATTGAGTCCTGAGAGAGAGGGGTGCAAACAAACAGTGGACTCTCTTGGTCACACATACTTCATTTTGTATGAATATCTTCAGTTATCTTTTCTTTCTGTAATAAATAGTGTTTATATCCCCGCTTTTTGACTAAATTCCCGGTATATATTTGTTGTTCTAGCCCGTCCATCACTCTTTCGCCTTCTTGAAATGTCTCTAACAATTTTTAAAAGCAGTAACCAATTTACCTTTTGGAATATGACAGGAGTTATTTAGCAGATTTGCAGAAATGTTTTAGAGTTTCCAGTTTTATCATGGGGTTCAGATTCGTTGACCCAAAAGGGTAGGAAGAGGCCACAATGGACAATCATTAACAAAGGAAAAAATCTATTTTTTTTCCTCTCTTAAAAATTACAGTGCTGTATTCAGTCCTATTTATATAGAAACATCCACAGATAAAGTAGATTCAATCTTGTTCAAATCATGGTCCCCGAAGGTGGGGCCACAATGGGCAATCAAAATTTTAAATAGGGATACATACGGAAAATTATTTTATGATCATGCTCGTAATTAATAGGAAGCATCCTCATGTAGTGTAGACGCAGTTTTGCAAAGTCATACTACATAGATTTAACCTTGAAAAAGGGCAAAATAGGCTAAGACCCCTTTTTGGTCTCTGTTTTTTTTTTTCAAGTCTCTATGAACGATACGATGCAATTCTTCATTTAAAGTGCGCAAACAGGCACGTAGCATCGTTTTTGAAAGTGGGGGGGCCAACCAGAGAAATTTTGTTTACGTACCTGAAAAAAAGTTGACAAGCAAAAAAAAAGAATAATAAAATGAAATAAAAAAGAGAAAAATAAAAGTTGCCCAAACTCGAAAATCCTATTTTGTGTGTGTGTGTGGGGGGGGGGGGGGGGCGGGGGGGGGGGGGGGGGGGGGGGGTAATGGCCAACTTTTTCAAAACCAAGTTACTTTCACTTCCAATTTTTTTTCCTACAATTCCTTCAGATCACTATACTATGGTAAAAAGTGGGGGGGGGGGACAACCATCCTTTCGATGTACATTTTCTATAGTAAAGGTAATGTTGGGAAAAAAAGTGGGCCCCCCCCCCGTTGCTACGTCCCTGCGCAAGAAATATTGCGCCGTAAATTGCACCTTTTTTGCATTACGGGATCTGTAGCGTTATGGTCAAAGACAAATACGGTATTTAAAACCATAACGCTACAGATCTGCATCTATATAATTTGTTGCCGAAAAAATATCGATGTTTCTAAGATCCTCTAGATCGAAATATCCACCTTGGTACATGGTAAGGGTCGATCTCATCTTCTCGCACGCCAGTATCCACATCTGTTCCTATATCATGCGGATTAATGATAATAAATCTCCTTTCATGCTGGTTATCTGAAATAAAATAGTACATTTACTCTTCAATAGATAATGCTTAAAGAATTCCATGCAAAATGGGACAGATGAATTATTTTGATTCATTATCTGACAGTATAAGATTTTCTTATTTACTTTTATTGTCCATCCATTTTTTGAGCTCCATGATGCCCATCAGCATTCAAAAAACCCCTGGAAACATCGCCTTGGTAGTATGTTACTCTATCATGAAACAATAATCATGTTAACACGAATACTTAATACAGTTTTTTTACACGCAAAGAATTATAGATTGTTCCTTGCTACAACAATTTCTTGACAAAATCAAAATTTTTGTTGCAGTCTGAGTTTGGAGTATTCATTTTTTTAAAAAGATGTCAACATTAATGCCAATATTGATGGCACAATTACTTACCTTTCACAAACTTTGAAGAAATATAATAACCACTCGTTAGAAAAGATCAATTCGGTTGGTGTAATCGGAGTTTTTTTTTGGCAAAAAATGGAAAATATCCTTGGAACACTTGTATTTTATGCTATGTATAGCTTTTTGCTACCCACAAAGTATTGTGACGTTTTAGGTATTGTGACGTCATAATGCAAACCGAGAAAGATGGAGGAAATAATCCCGCACCTTCAGGGATTAGACAACCCTTGTAAGATCATTCAGTGACTTATTTTTCTTGACACTGGTCATTTACAAAATTATTTCGTTAAAAACCACTCTGATTTAACATTCAACAGGACAGAGATGATATTAGATGCAACAAAGTTTCTGATGCACTTGAAGATCAAGACTTCCAATTATCCTTCGATTTATTGCGCCCCGTTATTAGCACAGGCGCCTGAAGTATGGATAATAACCCCCCCTTCTTTTTTTTAATGAAAAAAAATGTAAGATTGTATAATACCTCGAAAATGTAAAATTTCCCCGTCAAACAGATCTATATGTCGTTATATGCAAGCAGATTGTACTTTTTCTCACGTTTAAAGAATGGCCCTATTCGGTATAATAAAAATACACAAGGTAAGAAACAAAAGTTGTAAACAAACGGGGGGTTCCTCGCTTCGAGACAGATTTCCAAGGCAATAACAGTGTTACCTATCATAATTTTGCAAACACTCTGTCTGGGAGATGTTCTTTTACTAGTCTCTTAAACCTAAACCCCGCCATTGATGGTTAATATGCCGTAATTGGACGATTTATTAATCGGATACATAAAATTTTCTCCATTGGCAGCGTTAAAGGAGGTTTTGGAGCTGCTTTTCTGTTTCGCCTTATCTGATTGGTTGATTGTAATACAGTTTAAATATCTAACCAATCAGATAAGGCGAAACAGAAAAGCAGCTCCAAAACCTCCTTTAACGCTGCCAATGGAGAAAATTTTATGTATCCGATTAATAAATCGTCCAATTACGGCATATTAACCATCAATGGCGGGGTTTAGGTTGAATTATGGTTCAAAGGGTACCTGGTGAAAATGGCACCTAGTGAAAACGGCACTTGGATTATGCAAAACGGCACTTGGTTAAAACGGCACTTAGTGAAAACGGCACTTAGTCAAAACGGCACTTGGTCAAAATGGCACTTATAGAAAAAAAGTATAATTATACGTAATGATAATTTGATATATAGATTGATATATATATTTGTGTGAGTATATATACATGTAAACATATATAATCAGGCGCGGATCCAGGAATTGAAGTTAGAGGGGGCGCCAAAAGTAGGCAAGGGGTCTGAGGGCCGCCTTGAGGCCCCCAGTGGGTCCAGGGCAAAGACCTGGTGGGGGCCCAGGGGGCGAAGCCCTCGGAAGCTCCTGGGTTCTAGAGATTTTGAAGGGTAAAAATTAGGTCTACCAGGCAGACATATTTACATTTTCTAGACAAAACTGGGATTTACGTTAACTTTGACAATTTTAGGGGGGGGGCGTGCCGGGTGCGCCCCCCCTTAAATCCGCCACTGATAATTTTTGTTTTCTGGGTGGGTCCATTCTTTTCCCCAAGAAAACAATTTATGTATACACTGAAATAAGTTTTTATGAAATCTATGTGATATATATAAAATAAAATAATAAATGAACCTATGCATTACATACTTTTCTCCACAGATTCATACATTTAAATACCAAAATTGAATTGATTTTTTTTTTTATTTTATTCCTTGAAATATCAGTATCTTCATCTTTTAGTCTCCTTCTTTTTTAAATCAATGAAATTACAGCATAGTTTTTAAAAATAACGTTATTTTTAAAAACAAGATTATAAATAATAACAGCATCATTTTATAATCTAAATAAATGATTATTTGTAACAATATCAACATTGTGTCATCTTAATATTTAATCATTATTATTTAATAGAAATAAATTGATATTCTTCAGTTATATAAAAAAAAAGAACAAACAAATGTTTTTGTTCTTCTATGTACAGGTTTCATATTGTAAAAAAAATTATAGTAAATGTTGTATGGCTATTCAGATTTAAGGATTTTATGTACATTTTAGAGAGGAAAATCTAACTTTCAATCCCTTTGACATATTGTCAAGAAATACATAATAGTAATTGTATATGATTGCAAATTGACGATCAACAGATTATTGAGGGGGAGGTGTGAAAAAGTCTTTTGTTTCTTATTTCTACAAGTGTATTCTAAGTAAACATACTCTAACTGGCTTCTGATTAGTCAACTGTGACTGGCAACCCCCTAAAACAGAGTAGTATACATATTTGCAATATTATAATTTTTTTAATTTCAAAGGACCATAATAATATAATTTGGATTTTATCTCTTTTGTAGAAAATATTAGACATGTAATTTAAAGAAGTACATTTAAAAAAAATCTAACCACTGTACAAAAGTACAATAATTTTCAAATGAATTAGTCTATTTTTTTCCCCCTAAAATATTTTTAAATTATTTTTATCAATAATAATATACACGCTTATTACTATAAATGTAATATAAAGATCCATTTTCTATATAAACAATATCAAATTCTCAAAATTAAAAAGTGCCGTTTTGACTTTTCTGAAGTGCCGTTTTGACTACTCTCAAGTGCCGTTTTGCATATTTCCTAAGTGCCGTTTTCACCAGGTGCCGTTTTGACTTGTACCCGTTTAGGTTTAAGAGACTAGTAAAAGAACATCTCCCAGACAGAGTGTTTGCAAAATTATGATAGGTAACACTGTTATTGCCTTGGAAATCTGTCTCGAAGCGAGGAACCCCCCGTTTGTTTACAACTTTTGTTTCTTACCTTGTGTATTTTTATTATACCGAATAGGGCCATTCTTTAAACGTGAGAAAAGGTACAATCTGCTTGCATATAACGATATATAGATCTGTTTGACGGGGAAATTTTATATTTTCGAGGTATTATACAATCTTACATTTTTTTCATTAAAAAAAAAGAGGGGGGGGGGGGTATTATCCATACTTCAGGCGCCTGTGGTTATTAGGAGACCCATTTTTGTACTCATTTGCAGCAGAATTTATTGTTAAACGTTATAACTTCTATTCTTCTTTTATGTAGCAATATATCTCAATGTCTAATAGTCGATTCGATACGCGAAAGCAAACAATTTTTAAAATGGTGGAAGCTAAGGACAAATAAATTGACGAAACAAAGGTATCAATTACATGTAACTTAACATTATCTAATCATTTTACCATGTCAGCAAATGTATATAATGAAATTGAGTGTTGACTATCGTTTATCAACGGATTTTCGTTTGTTTATATTCATATATATCATTTTTTAACGCTTTCCACACTTCATTTTCCTTTGTCTATGATTCAACACAATTTTAGTAAACCTTGTAGGCTAAATGGTAAGTGGAAACTGGAGAGACACCAAAAATATCCAAAATGCGGTATCTCCGGGCACCTGTGAAATATAATAATTACTTCTTTAAATAGCAGTATTATCTATCTAGAGTTAGATTAGACTATTATATTGTACGAGTATAATATGAACGACTTATCATGCACCCATGAAAGGAAAATGACAGGTGTAACTTCCGCCAGTTCCTAGACGAAGGGTTTTTTGATTAAAAAAAACAGAATTTGTGTAATTTTTCAGTGCTAAATTTGGGTAAGAAATCACATAATATTATTCGAAATATTATTGTATTTGACTGAGGACAGGAGAACGACATTTGCATAATAATTTTAGTTCGAATTTTCTCAGTTTCAGCAGTACAGTGAGTACAGATGGATTTAGGCTAAAGTGTTTTAAGTTCAAAATGCTTCTTTTCTTTTCCTTAATAATGAATACAAATCAGCAGAGCTTTAGAAACATCTGAGACTCTTGGTTGAATAAAGCAACAGATGAGTTGAATGTATTGCAATGCTCAAATGTTTTGTTTGTAGATTAGGCCTAATTAACATACATCACAACCATGTCGGCCTCGGCAGTTTACTTACTGGATTCAAAGGGGAAGGTGTGTAACAGTTTTCTAACAAGCTTTAAAACTTTTTAATGCAGTTCCTGATGTAACTGTAAAAAATAATTTTTAACAGTGAAAACAAAACTAAATAGCTTCCTATTTATCATTTTTCTTACTTTATATATTGTAAAATTGCATTTCAGTCTTATTTAATTTGAATCTAAAACAGCAAAATTCACCAAGTTGTTGATTAAGATTAAGGGTATACTGTAACTTTTAAAAATGTTACTATTATGTTTTCAGTAGTATGGATATTTTTAAGATGTCTTGTATATTTGCAGGTGTTGATAAGTCGGAATTACAGAGGGGACATAGATATGTCGGTCATTGATAAGTTTATGTCACTTCTTATGGAGAGAGAGGAAGAACTGAACACATCCCCAATTATCCAGCATGGCAACACTACATTCATCTTCATCAAGTATAATAGTCTGTACTTGGTTGCCACATCTAAAAGGAATGCCAATGTTGCCATGGTCTTCTCTTTTCTTCATAAACTTGTACAGGTATCAATGATGTGGACATTCTGTTTATTTGAAGAGATGAGATGATTAAGCTTACATTTCATGTATAGATTTTTTTTTATAATGACGAGAAGTTCAGAATATTATATTAATTTCATCTAATTGAACATGTAGCAATCTTCTCATTTGATATTTTGCGATGTAAAAAAAAAATCCCCACTTTTCTTATAATTTTTTTTTTGTGTAATTTTTCTTAAACTTTGATATTTAGGTATTCATTGAATACTTCAAAGAGCTGGAGGAAGAAAGCATCAGAGATAATTTTGTCCTGATTTATGAATTATTGGATGAAGTTATGGATTTTGGATTTCCTCAAACAACAGACAGTAAAATTCTACAAGAGTAAGCAGTTATTTGTCTATAATAGAAATACTTGCTTTTTATTTGCACATGATCTGCATGATAACAAATTTTACAAATATTCCCAGTACAAACGCATTTTGAATTTGTAGATTCATTACACAAGAAGGTCACAAGATGGAGGTAGCACCCCGCCCACCTCCGGCCGTCACCAATGCTGTGTCATGGAGGTCTGAGAAAATCAAGTACAGGAAAAATGAAGTATTTCTTGATGTCATTGAATCTGTCAATTTACTAGTAAGTGCCAAAAAGCGGAGATGAATTTTATTTAAAATGAGTAGGAATTGAGCATAGCTTAATGCATATGGTGCTTCAATTGATTGTTTAATCAACTATGAATTTTTAACATTATCAGGTCAGTGCAAATGGTAATGTACTTCGAAGTGAAATTGTGGGAGCTGTGAAGATGAGAGTTTACCTGTCAGGGATGCCTGAGCTTAGACTGGGGCTGAATGATAAAGTGCTATTTGAGAGTACAGGACGTAAGTACACCAGACTTCTTCTTTGTGCGAGATATGAAAGCATATGTACCAGTTTAAATTTATTTTAATAAACTTAACAAACTTGCATGTTATTAAATCAATTAATTTTATTTATGCCAGGTCAAATTTTTGAGGTTTTAGGAAAATTAATGGTTTGTGGAGATTAGATTTCATGTTTAAAGAAATAACAACATACAGCACTTTGAGCTTTTAAAATTTTGTGAGAGATATATATTCTGCCTCTTTATAGCAAGCACAAGAATAATGAAAATCCCTCCACCCATGACCCCACCCCCTTCACCCTGAAAATTAATTATATTATGACACCTAAGTGGATAAGCAAATTCATGCCAGTATTGATTCTGGTAGTATACCAGTTTAACAATCCTGCTGCTGTAATTATTATAGGGGGTAAGAGCAAGTCTGTAGAGCTGGAGGATGTCAAATTTCACCAGTGTGTCCGACTGTCGAGATTTGAGAATGACAGAACAATTTCCTTCATTCCACCAGATGGAGAATTTGAGCTTATGTCTTACAGGTTGAACACTCATGTAAGTTTTCAGAAATTACAATTTTTATGGTTACAATATCTTTGTAGAAATCTAAATATCTTTAATGGGTTTCATTTTCTTAATTTGAGTTTTCCTTTTGTAGGTGAAGCCATTGATATGGGTGGAGTCTGTTATTGAAAGGCATGCCCATAGTCGAGTAGAATATATGATCAAAGTAAGATCATTATTGTTTGATTACTTCTATCAAACCCCTGTGTTTATTTTCTATTACTTGCATTTTGCTGCTCTGAGTATAAATTAGTTCACATCTTTAGGAAACTAAGTAAGCACAAATGTTACCAGACATTTTAATTCAATAAGGTATTTTTTGTAACCTTTCCTAACAGGCTAAGAGTCAGTTCAAGAGAAGGTCCACTGCCAACAATGTAGAGATCATCATTCCAGTGCCTGCAGATGCAGACTCGCCAAAGTTCAAGACGACAGTCGGCAGCTGTAAATATGCTCCCGACATAAACGCAGTCATCTGGACCATTAAATCATTCCCTGTAAGATATAAATACATTCACAAATATTGCTTAGAATCTCTTTGCTTCAAAATTTCTGAAAACAATATTATTTCAATTAGAGGGTTGGAAAAGGATAATGAAACCAAAGCACAGGGTCTATTCTTATGAATGGTAAAACACATCTTCAGTGATCAGGCTTATAATGAAATGACGCTTATACAGTAAAACTCAGTTATAAGGAAGTCACTGGGACCTGTGAAATTACTTCGCTATATCCGTAATTCGTTATATCCATATAAGGAATTTGTTAAATTTATATATCTGGGGATCCAAGATAACTTCGCTATATCTGTGAATTCGCAATATCCGTGTTCGTACTAAACGAGTTTTACTGTAGCAAACTGTTTTTCATTCCCCTAACCTTTGAATACTGGTAAATGAATTTAACAAATTATGCTTATAAAATGCAAAATACTCATCCCTGCAACTTCACTATAACTGTGTTTTACTGTATATCTAAATTTAGACAGACTATTTATGACATTTCTTTGGTAGGGAGGTAAGGAGTACCTGATGAGGGCCCACTTTGGATTACCCAGTGTGGTCGGAGAGGATACTGAGGGCAGGCCCCCAATACACGTCAAGTTTGAGATCCCCTACTTTACTGTTTCTGGAATACAGGTAAATTTTAACAACATCCTTGATTAAAGCTAACATACCTGGATATCAGAGATTATCATATAATTATTTATGATGGAAAAAAAATTGGGGATTGTGCACTTGTTTTAGTATAAAAGCGTTTTGACTTGCTGGTTTTGGGGTAGTATATTTTACATGATACATTGTTACGCAATAGTAGAAGTCATCATCTGCATTTTATATTCTATTCTCTTTTTGAATAGGTGAGATATTTGAAGATTATTGAGAAGAGTGGATACCAGGCCCTGCCGTGGGTGCGTTACATTACACAGAATGGAGATTATCAACTTAGAACCCAGTAATCATCCGATGAGGAACAACTGCAGAAATCACCTTAATCTTTAGAGATAATTAGTGACCAGCGCTTCTTATGTCATCATAATACATCATCAGTGTTGTGGACTTGAAGTCATCATAATCCATTGTCAGTTAGAAATCACACTCCAGTGCTTTTGGTGCAATGTAAGAGATGGACAGACAACTGAAACTGCTTTTTTATTACTTCCTCAATGGGTGGGGATTTGTAAATTACCAAATATACATGTATAATAATAAAAATATAATATAGATCTTAACTTAAAAATATTTATCATTCATTTGGAATTTCTGAAACCATGTATTTAAAAAAGATTTCCCATGCAGGGAATTTATCTCATTAAAATAATTTTATTGTATTGCTTTATGTAAAATAGTATTTATAAATGTCAGTCCTAAACTGAATAAAATCTCGTTATTAATTTACAAGTATTTCTGTATCTTGTTCATATATGTAGCAGTTGTTCATAGTATTTGATTAGAAGAATTCGTTAAACCTTTTCCCATGGTTTACACTCTTAACCAATTTGCAAATTCATTTCTTGAGTGGAAAAGGAAAACAAAATTTACAGCTGATGGCATTTATTATGCATTAGTACAAAAATATTGCATCGTACACATAGAGATGTGCTAAAAAATAATTTTTCCGTAATATTTCATATTGCTATCATTGCATACTAGTATTCATTAACTCATGTGTTGATGGGCAAAATTTGTAAGTTTTCAGTAAGTCAAAAAGATGAAACAATGCACATTTTGAATTGCAATTGTCTTAAACAGATAAGTTTACATTATGTTTGAAAGAGAGTGCATGTCTACATTCACTATAATATCTCGTAAAATAAATAATGTGCAGCAATATTACTTCTACAGCAGTAAGAATAAACATATCACAGAGATAATATCACAGTTGTTGGAAGCAATGAACAGTTATTAAGCACTATTTGTTCACTGGTATAGTTCGTTAGGCACTGCTGTTATCTACAATTGGTTGTAGGCAAGACTTGTATCATTGGCTACTGTAGTACGTAGTCTACACTAGGCTGTGATATCCTGCTCCTTTGGCTACCCTTTGTCCTACAGTGAGTCTAAATCCTGCAGCCTACTTTCTCCTGCCCTTCCTGTAGGCATGAACCCCTGGCACTGGTGAACTATCTGTATCGTACCCAAGCATTTTCCTTAATTTTACAATCTCTTGTTTATATCTGCAAAGGCATAAATAGGATTACATTAAATTTCATTTCCTGTGACTTCATAATACATGTATATTATAAACGTAACGGATATGATGAATTATGCTTATATCAAAGCAAATTTCTTCATCCCTGACATCTCGTTATAAGCATGTTTTACTGTATATACATACATTTAATGCACAATTACCTGACAAGATGGTGATCTATGTAGTCCTGACTTTCCTTAAGCTGTTCTTTCAGTACTATGTTTTCACTCATTAGTTTGGCCCTCTCTTCCTCCAGATCCTTTTGTGTATTTAGTGTGTACTCTCGTAACTGTTTGCGTAACGTGGCCCAGGTCTCCGCAGGCTTTTCTCCAGGTCTGTTAAAAGTGTGATACATGTTTTTATGTATAATGATCGAAAGGAGAAATCTATTAAATGAGGGGATTATTTTTCAATGAGGAGACCTAATAAAGCTTTACCTCATCATTACATCTTCATCATCTGAAAGTCCATACTAAAAAATAAAAGAAATTAAGTATAAAATGAGCTGAAATTTAAAAATCTTGTACTTCCTCTCATAACTGTGCTATGACAGTATGTTTATTTGATTTTTCTCTAGTTTAAGAATGAAATGAAAAACATTTCATTTCTAACCCCCCAAAATTATGATAAATATAACCCAATTAAAAAATAACTGGATGATTAACTATCTGATAAGTGATTAACCTTGACCTTGTTTTTGTAGTTCTGTACGGTCTGTTTGAGTTTGTTGACCTCTCCTTTGAGGCGGGTGATTTCTCGGAGGTTGGAGGAGTTGATTTCTGAGTCCGACAGTTTCAGCTCTGTCTCATCAGGTCCCATGTCAATGTCGTCCAATCCTCTCTCTTCACACTGGAGTCGCAGGTTCCTAAAATGTATAAGATTTGTCTTTTTCGTCTTATTTTAAATATTACTTGATTATCTCCTAATTGATTGGGTTGTCTATTGCATTTGTAATGGCTAAATGCAATTTATCCCATGTTTATCCCTTTATCCCGTGAATATGAATCTTTGGATATTTTTTTTGATATCCCACACTTAAGTGTAGTTATGACTTCACAATGGTTTTTGCGTTAGCGTGATGAAGTAAAATAAAGAGGAGTCCTATATAAAACAGTGTATAACATTGGTTGTGAAGTATTAAACATGGGATGAAAAAATCTCCCATGATTTGTAATTGGATATGATTTTATCCAATTTTACTCATTGTGTGTTTTTATCTCCAAAGCTCGGGGATAAAAAACACACAACTCGTTTGATAAAAATCATATCCAACTACAAATCATGGGAAATCCTATATATATCTTAATTTCAAACAAATTATGTAATAGAAAAAAGTACATGTACCATCATCATCAATCATTTTAAATTCACTGCGGTCACTGTACATAGTAAATAACATTTACTTACCTAGGGAAAAATTTTGTATTTGTATAATTATACAAAAGATGCATTGATAAAATATTTTTTCAAAGCAGATTTCCATCAACTCCACAAAGACTATTTCCAAACAAACAATAATGATTCTATAGTATTTTGTTAACCATGTCTGTTTCTTGATTGTGAAAACTACTATTGAATCATTTTTATTCTGGCTTGTCAATGCTCATGGGCAATCAAATGAACTAGCTGGTTCTTGTGGACATGATTTTGTGGAAAACTTTTATTTACAGAATTTTCATTGAACTGATACATTGACAAAGATATTGTTCCTGGGAATGTAAATTTGTGGCTGAGGTTGATACATGAACATTGATCCTCCTCTAAGAATAAGAAATTCACAGTATTACATATCAAATACCTGTAATAAGGATTCCACAGTTTTATATATTACATACCTGTAATGTATAAGCAGCTCTTCGTATTTATGCAGCAGACTCCGCTTGCTCTCTCGATACTGCTGAGCGGCCAAACTTAACTGTTCCTCTCGCTCCTTGTGTGATCGAGAAATGTCCTTGTGCATATTTTCTACATAATCCCTCATTCTACCTGAACTGCGACCATCAGGTCCTGCATTGTTCTTATCCACAAATTCCTTCAAAAAAAAAAAGAACATAAACACTGTCAAATCATAAGGTTTCAAACAAATCTCAAGAAAAAATTCTAAGTATCTTCGCCATTTTTTGCCACAATTATGTTAACTATTATAGTCTTACAGCTATATCCTCCACGTATTTGATGAGGCGCCCTCTATAGTCCTCGCCGAGGTCCTTGACCTTGTGCTGGAGTCTGTTGAGCTGCAGTTCTAACTGCTCCTTCTCCCCACGAGCCACAATCAAAGCCTGATAGAAAATTATTACAACCATTTCAATTGGTAAATGATTCATGGCAACTTTTATTTTGGAGAGAATGTCAAGATAAATTATTGGTTATATCTTGTGAGGCTCTATCTTGATCCTTACAAAGAAAGCTTTAATCACAAATTTCTTTTTGATTAATATTTCTTCTGCACAGTATTACTGTATCATTCATATACTTTTGAGAAGCTATTATAAGCATACTATTTGGTAACTGAATAGATCATAAATATGCTTCATGCACATATGGCAATGCCCAAAACCTGGTACATGTATTTAGTATGATTGCTTCATTTTGTGAGCACTTGATACATTTTTTGAATTTAATATGCATAGTGGTCTAAACATATTTTTCCTGTTGCATGTTAAACCACAAAGGCTAGGTAACAGGATAAGAACTTATTTCAATCACAAAGCAAGCAACTACATGTGTGTTCTTACATCATTGATGCAGCACCAAGTGATCTATATATGTAAGGGACATATAGCAGTTACAAAGCAGATTCACACACAAACATGCAGTACATACAAACTCTGAATGGCACCCTTCTTACGATTTGATAATCAAACCACTTTGTAAACTTAAATAAAAGGAGTTTTCCAAACATGAAATACATACTGCATTCAGTTCAGCCAATCGACGTTGTCGCTCTCTTGCCAAATTACGAGATTCCTGCAACTCTTTCTGGACAGAATTTCTGAAGCAATCAGAAAATAATGGTACATTTGATATTTTTCAAAATGAAAATTTCATTTATTGTATGATCCAGTTTGTTGATGCGAAACACAACTTACAATTTGGCTTCCAATCTCACTCTGTCATCCCCATGCTCTTTCTTCAGTCTTTCCATGTCTCTCTCATATCGTCTCTTATTATTAAACAGCTAAAAAAGAAAATAATGAAATAAGAACAAACCACAGTGAACAGATTTTTAAAAGGAATCTGCAAGATACTTAGGGACTTCTTTTACCCTCTTCATTAATTAATTAAAACATAGTCCTTAGAATACTTGGATATATTCACCAAAAACAAATAACAAAGCCCTAAATCTTACAGTGTTCTCCACTTGTGATCTGTCTGTCTGTGTTCCCAGAATCTCATCAGCCTGTTATTGAGTAATAAAAAAAAACGAATAAACTCTTGACTTTTCAAAGGTTTTTTTCTACGTTTTCCTAATTTAATTAAAGAAAATGATTAAAGCTAAATTGTATACAAAAAAGTGCCTGTATTTTTTTTATCTACTGGTATATTAATTTATAGTGCTCATAACTGGAATAAAGGGTATTTTTTGTAGAAAGAGCAAACATATATAGTCAAACATTCAATATACATGTATATCAACTAGTTTTCAGAAACTTTCTCTCATATATCCTCTTTAAGAGGGTACATACACACAAATATAAGCACTTCTAGTTGAGAAAATAAATACAGAAGCTTACCTTGACTTTGCCAGACGAGTTCTTGATGACAATGGCCTTGACCCTGCTGACCTCTGCCTCTGGGTCACCTATTCCTGGGTCAGAGTCTGACAAGGCATGGATCTGCTTCATCAAGGCAGCCTTGGCATTCACTAAGTTGAGCAACTCAATACTTAGTTCATCATTCCTCTTGGTCTATAAATAACCATATTATGCATTAAATACACAATAAGGGTTAAGAATGAGCAATTAAATGTACCCAGTATCAGGTTCTTCAGTATTTAATGAACCTGCATCTTTCTAAAAATGTATTAAAATGAAAATATTTAAAACTAGATGCTGATATATAATCGAATATAATTAATTTCCTGCCTCTTTTTCATGTTCTCTGACAAGAGCCAGATAGTTAGTTTTGAGGACGACATATTCGTCAGCCAAGTCTTTTCTGTCCTTCTCCATTTCTATCAACCTTTCTCTGGCATTCCTGGCAGCTTTTTGATGTTTATCTCTCTCATTATCTGCCTCCAACAAATTATTCTCCAGCATTAAAATCTACAATATCATCACTTACTGATCAGAAATTGACATATTATTAATACAGTTGTATACCGTATAGCAAAATTTCTTGGCGGGTGTAAAATTTAGCATTTTGCCTGCTCAAAGGTATGCCAATAATTTTGGCATAATTTATTTTAGCTGACACAGGGTTTCAGGTCTTTGCATATGAAGACAAAGATGAGTACTGAATATTCTAGTGATAAAAATTTTAGCGGGCTACCATCAAAATACCAAAATTAGCACCCCGCTAAAATAACCTACTGTACCGTATGAGTACCTATACATCAAAGTGTGATACTTGTATTTGGTTAATATAAATACAATTTCATTGCTGTGATACTGCTGATCTGTATAAAAGTTGTCTGGAGTACACTCTGCTTACCTTATTGGTCAGTTCAAACTTTGTGGCCTCAGCATCCTCTCTGATTTTGTTGTTTTCGATCTGCATCTCCACCAAAGACTGTGACACCTGAAATGACAATTTTAGAAAATAAACCTCGGAAACCATAAGAGGAACTTAATTAAGCTGTGTCAGAGATATTTTACATCTGTTCATTTCATCTTAACATCTCTTTGCTAGCCAAGGATGACAATTTACTCCTCTCCTCAAAATAGGAAAGGAGCAGATTACCACCCTTGGAAGAGATACATTTATCAAACATTCTCTCCCATTGAAAGCATTTAATCTTATAATGAGTTAGCACTTTTTGCTTTGTCTCTCCCACCCCTTTCAGCACCCCCTCACACAGTGCTGACCCCCTGACCTTTAGCTTCTCTTCCTCTGTCATCAGTAACTGTTGAGACAGGTCAGTCTTGGTGTGAGCCATGCTCCCAAATTTATTCTGCATTCCATCCAGTCGAGTCTTCAGTCTCTCATTGTCGTCTTTCAGTCTCAGCTAAAATGGATCAGGGTATTGTACAGGGTATGTATGCATGTAATTTTAAAGATATCAGTTATTTGTAGTGTTGGCAACGAGTACCCGGTTAACCGGGTAACCGTCGAACGATGCGAGTATCGGTTAGTAAAACTGCTATTCGGTTACTCGCATGAAAAAAAATCTACATAGTAAATATGGATATAAAATGATTGTTTTATAAATTATAAATGTATATACTTACACATTTCCCTAATTTTAAGTACCGCTAGTCTTGATCTAATACATGGTTGTAGTGGATCAAATTGTTTTGATTAGTTTTCACAGTTTATATAATAAATAGCTTTGATTGTTTGGGGGGTATACAACTTTTGAAGGCCTATGTTATGATTACATTAACTCATTTGATAATTTAACGAAATGCCGCCACAGACAAATTAAGCTTGAGGTTGTAAGAAAAAGCAGTTGAATCAAAATCACATATCAACAAAATAACTATTAATTACGGAGTACGTAGATAAATATTATTCTCCTAGATAGCGACATATTTCGGGGGCTGAAAAGGAAAGCAATTGTGAGACGGTGATTAACGTCTTTATTTGTCTTCTTCGTGTGTCAAATTCCTTATTTTCTTTAATCTAAAATCAAAATTCGTTGACAATATTTCACGTGTGTATTGTAAATATAGTGTCCATATAAGTATATTTGTGTATTACTACTGCCGATAAGTAAAGCATAAGATAAATAAAAGATGTGGATACTTTTACGAAAAATCATCCGAGTAACCGGGTACTCGATCGGAAGATGAAGCGAGTAACCGGTTACTGAAAATCGTCCGATTTGCCAACACTAGTTATTTGTATTAATCAGAAAGAAAAATCGCTAATCTTGCGAAAAATTCTTTTATGACATATCTCTTCAAGGTTGTACTTTCCCTTTTGAAATTATTTTTTTCTTTAAAAGGAAGTAATGTAATTTATGTTTCAGGGATGTATAAAATTAATTTCTGTCAAATTTCTACATTACATGTACTTACAATTCTAATAACTTAATCTACACTTACATTTTCAACCTCCAGTTGCCTTATGGTTTCCTTGACATCGTTAAGATTACTGATCTGCGCCATTGGTGCTGGACCTACACCTGCCTGCTGCTTTAGGTCAATAATCCTGGCTCTGTACTGGGTGATCAACTCCTAAAATTTACATAAAACAAAAAAAATCCTAACGTTTTCATAAACAAGATAATTATTTTACAAGTACTTTCAATTTTAACATTTTTTCCTCTCATTTCTGTTTTGAATTTCAAAAAGTAGAGATATGTAAATACACCACTTTTATTTTTTTTCTCTGAAGCAGTGATTAATTATGGAGTGTGACCTGTGGGATGTACATGTACCATGGTAGAAATCACATATTTCATACATTGGGATCCATCTAACAAACTAACCTGAGCATAGGAGTCATTAATGATGGGGTAGTTCTTCACTTGGGAGAGGCGTATTGTAAACTGTAGAACAGCGTTAAATGTACTGGGGTCAGCCTGGGGTTTGATGTTCAGTAGAGCTCTTGTCTTACAGTTCCCTCCCAACTCCTCCCTCAGCAACTGAGTTAACTTTGAATCACTGGAAAGAAATTAGTATAGTGTACAATGAAATAAATTTAAAATTATTGATTTTTCAAAACTGAGAAAATAAAATGGAAGATTTATGCATGCGTCTTTTCAAATTTTTATAAGACATAACCTTTCTTGCCTTTGTTACCCCTCCCTTTCCCTAATACTCCTTCCCAAGCATAAGTTGATTTTTTTTTCTGTTTTATGAGGGGATAATTTTTTTCACCGAGGACACAAAATTTACATTGTCGATTTATAGAATTTTTATAAAAATTGCATTTTAACAAATATTTTTATATATAATAAGGTCTTTTTTAATTATTTGATACATCTTGCTCAATAGTATTAAGTAGTCAGAAAAATTACCAGGTATGTGTATTTACGTTGTGAAATATTTGTTATAATCATAAACAGAAAGATGGCATACATGTATTTCCAAATCTTCATAATTCACATTAAATAATGATATATTTTCATTTAAATAAAATATATTGCATACAAATTAAGTTCACAAGAAATTGTATGTCATTATAAATGTCACATCTATATTAACTTAATTTTGTCAAAATGCACTGACCTATAGCTTATGACTCGGTCTGCGTAAGGGTTGCTGGCCAATGAGATGACCAGAGAATTGAGACCATTGAGAGCCTTGCTGAGTGTTGGTCCCTCCCTCTGTCTCAGCTGAGCTGCATCCTCACTCAGCTTCTCCAACCCCGGCAGCTCAACGACCGTGAAGCGAGAATGGTTCGGTTTAGGATTATCTCCCACCAACTGAAAAACGTCAAATTATGATAAAAAATAACAAAATTATCTGTTTATAAAAACAGTCCTAAAGGTTCCAACATGTAACAGACACAGGTATATAAAAAGTTAAACCCCCTCCAAGAAGATAAGAAATTTCCTACGGAGAAAGAATCAATAAATTAATTTTGTTGACAGTGTTACTATGTAAGAGGTTAGATGGTGGTTTATCAGTGTTATCAGGGCAAATACTGACCTTTTACAATCAATAGTGAACCAATACCACAATCTCCAGGAACCTCTCAACTACTGTATAAACCCCTCATACAATGGAGTTTCCTCCGACTTACAATGCCACAATGTATCTTTTCTCAAGTCTGCATTTTTCTATTGATACTCTAAAGAAACACTGCTGTGCTACTCATATGGACAATTATATACAGGGCTTAAAAGGTAAAATTACTTTGATTTATTTTCCCAGAAGAAAAATTGTCTATTTGTAGAGATAAATGAATTTTTCTTAAATACGTTTTTCTAATATGAAATTATTCTTGTTATGTGTGAAATATATTTTTTTGTATTATAACGATACAAGTGAATTAACAAAATTTCATTTAGGTTTTGCTATATTTGTAGATTTCAATTAATGAATACCGGGGTAATCTTTTTAAATGTGGTAGCTACATGGCCTTTTAGAAGGAAAATAAATCTGAGGTACAAAATTAAAAAAAAATAAAGTTTCTAACAATTAACACTAACAAACTCCTTACCTCTGACTTTGAATGAAAATTCCAACTAAATTTAATTACTTGCTATAAATTATTGTGATTTTGAAAAAAAAATCTTATAGCTAAATAAGACTCATTCATGTATGAAGCTACACTTGGTAAATGATATTGGAATTAAACATGAACCCAATAATGTCTCTGTATACATAAAAGTAATCTATTATGATGGTACAATTATGTAAAATGAAATTTTCAATTAATTTTAGAGACTGCTTTAAAGCTCTGTTCAAAGAAATTATAAAGGTGGAAAATAAGAGGGGAGAATCTTTTAAAGTTCCAGTCATGCTTGAGAGGAAATGAATTCTAGGTACACCTATAGAATTTGTTTGCATGCACACCAACAAATAATAAAATTCTGATTGATATAACACATTTAAAGCTCACAGGTTTCAACAGGTATCTTACACAGGATAGGTACAACAAAAAAGCTATAAAGATAAATAGAAAGATACAGAACACATATATTTCCAGTCTAGCATAAATGTGTCATACATTGGATCTTTAAATCACATTTATATATACATGCACATTATATATATATAGGAAGTCTTCCTGATAGCATCAAAATTCTCAAAAGTTGAGAATTTCTTATTCAATGTGTCCACTATTTTACATGAGACAAAATCAAAATGTTTTATATGAAATTTTTCAATTTTTATCATTTTACACTTTCATCCTCCTACAGTATCTTGAAAAGTATTTTAAACATGGTTAATTTCATAATCATCCCCCTCTCCTTCTACTAGTCTGATAAGAAAATGACTGAGAACAGTAGCTGGCTTTCATCTGCTTAGTAAGAATAGTTTCAAGAGGAGATGCAGAAAATTAAATTTATTTCAGAGAAAAGCTGTAAGCAACAATAAAATGCTCTCTTTTACTAAATATCCTCCAGTTCTGATCATTTCTTACCTTTTTTGGTTTCATCTGACAGATAAATTATATAGCATCATCTTAAAACTTTGTACACTTTTGTTTCTTTCACTATGCTAATTGTTACCAATTATTAACTTTCACTAAAGTACATACAATGTACTTTTAAAATCTTTGAGTGACACATTTACCAATTCTATGTCAATAAGGATGGTATAATTACCAATTTTAGGTCAATATGGATGATATAATTACTATGTCTAGGTCAAAATGGATGACAAAATTACCATTTCTAGGTCAAAAAGGATGACATAAATACATTTTCTAGGTCAATATGGATGAGATAACTAGGTCAATATGGATGAGATAATTACCATTTCTAGGTCAATATGGATGATGGTAGCAGCATGCTGGGAAGCTGGACCAAAATCAGTCGCTGCTTCCGTTCTTCGTGCCATCCCTTGTCGGAACTGAGAATGACCATCAGAGGCATCTCTCAGCACAGCAACGCTGCAGTTCTGAATAATGAAAGATGACCTTCAGTCTTTGAAGATTACAACTGAGGTAAAAATGCCATTAAACAAAATCTGTTTCTAACCCAGTACAGAGCAATGCAATAATTCTGGTTATCACTTTAAACTGATCTATCTTAGATTCTAATAGTTGATGATTTTTGCTTCTTTATGTAAATCACAAAATAATGACCTTGACCTAGGTCATGTAATTATACTGACCTTGGCATGCACTCCTTTATCTGCAGTCTCTTGAATATCTAAGTAAGCCCCACCACTTCCTGGGACTTGTAGCAGATCCTTCACTAATTCATTGTACACCTCAACCATAGACATTGATACTCGAGGGTTCATTCTTCTTACTTTAGTATCAGTCATGTACTGTTCTATAAAAACATGAAAATTTGGTGAGAGGATTTTTTTCCTACCTGAAATTTGTTTCTTGCTTTTATTTGAATGCTCTCTCTCTCTCTCTCTCTCTCTCTCTCTGACTCTTCTTTTACAGTAATTGCGACGTAAAATGTTTATTTAATACTTAAAAATATTCAGTGACACAAGATATACTAGTTATTTAGTGCTTTTTAATATCTAATGTTATAGAAAAAAACAAACCTCCAGTAAGTTTACTAAACAGATAGTCCAGAATCAGTGGAACTAGTCCTGCTTTCTGAGTGCTCTCCCCTTGTATAGAAAAGGTTTTTCCAGACTCACTCTCCCCCATAACAAGTAAGCACACATTAAATCCTGCCATGTGTAGATCAAGCAGGTCGTCCACTGAGTGTTTGTATACATCATAGTTTGTAGCATCTTTTCTGTGAAGATTGGCTAGACTGCACGAAAAACAAAAATTCCTAAATATTACATACTGCAGCATAAATTACTCCTCTAAGATTGACAAGTCATGAGCTTGGAATGTGGTCACAGTGGAGTTTCAGAAACTAGAAAACTTATGAGACTAATGTTATCAAGAGTAGTCCAATTTTTGATCTATTAAAATTTCATGCATTATTGTTCACGTTCAAAAGATTTTAGTACTATTACATGGGAAAACATACTTAAGAAATGGACCACCAGATTTGGCAGCAATCCTTTGACCTTCCACCACCAAAGACTCTGGTCCCTCGGCTCTGATGGGTTTCCGGATTCTTCCAACCACTTCAACATTCATTTTCATGCAATCCCTAGTAATATAGAAATCATACTTTTAGTTAACTATCAAACACACAACCTTGGTAGGTTCAATTCCTACTGTCAAGAATGGTGACAAATAATTCCCGATAAGATTTCGCTTAGAAAATTCAAATGTGTCAGTTGAAGTGTAATTATTATCAACATGTTTCCTCTTCTTTTTTATTTATACAAAATTTTATTCACAAATAAAAGTGAATGGGATCGGGCAACAGGCAAGACCTATATTTTAGCCCTCTTCCTAAAGAAGAAAGAAGATGAAATGCCAGGATTTGAAACCAGCTAAGATTCCCACAACTCAAGAACTGAACTTGAGTCTTATTACTCGGACGGATTTAACATTTAAACAAACAAAACGGCACGAGAATTATATATCTAAAAAAAGGTTTTTGGCTTTTAAGGAAAAAACTAAAATGCACTATAGAGCAAAATTTGGTAACGGAATAAGGAGGAAACATCTTACACTGCACTGTTGAAGGATGACACTGAAAATATTTCCTTTACCCTTGGATTTTTGATCTTACAAGTTTTTAATAAACTTATTTTAGGCATCAACAATTCTTAGAATATTGTAGATATCAAAATTACCATTTAATCTGCATTAAAATACTTACTAAATTACAATTTTTGATTACACATCCCAATATATTTATTTTCAGGATCACCGACTTTGTTTACGTTAGTTTCGGCGTGTTCGGTACTGGATAAGTTGTACAGTAAGTATTCGTGTATCCTTACATCACACACACTCTTTCTTTATGTGTGCGCATTATTTCATTAGAATTAGTTGTACTGATATAACTTCACTAAAAGGGGTTTTCTGACTATCAACTCAAGTCTAAGATTATTAAATTTAAATGGGAAAAAATTAGGCTTAGTCGAATCACAGGCACCTGTCTGAAGTGTGGATACCCCTCTCCATGTAAAAAAATATATATATATATATATATATATATATATAAAAGCCTATAATATATTACTCAAAAATAACAGATTTCCCCATCTATGATATCTGTATGTTGTTCTATGAAAGCAGATTGTACTTTTTCTTACTTTTAGATATTGGCCATGTACGGTACAATAAAATGTATATTTTTATTATACTGTACATGGCCAATCTCTCTAAACGTAAGAAAAAGTACAATCTGTTTTCATAGAACATCTTTTATTTTTGAGAAAATTTGGGTTTTATATTTTATTTATTGATGTGCCTTTGCCAATTATTGTAATTGTGTTTGTGCCAATAAATATTTGTATTTGTATTTGTATTTATTTGGAGGGGGGTATCCACACTTTGGGTGGCTGTGGTCCAATGTGTACCATCGCTGCCCCCTCTTTGCTGCGATGTTGTCACAACGAGCACCCCATCCCACAAGTTAGAATGATCTAACTGTGTCTCGGGACAAGCCACTACCCTCCCTCCCGAGTTCATTTTTATTGAGCTCTCAATATCCATCATATTATTATTTATTTTTCTATTATTTATCATTATCTTTTAATTACTTCCAACCGCGGGGGGGGGGGGGTACACTTCTCATGCCCGTGTTCTTATTTACAGATATACTGTACGACCAACTTTACTACTGGTGTTTTGAAATCTCCAGGTCTTTGGAAATGGTTGCCTACAGATCATGAAACAAAGTTCTCTAAGCCTCCCCCCTTCCTGAGAGGAAACTGCATGATAAATCTTAAAATGACGACAATGACAAACGAAATATATCGAGAAATTTTTATTGCCATTTGAGCAATTAAACAGCGTTCTTCTAAGTTAAATACTACAACGTATATATATTACATATCAACTAGTGCTAATTGTAACGGGAACCGTTACAGATGTTCCCCAAACGCTCCCCAACTCCCTTTCGTTGCTATATTCCCTGTAAGCTTCATTAAATAAGACAAACTCTGTGCATTTTTTACTTTAACAACGTTTTTCCAGAAGGATACCAATTATATTCAATTTTTAGCATTGCACCCAAGCGCATGTGAATGCATGTGCGTTATGACCATATCATCTTGTCTTTCAAGAGTATTTTTAAATATACTCGTTTCAAATCCACGCACGTGCGTGCACGTACATGATGATCATACCTTCTTGTAGGACTCCCTTACATCTATTTATGTTCTATATCCCATCCTGTTTGGTTGAAAAACAAGGGAGTTATAGACATTTAAAGTTTCAGCCAATCAGATTGCAGCACACGTGCATGCACATAATTTCATGATTTTTTTTATATCATTTTGTAGGATATCCTAATGCATGACTACATTTTAAATTTCAAAGAATTTCGTCAAAAAACAAAGGAGAAATAGCAATTTAAAGTTTCAGCCAATCAAATTGCAGCACACGTGCATGCACGTGGTTTCATGATTTTTTTTTTTGTATATCATTTTGAAGGATATCCCAATGCATGACTATATTTTAAATTTCAAAGAATTTCGTCAAAAAACAAAGGAGATATAGCCATTTAAAGTTTCAGCCAATCAGCTTGCAGCACACGCACATGCGCATGCTTTCATGAAAAGTCTTATATATCATGCGGTAGATCATTATAATGTAGGACTATGTTCAAAATTTCAAAGGATTATGACAAGAAACAAGAAAGTTATTGATACTTTAGTTTCAGCCAATCAGAGCAAAGCGAACGTGCATGCGCGTGAAATCTTGCTATTTTGACCATGTTATCTTGTCTATACTACTAATGTATCCTTACATTATGAGTTTCAAAAAATTTCATCAAAAAATAGAAAAGTTACGGCAATATCCATTATATTGGTAATTTCACCTAATGCACGTGCGCGCTCTTGCAAGCACGTGCGCGCAAAATGACCTTTGTTTGGCAACTCTACATAACATGCCTACTAACCCTAAAAAGGTTTCACCTAAGTCGGATGTGTAGTTTACAAGATCACTCGTGGACAAAATTTTCCCAGGAAGAAGAAAAATAATAATAATAATAATAAGAAACAGAGTAAAAACAATATGTATATATATTGGGGAACATAATAAAGATAAGTAAGTTTCATTTAGAATTAATGAAAGAATGTAAAAATGTTTGTTGTACTTTTCTTTTGATTTTGTATACGAATTAAATGAAACTGTAAAACATCATTCAGTTTCACAGGTATTAACGTTTGATCAGATGATAAGGATCGAGAATTCCTGCAAGTTTCTTGCGCTGCCTTAAAACAAAATCTTCTACATTGTTAAGAGGGATACATGAACAATAGGGGAAAAAATGTCAAATCAAAGAAAAATAACAACATTCATGCAAGCAAGCATAAAAAAATAATCTCTTTGTGGTTTTACAGGAAATTAATACAATGCACATGATAAACTAATCTTACTCACTGAAGCAATCTTGCATCCTGATTATGACGATATAAATCGATGTTGTTTTATATTCAAACACATAAAACAGGATGAATTCAAACTATACATCCTAAGTTCAAATAAACCAGAAAAGCAATACTGTATTATATACTCATTATTCCGTCTGGTTCAACAAAGCCATTTACAGAGCAGAATCATACGATTTCAAGATGTCCTAAACTTGTTTAGAACTCTTAGAATAATACAACTTTTAGCTGGAACCATTTTGACTATTCCATTATTTTTTGGTTATCATTTTCCAGGGTGGACAGAAAATAGCCTAAATAGTTATACGCTTGGCATGTCAGGTACCGAAAACCATAAAGTGTTGACCACTACTCTGGCAACCCTCTGGCTCAGATTTCCCGGACTGGCCACAGCACGGAAAAAAATAGGTTCCGTCCAGCTTGACTGGTGTTTTGGGGTGGTACTTGCACAGATTGGTGGATGAAACTTCTGCGTGACAGCGAGGGCAATCTTTGAGGGACTGACGCTTGAATCGGCCGTGACACTCGGGGGTTTCCTCAGCGGTTGACAGAACGCGCAGCTTCCTCTTCAAGTGAAGTTTGTTCTTCTTCTCCTGCTCCAACTCTGTCGTCCTTAAGTCCAAGATGGTGGACATCAGCATCATCTGCAAAAATACATGTTATCATGAATTTTTCTGTTCATTTAATAAAATGAATGAAAATAGATTTAGTTAACATTTTTTCCTTCAAATATTTAAAATTAAATTTGTAATCTATTAAAAGTTGCAACTTTTAAGTTTAAACCTTACATTTTCTTCCAGTTCTGCAATGACCTGACGCTGTCTCCTGTTTTCTATTATTAGATCCTCATTAACTTGTCGCAGATGATCATTGTCCTGGCTGAGACCATTTGCCTGTTCCCGCCATTTCTCCTTTTCTAGGACTATTTCTTTGAGCAGTATGATTTCTTGTTCCTGTATTGCGACTTTATTTAAGGCTTGTTGCTTGACTAAAATGTCTGCTTCTAAGCCTAATAACTGCAAAGAGGAACATACTGACAATATTTGGTGTAAGTGTGGACAAAGTCAGCAAAATTCATGATTTTAAAAACGGACATTTTTCAAATTTATAATATCTATGTAAAATTAATTGTTGAAAATAAGATGAAATATTTATATATGATAAATTAATGCTCATAGCACCCTTCCACTCTCCCAATTCATGAAAAAAAACTATTTAAAAGTAAACTGATACCTAATAAAACGGTTTATATTTTAAATACATGTATATATTGTATACCTTTTGTTTTAAGGTGTCAATTTCTTCTTGTTGTCTAGTAACTTGCTGTTCTACAATTGACATAAATACCTCAAGAGATTTTCGACATTAAAAAGAACTTTGATGAACAAATTACTGATGAATGAACATGTACTCTTGATTACTAGTCTGAAAAACTGTTTGTGATCCTGATTATGGAATTTTACCATAATATTGGGACAATTAAACTAAATAAGAATCTACCTCTGTTGATCGCCTGTAGAATGTCGTGTCCTAAATGCGGGGTAGTGGACCCCAGGGTTATACCAGAAGCACCCTCCAGATTCATACTGTAGGGAAAATGATTGAATATAATTTAATTTAAATTTAATTTATACTTACTGTTAGATAGATACGGTTTCCCTTTGTTACAGTATACATTGATAAGCTAAATATAGATATTTGTGAAGAGGGATCCATACACCTCTTTTTATAACTTCTGTATCATGTATCAAACAAAATTATCTCCACAGTCTATATTATTAATGTATTATTTCATACACATGTAGTATGTATTAAGTTTTTTTTTTCTAAACGTACAGACAATATATATTTGCATGAGACCTATACTTCATTTCAATGATAAAGTGTCAATCCCTGCATGAAAAGGCCTTATATGTAAAATCAATAGACAAGGATATCAGAAAAAATTTCGATGTAAGAAGAACATTCCAGTTACAGTGGGGAGGGGGGGGGGGCACAACCATACATTTTCAATTAGGGGGTCATCAGATGTCATTATTCAGGGGGCACAAGCATAAAGTGACTGTTTTCTATAGTAATCTATATATCGGCAAAATTATTCGCTCCCCCCCCCCTTCCGGTTTTTACAGCTATGGAGTGCAATTTATCAAAACTATTTCCTCGTTTTTTATTTTCATATACATGTATATAGCATTTCATTTTTTTAATCTTAGTCGTTCTTTTCTTCGCTATTTATAAATATTAAAGCCATTACTATACATATATTGATCAATCTTAAATTGGATTTATTAAAAATATTTTTTTTCTTTGTTGAGCAGGTGAATACGGAAGCGTATTAGTGCCACTTGGACACTTCACTTTTTTTTTAATTTCTACACATTAAAGTGTAAATTTTACACATTAATCTGTAAATTTTACACTTTAATCTGTAAATTTTACACTTTAATCTGTAAAATTTACACTTTAATCTGTAAATTTTACACATTAATCTGTAAATTTTACACATTAATCTGTAAATTTTACACATTAATCTGTAAATTTTACACATTAATCTGTAAATTTTACACTTTAATCTGTAAATTTTACACTTTAATCTGTAAATTTTACACTTTAATCTGTAAATTTTACACAGATTAATCTGTAAATTTTACAGATTAATGTGTAAAATTTACACTTTAATCTGTAAATTTTACAGATTAATCTGTAAAATTTACAGATTAATCTGTGTAAAATTTACAGATTAATCTGTGTAAAATTTACAGATTAATGTGTAAAATTTACAGATTAAAGTGTAAAATTTACAGATTAAAGTGTAAAATTTACAGATTAAAGTGTAAAATTTACAGATTAATGTGTAAAATTTACACTTTAAAGTGTAAAATTTACACTTTAAAGTGTAGAAATTAAAAAAAAGTGAAGTGTCCAAGTGGCACTAATACGCTTCCGTAGGTGAAGGACTTTATATACTTATTTCATTTTATTTTATTTTTTTGCACAAATGGGTAATAGAAAGGCATTTGCCAGTGCAGACAGCTCCTCAATTCCATGTTTCCTTCTTTATTGCAAAAAAAGCATTGTAATGGTATTTGGCAGTTGTCCAAACGCACTGTACACATAAAAAAATCCTTTCTGGTCTATTTTGAGACAATAAACCTTACAATGGGTCGATTGAATTGAAAAATAGTAATCTATTGTCCATATTCTGGAAGTACATTTTACGTTTCATTCTCCAAAGAGTTTTTAGGACACAAAACATGAATAATTTTGATTGTTTACCTGCCCTACATTGTGACCTATATATATGGATATACTAGTACCTTTATCGTATACTCATACTTTTTTTAAAGCTTTTTTTCAGAGAATACAAACATATTGATATATAACAAATATTTACCGTACTTTGGTCTTTCTTGAATGCTCTTTTGTCGCGAATTGGTAAACTGGTATCAGAGACTGATCGCAATGAATGTCAGAGCCCAGAAATAAAATGGGAATCCCCCTTCGTTGTGACGTAAAATGTTTGTCCTCGTGACATTAAAAAGTTTATGAGAAGTTTTTATATTTAGTCACTTTAAAATGAAAAACTGGGACCAACCGCATGTAAAGTTAACTCGACGAATAATGAACTTTTTAAAAAATCAACACAGAAATTATAGGTGTGCCGTGTGTGTGTGTGTGTGGGGGGGGGGGGGGTCTCATAATGGAGAGGTACGTTATAAAAAAAAAATCTTCATACACTTGATATATGAACATAAAACTATGACTATTCAAACAAATGTTTAACATGCAGTGGTCATATTTTGTTACCTTATTTACCCAAGGTATCAAAAGGTTCAGATTCATGCTCATTGATGCTCTAATAACTGATATTTATAACTCTAAATGGGACCAGACTATATTTAATTTCTTTATTCATAAATTGCCAAGTTAATTTTTTTGTCTTTTCCCTTCCGTATAAAATTGTTACACTTTTACGCATAAAGAAAGCAAAGAATTATTTAAACAATAAAATGCTTTCTTTGTTTGAACGTTCGCAGCTGTTTCAGAAAAAATACATAACCCGCGTAAGCGGGTTATGTAAATTTTTTCTGCAATAGCTGCGAAAGTTATTTCCAGTAATAACAAACAAAGAAAGACATTTTATTGTTTATCTTTATATCTGTTTAGATAATCATTTAAAGTAGGACTAAAAAGGTTAATTATTGTATTAATGATGCGAACGTCTTTATACGTTTCATTGATGGAACAGCCACTGATCAAGAAATCTGTACAGGCGACATGCCTAATGTAGTTCATGCAGTGATTAACGCAATGGGTTTCTTAAGAAATAAAGGAGAAATTATTCAGTGGATGTAAATATATATGCGTGAATTTAGCAAGATTATAAAGTTGACTTACCCCACCCCACCACCACCACCATCAACCCTCCAAGGTGAATCAATAATTACAGGTTAAATAATTTACTAAAATTTTTAATAAAAAGTATCAAATTGTCTATGGAGGACAGGACATTTGTAATTCAATACATAAATAAATAAAAAAAAAACAAACTATATAGCACTTTTTCACTGACATACAATGAAGCGCATTGAAGTGGTAAAATTTTCTGTTTGGGTGGAACGTTTTGAGCTATCTTTAGACACGCCCATTTCTTTAGAAAGGAAAAATCGGTCAAATGATTCAATTGAATACTTGTAGAACAGGTATTTCATAAACAGAATAGCTTATGAAATTGAAGGTCTACATAAACACCGAGTAAGCACGTGTTCGACTAATGCATGTGCTATGCTTAATCATAATTACATGTACAGTTATTTTGCCAGTTCCGAATAAGAAACCGATTCGACGGTGCTACAAATATTCTAGGAATTATTTCAAAATCTAAGTGTTTTGTCAAGGTAGTTCGATGACTTGCGGAATTAAATATTGTTTCATAAAAGTTCAGCCTTCCCTCAAAAAAAATTAATTCGCAAGTTACCATAGGTGTCCATTTTACCAGTTACGAATAAGCCGACGGGTTCTGGATATACCCTAGAGATTCTTATTCAATTCAACCCTAAATTAAAAAAATATACGTCCCAGACGTTATCCATTGGCATGCCTAAGAAAAGTTAAATTAATTGCTTACCAATAAATTATTTGTATTTCCAAAGGTTGAAGAGAAACTAGAGGTATACTGTGGGCACTGAGCTCATTTTAATGATACAACACGCCTCCTTTATGATTATTTAAGACAAAGTCCATGTTTTACTCTGGGAGACCCGAAATAAATGTCAGATCAAAAAGTAAAATAATAGGTCACAATGTCACAATGAATAAAGAATATGTGAAAGTATCATTAAATCTTATTCAGTGGTATAGGAGGAATTGCGGACAAGAGATGGATATACCTTTCAATATTACAAAGAATGGCAGTATCTATTTTTTTTCTCAGGGAGCCCAAATTATGTACCAGATCCAAAAATAAAAAAGGTGCACTTTGGCACTGTTAAACAAAGATTCTGCGAAAGACTCATTGAATTCTGTGAAGTCTCATTAGACTTCGTTCAGTGGTAGAAGAGGGGTTGCGGATAAGAAATAGATACCCCAGAGCATATCAGACGGACGGACGTACAGCTAGACGGACGGACGGATGGACAAACATCCCATTACTATATACCGCTTCTTCCTGTTTTTCAAGCGGGGGTAGAATAAGTCACGTTCACAATGAAGAAAACATCGAAAAGTGAATTTATAATAGTGTTTAAAATGGGTATTCGGAACTGGTAAAATAAGAGCACGAAAATATTTCGATATCTTCCAGTGTTCTAAATATTTTTGACATGTTTTTAGTATATGTTAGAGTACATATCAAACTTACTTTTGATACCTAGAACGTTGTTTTATGTGAAAAATTTATGCATCTACAGAGGTTTTTCTGCAGACTTACGCGTCGCGGTGATTCAGATTTGTTGCATTGTAAAAGTGTGTCGACTGTTTCAAGTACGATAATGAAACCAAACTGAGGGCAAAAAATCAAAACTTCACATAATTCAAACACTCAAGAATAAGCCTTCTTACCATAGAAATCAATTTATTTTTACACCGTTGAATTTATTAATTATCAGTCCTTAAATTACTTATTATTCGGAACTGGCCAAAATCCGGAACTGGCCAAACGACTGTATGTACAAAATCGTTTCAATGCGTATTTTACATATAAGCGGAAACTCTCTATATATCTCTGTTTTATTTAAAAATCTTAATTTCAGTGTAACTCATTTTGTTTTGTGGGGAAAGTGTTATGTCCCGAAACATTACGACGAATATTCCTATCTCCTTTCTAAAGAAATGGGCGTGTCGTAATGTTATAATTGACGTTCAAAACATGACTCAGAACGTTTCATCCAAATGGAAAATTTTACCACTTCAATGCGCTTCACTGTACAGAGTATCAACGCGAATAAAAAATATTCCAGTACTTTGGAAGGATGAAAACTTTCCCCTTTTCCCAGTCGAAGTCAGACTCTGTATAAAATGATGGGTGTCCTGCATTGTAATTCATTTCTTATTTTAGTATTGCTATAGAAATTATAACAAAAGAAATTCACCCTTTTCTATACTTCCGTAAACAAACACCCGTCTAACACCTGTGGATGAATGTTTTAAAGTCTGCGATGTTTGAGGGATGGTCCAACAAATATGCTACAATACTAGTAATGCGCGGATCTAGACGGGGGGGGGGGGGGGGGGGGTGGTGCAGAGTTATTAAATGTATGATATCCTAAACCAAGTAAAAAGTGACACCTTGGACCACCCCACCCCACTCCCACCCCCCTAGAAAACGCGGACCCCTCCTCGAAAATAGATCCATGTGATAATCGTATATGAAAAGTCACTGGTATGAAGTTTTAATTAAAAGTCAAGCGACCCCCTCCCCCAACACGACACACACACGCGCGCGCGAAATATGTTTTTCATGATTGGGAAATGAGTACGTTTTTTTTTTGAGAAATTTTTGAGTTGGAAATTTTTGTTGACTGGGGTGTAACCCCCTGCCCCCGGAAAAAATTTCTGGATCTGCGCCTGCTAGCTATAGTGATCAATGATACTCTGGAGTAGGTTTCGCACGGTTTAAACTTCTTGAGGTTGTTTTCTTAATTTTCATGTTTTTACCTTTACAACTGTATATTAATCTTCGTATAAATAACAAAATATGTTAAAAAAAAAAGAAAAGAAAAGAAACAACAATTTTCACGGTAGAAAACTAGAGGTACTGTTAGCACTGAGCTCACTAAATGATTCCCTCGCCTCTCATACGGCCATTGGACCCGGGGGGGGGGGGGGTAGATATAGCCTCCAATTGAAAATGTTTGCTCCCCTTCCCCAACCGAAATTGCTTCTTACAGGCCTGCTGGTTATAATGATGGTCTTTGGCAACAGTTTGTCATCGTTTATACCCCAATATTCACTTTATACTCCATATGAAGTGGATGATTTTCATACTAGAGTATTAATTATGTGAGGAAACTACTAACATTTAAATATCTTTTTAGTGCTATTGGTTTTACGCACGTATAATTAAGATTGTATGGCAAAATGTTGGTTAAACAATGTATTTAATGCGGCATGGCTCTTTTATCCTCTAAGCTTTTTGCCGATTCTCAAAAAAGTGTCATACCTAATAACTAAAAGTAATAACAAGAGGCCCATGGGCCTTATAGGTCACCTGAATATCATGCAACAACTTTCTAACAATTGAATTTGATTCATGTTTTAAACCAGAGGCCATGAAATGCACAATTTTGAAAGAGACTCCATTGCTTATCATAATTATACACTCAGCATGCTTACTTTGGTTACTTGATATCCAGAGGTAGATCAGAGTAACTGCTTGATGTCCAGGAGTAAAGAAGATTTTTAAAGATTGCACAAATTTTAGTGGTTTTTGCCCCACCCCCAGGCCCCAGGGGGGCAGGGAGCAAGAAATTTCACAATTTTTGTTCCCCTTCACCCATAGATGCCATATGCGAAATTGGTTGAAATTGGTTCAGTGGTTTCAGAGAAAAAGCTGAAAATGTTCAAATGTTAACGTACAACCACAGACGAAAACAGATAGGAATAGGTCACCTGAGTTTACTCAGGTGACCTAAAAATTAATTTTCAATATTTGATTTTTGTTTCTTTATTTACATAATTGCTATATTTGGTGATAATGCATCAGCCGTTCTTTTTTTCACACGTAATATGTACATGTAATGCTTTTGATAAAAAACAGATCGTCTTCTAACAAAAATGAACTAAGGAAGTATACGATACATTGAAAAGTTATGTGAAATCAGTACTAAAACTAGAACTGTCCGAAAGGGACAGCTACCCCCAGATTGGTTTTCAGAGAAGGTGCCAAATCAGGAATATCTTATGAAGTGAAACATATGGAAATAACGAACAGTATTCAAGATCAAAAGTCCATAAAACAATACAAAATAGGAGCAGAGCAAACACGGACCTCCAAAAATCAAAGGTGGGATCAGGTGCCATGGAGGAGTGAGCATTCCCTGCCGACCGGTCACACCCGCCGTGTGCTTCTTGTCATGATTGGGAAATAGCGGAAAATTCCGTTGTCAATTCAGTGTATAAATAATGGACTAAAAATTAGTATGAAAAAAGCCAGGCAGCGTATGACTCAATGATGAATTGTATTTGCTGACAAGGCCATTGTATCGACCATGGAACTTACAAAATGATGATTTTAAACGAGACTGCTGATAATCCTGTTTCATCAATTTGTTTGTCAATAATTTACCTCGTTTTACAAATTGTTCATACGTAGAGCATGCTCTTGCGTATCAAATCAACTGAGATATATAAACTCCGTATTAAGGTGATGACAGTATATTACTGCATAAGAGAGGAAAGTTGACGATTGTAAAGTTAAAGACATCACGTTTATCATAGAGCTTGGTTGTTAGATAAGCATACCATTAACATCTTTTTCAAGTGAAATATACTATTAAGAGGTGTTTACAATTTTCGAAAACATTTACAGTTGTAGATGGAAAATATAATTGCTCGTTATATTTTAAATGAATGAACTAAGGCACAGATTATTAAAAAATAAATACTAAAGATAAGGAACAGACAGTGGCATAGCTAGACTCTAAATGAAGTGCATGCTAAAATTAGCAAGGGCTCTGGGGGCCTCCTTGAGGCCCCCAGTGAGTCCAGAGCGAAGCCCTGGTGGGGGCCCAGGGGGCGAATCCCCCGGAAGCTCCTGGATTCTTACGATTTAAACACTCATAAAATCATAAAAGAAAATGAAGAAAATACAATTATTAAAAGTCTTCACACCATTTTATTGTTAGAAATAAAACCAAGGAGCTCTTTTTTATAGTAATCTCGACGAGATCCGTGGAGACTAAGAATTTTGGTCAGACACGAGACCAAAATTTTTAGTCTCACTGAGATTTATATAATAATAGCATAGAGACATGCTTTTTTCTGTTATAAATCTTAACGTTTAAGTAATACAGGTTACCGTAGTTTTGAAGCATCTATTAACTAAATTGTTGAATTTTTGGCCTGTATATTAAATCATTTGGTCTATTCAACCTTAAAATTTAATTTGATTTGAAAAAAATTAGATGATTAAGGTATATCCACATACATAAATTAATTCTATGGGTTCAAAGTAAAAAAAACTGCATTTATATTCATTAAAAAACAGTTTAGATTAGTAAAAGTATTATAAAAATTATGTTAAATCTACTTAAAATACATAATTCTGATAAATGCTGAAAGTTCCAAAATAATTGTTACTTTAAAAAATATGCTTCGAACTCATATAAATAAAACTGCTCAATCACAAAAGTGTACATGCATGTAAAGAAAGTGTTCATGTGTACAGCTATCACAGGGATGGTTTTTTATTTCACCAATAACATGTACCTATAGGTTGATCGATTTCTTCATGCCTCATTATCACTATTTTTTTTTTTAGCAAAATGATGTGCATGCTGGAGCATACAAGCATACATGGTAGCTATGCCATTGACAGACACAAATTATGAACGTTTCATGTCAGTGACTTTGAACTTGCATAAATGACCTTGGGTCAAAGTCATGACAAACCCTCGGGTCATAAGCAATCTTTGTGTAAAATGGTAATGTTAAATGTAAAATAAAATCATCACCTTTATCCATGAGAAAGATATGGACTGAACATGAATTATGAACTTTTTCTTTCAGTGACATTGAACTTGTCCAAATGACCTTGGGTAAAGGTCATGACACACCCTCAGGTCATAAGCAATCTTTGTGTAAAATAGGAACCCACCAAGTTTATCCAACAGAAAGATGTGGACCAGACACAAATTATAAACTTTTTTCTTTCAGTGACCTTGAACTTGTACAAATGTCCTTGGGTCAAGGTCATGACACGCCCTAGCTGCAGAAGGGTAGCTCTCAGAAATAATACATATTGACAGACCGAGTCTGTCAATATATATTTTTTTGGAGAGCTACTGTACAGTTCTGCAGCTAGAAACACCCTCAGGTCATATGCATCCTTTTTTTTTAAAAGTACATGTAGTAGATTTCAGTTCATGAACTTTTTCTTTCAGAGACATTGAACTTGCCCAAATGACCTTGGGTCAAGGCCATGAGGAATTTTGTGTAAAATTGGAACTTACCAGTTTTATCCATAAGAAAGATATGGAAGGAACACAAATTATGAATTTTTTTTCAGTGACCTTGAACTTGCCCAAATGACCTTTGATCAAGGTCATGTCACACTCTTCGGTCATGAACAATCTTTGTATGAAGTAGTAGATTCTAATGTTCCTCCATAAGAAAGATATGGACTGGACACATTTGCACAGACAATTGTTTACAGTCTGACAGTAAGACAGTGGAATAAAGACAAGACACTTTACCATTGCATAAGCTCATCTGGTTTCTGACCAGTTGAGGTAAAAACACATTCCGGAGACAAAAAAAATGCTGTTTGTATAATATAGACCCATATTTTCAAAACCAATGTCCTACAGTTTTTTATTTTAAAATGTTGTTTTTTATGCATTATAGTTCAAAAGGTGCTCAATTATTGTAAGAATCCAAAACATTTCCCTTTGCAACAGTAATGTACCTAGGTATGCTTCAATTTACATATATCATATGGCACACAGAGTTCAAGATTTAAACTTTAAGCAATTTCTACTGACCATATCTCATATTTCAGCAACAGTGAGTAAAACCCAGAAACAACTCAGTGACTATAAGAATTTATTACATATATGATAATTTATATACAAATTGTCCAAATGTAACCAGAATTTTTAACAAGCCTGATACATATACCCAAAGAAATATTTGATACTGACTGTGAATACTAAGATGGTAACACAAAACAGCTATTCATGCTTTATTCAAGAACTCTGGTCAATGAATGAATGTACAAATATTTCTTTTTACATTATAACATTAGGAAAATCATCCAGAAATGTTCAAAAAACTTCCAGCAAAAAAAAAAAATCCTCCTCAAAGTAATGGTTTAAATACATGTATACCCACAAGTGAATATTAATTATTAAATGGGACTTTGGTGTGGAACCATATAAAATGCTCCACCTTACGTAAATATATATAATGAAAACATCTATAACTCCAGTTCACTACTACAGAATGCCTCTGATTATGTATGTGGAATGTTTTCTGGATTATGTCTATTTAACAACTCAATCAACAACATTTCTACAATATTATACAACTCATAATTACAACATTCCAGACTTTTTTTTCTGAAGACTAGAATCAGGGCCTCACTATCAAGCAGTGCTGACCTTACAATATAGGTAGGTATTTGTCATGTTTTATATATTAGTGATTGATAAATATTTGTATCTGAGCTCATATTTCCTTTTCTTCTAGTCTGATCCCATCTTTATTCCAACAATCTGAAAAAAGATGGAATGAAAAAAATTAAAAGATGATAAGCACCTCTCTTCAGTAAAACTTGTTTAATACAAACATGGATATTGTGAATTCACAGATATAGCGAAGTTATCTTGGATCCCAACTGCACATATTTAAAGAATTCCTTATAGGGATATTACAAATTACAGATATAGCGAAGTAACTTTCCAGTTATAACTGAGTTTTACTGCATTTAATACAATCACATCAAAATCATGATTTTTTGTGATAATGAAATCAATAGAACACATACCTGTAAAATACCCACAATGACACCAAAGAGACCAATAACACTAGCAAAGATTTCCAGGATCAGGATTTTGACAAACAGTGTGGAGTTCTGAGCATCAGCCAGGGCAGCCCCTGATCCCACAATCCCGACAGTGATCCCACAGGCAATGTTAGACACGCCAACAGTCAGTCCTGCCGCAAACATTCGGAAACCTGTGATACATCAAGTATAAATAGTTATGTGAGACAAAACTTTTTCCCTCTGTATTTTGCATGTACCAGTCTTTCAGTTCAGTTCCAAACACAGTTTGTTTACATGTATTTGTACAAAAGCATCTTTAATATGAACATTATAAAAATGTCCCATGTCTTGAAGTATTGATTTTAATTCATACATTTACAAATATGCACAATTCTTTATAAATAAACTTGACTACAATCAGATGGTCATTGATGTAAACAAGCAGCAATCTATAAACATTTTTTTGTAAATACCTGCATCATAGCTGTCTCTAATGACTTGTTCAGAGTCTTTCTCTTTGTCAAATGCCTGGAAAGAAATATTGTATATACTTAAGCTGACAATCCTTTATATACAAACTTGTAATCAATGAAGTCCAAACTTGATTTAAAAACATTCAACACTATGAATGAAATTCGATTTTACATATAATTTTTTACTGCACAAGAACTTATCGCAAACACAATCTTATATATCTCCATCCAAAAAGCCTGGATTCCCTAAGTTTTAACATAAAATATGTATTTTATAAACTAGCTTACAATTTGAACTTCAAACTCATTTCAACTTACTCCAATATTTTGTCCAATGATGATGGCCATGATGATTCCATAAATAGCTACAGCTTCACAGAAGATAATGCTGATCAGGTTCTTGGTTTTGATGCGGGGGGCCTTCACTCCCCCTCCCAGAATACTAGCACCAGTAGTGAAAATACCCCTACAACCAACATACTTCTTCAAAAATGCATTTTCACAGAATTTTGTACCTTTAACAATGCTATTTTTTAAAATATATAATTTATCCATATAAATATAAACTTTACACAAAGTTCCTTGTAAAAAAACACAATCCTTTTAAATTATTGTTTTTTTTTAAATGGATTAGTTAATCAATAAACACATTTCATTCTAAATTAGATCTGACAATAGCATAGTTGCCGATTATAAAAATAGTATTTCAATTCTAAATTTTATAACAGACAAATCCTTACCATGCAGCACCTACAACAGAGAACGCAATGGCAAATCCAACTCCAAATGAGGCCCACATGTAAGGAGATGTACTCTCAAAGAACCTGTAATTAACAATGTAATATAGGTTACAGCTGCAGAACCGTAGTGTTATGGTTTTATGTTTTAGTTTTTTACCTTAATGTTAAAGATCCCATAATGCAAGTAATGTGCCAATTACAGCACAAGATTTTTTTTGCACATGGTTGGGGAGAATTTCTCCTTTTTCTAGCATTGATCAGTCAACTACCTTTCGCTCCATAATTCTAAACAATTTTTTTTAACCAACTTGTATATTTTATCTTCTTCTAAGCCCTTTGTAGTCATCTCTAAAGATCAATATGCTTGTTTGATTTTTTTGTTGGATGGCAGAAGCTTCATAGAGCACAAGTTAACAAAAGGAGATATAGGTTAGGGGCAGCAGCAAATAATTAAAGGGCAATAACTCTGTGTTTTTGAACCACTGTGTCATACAAGCCATCCTGAGCTCAAGCTGAGCTGGGTAATGCAAACCTTTGCTACAGATAAGACAATCTCTAAAGAGTGCATGAGAAATTAGAGAGTAGAGGCCATCTGCGCTGACCTGTTACAGTATTTTAAACTGAAACTTGGTAAATTTACATCTTTAATCCTTTTATAACATTTTCATCTAGTTTTGGGTCATAAATAAAAAATTTCAAAGGCATACTGATCTTTTCATTGAAACTAGATACCATCAGAATCACTAAAATCATAGACAACATTTACTTTCACTTCAGGTATTGGTTTTTTTCATAAATACAATATTTCTACATTCTTAGTATTTATACCAGTTGAACCAGTTGTTCTTAGACAATAACTCATGAATTTAGAATTTCTGTATATCAAATCATTAAGTACAGGTATTAATCATTGCAATAAATATAAGAGTTATCGAGTAAGAACTACAATGTAATAGCAAGCACAGCAAGGCGGCCTGAGTGCCGCTCACATTGCGAGCTCCATAGACAAAGTGTATGAAAGGAGGAAATTCGGGTTGAAATCTGCACATTGTTCCAAGAATTTTTATCAATCCACGTGAAAAAATTCCAAACTCCCAATAATTCTTTGGGTTGCATAGCAACATGGTAGTTTAGACACAGCAATAACTTACTTGAAAAAATTACAAACAATCTCCATGCCACATAAAACAATTGTTTGCGTCAGGACTGTCAAAAGGAGATTTTTATTTGACGTCATACTTTCGTCAGTCGTCACTTAAATGGCTTGGGTATTCCTGAGAAGTGCGGAATCTTGATCCCGATGCATTGGAAGTGATTTCTTTTTATTGTTTTGTTTTATCCGTTTTTTCCCTCTTTTTTATGAACAGAGGATATGCAGTATTAGTTATGAATAGGTTTTTGATTGTACATAACTACGCTTACCCAAACAGTCACATCATAAAACATATTACTTTAAAAAACATTGGTATACTTACCATCCAAAATCTACCCTTGTTCCTTTGCCAGTTAACATATAATAAAATGCTGAAAAACACAAAAATACTTGAGATCATTCAAATCAAGCCAATTATTTTCATTCATATGGAATGATGTGAAATAACTAGGGGTGCAGTTACATTATGGGTTTTTTTTATTTTACCTTACTAAACCTTACTTCAGTAACTTTAACATAATTAAATTTTTCTACACACAGATTTTGAATTCAACTCTGTTTTAACTCAACAAACGGGGGGGGGGGGACTTAACAATATCATAAAATGTGTTATTAAATAGATCTAGTTTACTTCTGACATTCTTTTATCACCAAGCAAAACTTACCGATTATAAGTATTGCTAAAGACCCCAGCATTAGCGTAATGAAATAAACGGGGAATATAGATACCCCCATCTGTTTAGTAGATGGTTTTTCTGGTTGATAATCCATTTTGACGACTACTTTTCCTGCTACAATACTCTAAATCATATGATCTTCGATTGCCGTCTTCAAACCGGAAGTGATGGATTTAGGTCACGAAGGAAGTTGACAACTCGTTCAAATTTATTTCGTTACAGGGTTATTCATTTTAATAAAATAAACTAACACGTTTTTCATTTGATCATTTAATCTTAAACGTAGATATTTCCTATCATACCCTCCCCCCCAATTAAAAAAATCAATACTTAGGGTACAGGTTTGCCAGACTGGCTGTATAGAGGTATCATTCCAAAGTTTTATATTATACTGCCATTGTTTCAAGATTTTTTTTTTTAATTTACCTTATATCTATCATTTTTATTTAATTGTGTTTTCTTTTATCATTCTATGGTTTCTATGCTTTTGATCCAGTGTGGTGATGCACTTCTCAATGTCAAACTTAATCACTAGTCATGTTACATTATCCTTAATATAGAATTGTAATCAATATATTTGATTGGTGAATAAACATAATAATAATATGTTGAAAGATATTCCAAAATATTGCATTTTGAGAGGAACTTGCCACGACTTCTTTAAAGAGAATATATTTTTGCAGTTTTAGTTTTTTTTTTATAATAATCTTTATTCAGGTATAGGCATTATGCAATGTACATGAACATTGAGGTGTGAGTATTAAACACAATATAAAAATTATAAATATACATAATTTCAGAGATAAGTTATAAAACAAATGACTAATAAATCTTATTTTTATATGATTCAAATAAATATATTATATTAAAATATTGTATACATAAATGTAACATTTTATAATTTAGCATTGGGGACATAATGTACATGTAAATGTATTTCTTAAGACTTTAGACTAAAAAATCATGCATTGATTAAGGAACCATAGGTCTTACCATGCGGCTTACGCTTGCTTCTCTTGTACATTTAATAAATCCATAGTATAATATTTTTATAGCATAGGTTGAAAAAAAAAACTATTACAAAAACAAGTACCTATGGTCATATAACCCGGACCCAACCAGGATCTAACTGAAAATTAACTATAGCAAAAGAACAACGCTGAAAAAAGTGTGGGTATCCTAACAACAATAAATCCCCCCACCCGTTCTACTGAAGAACTGGAAAATCAAACCATTATTTCTTAAATAAACACCGTTAATCGTGGCAAGACTTTTCAGTGAGTCCTTACTTGATCACTTATTTGGTAAATGTATCAGAAATTTTATATTTTATTACAAACAGATGTGGGTCCGAAGCATGCAATTTTTCTTTTGAAAAGAAATAAAAAGAAAAAAAGAGAGTTATTAAAGGCAGAAAATTTCAGCATCGCCTTCAAAAATACCTGATCTGGGTAGTCCTGTCAATAAAGTGCATGAAGGTCCATCATTGGATGCTGGAACTTGATTGACATTTACTTATAGATCCCTGTGTATACTAGTACCCTGTACACCTTGTATGAGGGGACCCTCAAATTAACTTTTGATCCCTTGATGTTTACCGAACATGGACAGTTGGTATAGAGAAACTGTCTCACTATATGAACATTTTTAGATTGAAATATACCTTTAGTGTTTGAAAGGATTATAAATAATATGCATTTTTTAAAATTATCCCTTTAAACATAAAACTTTTTTTTTCTTTTCGAGTGAAATTTCGATATTAATTTTAATATGCAAAATTTAAATGGTAAACCTATAAAGTGGAAATGTTATTTATAAAGTTCATGCAGAGAAGCACTGTGTGAAGTAATTCAATTTGAATATATTTATAAATGTTTCTAATCATGGGTCACCCTAAAATCCTATCTGGTCGTTGGGGTTAGGATGGATGAGGTGAGAGTTTTAAGAGTTGAAATTTCATGTGTTTGATCGTAAAGCAACAAAAAGGTGGACACCATGAAATATTATCAACAATTTTTTTTAACACAATAAAATTAAGAAAGTAGGTTCACATTGTTGTTCTTTTTCTGAAACTGAGACCGAAACAAATTTTTGGGGAATGTGAAGTATTACAGACAAGATGAAATACAATGTGGTTATGGTTTTAGAAAGATTAATTTTAATATTGTATATACAAAGAAGGAATTCATATTTGGATCGGTTGAAAAAAATTAGACAATTAAATTAAATATCTCATTGCTCTTCAAATTAAATATTTTATCTATAGAATGAAATGTAGTGTAAAAAACTCCTTGTCAGAATAGACTGATATCCTCCATCAAATACACGTATGAAACAAACAGGTGGAATATTGCATATAAGAACTTTTTAACGAAGCTGCATGGGAGCCCTGGAAGAATCTGTTTATGTGATTTTTCTTCTTATCTCCACCCCCCCCCTCTCTCTCTCTCTTATAAAATTTAAAAAAAAAAAAAAAAAAATATATATATATATATATATATATATATATATATATATATATATATATATATATATATATATATATATATACATATTGTATTTAAGTTATGTTTTAGAATCTGAATAAAAAAAAAATATAGTGGAGACCGGGGAAACGTACAGCATCCAAATCAAAATTTGCATGATAAAACCACACCAAAAGACAATCGAAATTTAAATCTGAACAGGGGGTAGGTTTTGGTAATCAATAATTGGTCTGTTCTTATAAAACTCCTCCGCTGTCAAGAAAAAAGACTTTGACCCTGCCATTGAATCTTGACCCCCACCCCTCCCAGAAATAGAGTTTGGGATTTTGTTATTAAAGGAACTTATATAAACTAACGCATATTTTTGATATTGAGAAATTTTATTGTAAAGAGGTTGAAAAATTTAGCTTAACTATTCCATTTTTGAACATGGCCACACTGGGCACCAGTACCTTCTTTTACTCAATTACTAAAGTGAAATTTTCAAAGAAAAGCATTCACTGCAGCTGAATCGGTAATGTTTACTCTAATGGGGTGTTACCTGTTACATGCAAATACGATGTTCAATAAATTTATCTTATACCCCATTCATACAACGTGATTTGCATACCTCAGTATATTTTACACATAAGTAAATTTACTCACATGTGCAATTTTTGTAGTATGAACTGATTTACTCACATGTAAATTTTGCACAGTTGAGTAAATTTACACCTGGTCAGGACTAGGTGCAAATTAACTTTTGCATACACTTTGTAGCAAATTATTGGTTCACGTGTGTAAATTTTGTCGTATGAACACACAGCAAATTTACTTATGTATGTATTTTGTTTTGTGTAGAGCATAAATCTCCATTTTAAGTGTTTTTTCGGTTGTGTATGCATTGTAAAATATCAGTTAGTAATCATTGTGGCTAGAAGGCAAAACTCTAAACAAGGAGCCATTATCTCCTCCGAGATAAATTTTCGAATTTGCAGAAACGAAGGCATCTTGCAACCTTTCAGGCAAACCTATTTTTATGTCTCTAAAGATATAGCTGTGGTCGCAAGTAAGTGCCTGGTAGGATCAATAAGTAGTGTCCTTCCTATACAAGTTGTCTCCTTTGGAATGCTCCGGAGCTATGAGAGGAACATGCATTCCATCAATTGCTCGGACCCCATTAGCTCTTGATGACTTTCTTCTACCTTTCTGTTTTTAATTCAGGCAAGTATTCACAAATAAGTTAATGTTACAGGAATTTCAATAAACTTGTTGAAAGTAAGCATTCGTAAGTATCTTCCTCGGCATCTGAACCCAGCATGAATGTCCAGAGCTTCGTGTTAATTTCCTATTCAGTGTATTCACATATTTGTATTGTTCAAAGATTTTTGAGATCGATCATTATTAGTTTTCTTCATCCTTTTCATTCTCATTGAAAATAAATGACTGACGTTTTTCATGCTAATTGTTAGTCAATTGTGTATACATGTAAACTGAACTGACGACGGATTTTTCCGTTATTTCCCGATCACGACAATGAGCACACAGCGGGTGTGACTGGTCGGCAGGGGATGCTCACTGCTCCATGGCACCTGATATTTTGGAGGTCCGTGTTTGCTCTGGTCCTATTTTGTATTGTTTTATTGACTTTGATAATGGATACTGTTCGTTATCTCCATTCCTTCATGTATCATGTTCAAGCGGATATTTCATATGGCCTCACACACTAAATGTACTGTAGATTTCCCAACACCAAAAAGATTCCAATCGTCCTATTTCTGCTGAAGACGTCAATCAGTAGATGGCAACAGTCAACTTTTTCTTTACACCCAATGGCTCTTCTATAGTCTTTAAATCAGGACAGAGGCCAAAACATTTTCCAACATTAAACAAAAATTTTAATAAATTTTCCTTCTTCGACTTCGTGTGTAAATTCTTATACCATTTTTTGTCCTTAAAATCATTAATTTCCTTTTATTTCGTACCAATAAATTAGTGGATCGGATTTCCACCCTGGACTTTACGGGACATTCAAAGGCCAAAAAGTAAGGAAATACACTTTTTCCATGCGCGGATCTAGAAGGGGGGGGGTCAGACCCCCCCCCCCTTGGAATTTGCAAGGTTATTAAATGTATATACTAAAGCAAGAAAAAAGTTACCTTGGACCCCCCTTGGAAAACGCAGACCCCCCTGGTAAACTTGAATTTGTGTGAAATGAGTACTGGAAAATTTTTTTGGATCCGCGCCTGTTTTCTATAAAAATTTACAATTCTGAATCAGTCCATTCTCCTCATTTGATATGAAAAATATGAGGATTTACTAACAGTACATAAATTTCGTCTGAACGCATAGCAAATTAACCTTTACTTACGTGTGTAGATTTACTTATATGTAAATTTGCACACATAAGCAAAATTTCGTCAAATTTCAGAATGTTTTAATTGATTAATCATCACAGATTATCATTTAGTAAAATTTCAATTTCTTCTATTAATAGATCTAGGGGGAATTTAATCTAAACATATCAAAGAAAATATTCTGTCCCGGCCTGATCATCTTGACCAGAAACAAGTATTCAGTCATTTATTAAATAATCTGATTATAGCGAGCGCAGCGACCGTCGCGAAGCGAGCTCAATAGACTAACGTGTAAGAACAGAGGAAATTCGGATTGAAATCTGTACATTCGTCAGCCAAATTTCTCTGTGCAACATTCCCAGAATTCCTGCACTACCCAATGTCCTTTGCGCGAATATTGCCGAATAAATAAATAAATAATAACGTAATGCATATATCAGGCTTTCAGTTTGTAGAAATCTTTCAAAGAAACAAGAAATAACTCTGCAATGTTTTTCGACAAAAATTGCACTAGTTCTATAGTTTCAAATCAGACGCTCAGCTGTCTCCGTAAGCTCCGACGAGCTTTGTGACGTCGTATGACGTCACAGCTAGTCGAGATGTCTCGTGCGGCTTGACGTTCGAAGTGGCTGATCTCAAGTGTTTTTGATGGTACAACTGCGCTCGCCCCAACGGTCACACCGTAAAACATATTAAATTACATTTTCTCACACAGTGATTCAGAATGTAACTCATCCAGTGCAATGTGTCCATCCCCTACGAAAGACGAATAGGGCCACATAAAAAAATATTTTTATCTCGTAATTACGAGATATTTTCTCGTAATTACGAGATAATTATCTCGTTATTACGAGAAAAGATCTCGTAATTTCGAGAAAAGATCTCGTTATTACGAGATGATTATCTCGTTATTACGAGAAAAGATCTCGTAATTACGAGTTAATTATCTCGTAATAACGAGAAAATATCTCGTTATTAGATAATTATCTCGTTAAGATCTCGTTATTACGAGTTAAAGACGAATAGGGCCACATAAAAAAATATTTGTATCTCGTAATTACGAGAAAAGATCTCGTATTTACGAGTTAATTATCTCGAAATAACGAAAAAAGATCTCGTTATTACGAGATAATTATCTCGTTATTACGAGAAAAGATCTCGTAATAACGAGAAAAGATCTCGTTATTACAAGTTAATTTTCTCGTTATAACGAGAAAAGATCTCGTAATTACGAGTTAATTATCTCGTTATAACGAGAAAAGATCTCGTAATTACGAGATGATTATAAATATAAATTATCTTGGAATTTTTTCTTTAATAAGTTTCTTTTACTAATTTTATGAATTCCGTAGGTTCATCCATTTTACATTTAGAGAGAGTAGAACAATGAAACGCACCATTTTTTATAGATCTTTTCTCGTAATAAAGTGTAATTACGAGATAATTAATCGTAATAACGAGATCTTTTCTCGTTAAAACGAGATAATTAACTCGTAATTACGAGATAATTAACTCGTAATAACGAGATCTTTTCTCGTTATTACGAGATCTTTTCTCGTAATTACGAGATAATTAACTCGTAATAACGAGATCCTTTCTCGTTATTACGAGATCTTTTCTCGTAATAACGAGATCTTTTCTCGTTATAACGAGATCTTTTCTCGTAATTACGAGATAAAAATATTTTTTATGTGGCCCTATTCGTCTTTTGTAATCCCCCCCTTTCGCATAAAATGGTAGTCTGGGTTTTTAGAAAATGACTTTTATAAAATAAAACACATTTTTCGTCACGATTGGAACTGTATTTTGAATTCAAATTTGAAAAATTTCAATATACTGGGATTTCCTACAAATAGTGGGCCTATTTATGTAAAATATTTTAATACATGGGTACATTCTTGCAGAGTTATCGACCGTTCTGCAACTCTTCAGTTGTAATCGTCAAACCCAATATGGCGACAGCATGCTAAAGTAAAAGTGGGAGTTAACTAGTAACGAAGCTGTTCTCGCAATTTTGTACATAAAATGTAAGAGAGTGAGGGGTGTGGGGAGTTCCACTGTCACGCCATGGAGGTAGAGGAAGAGCACGTGCAGACCTTGCTCAGTATGGGTTTCCCCGAGTCCGAAATAAGGCGGGCACTTCGGAGGGCCAAGAACGACCTTAACGAGGCAGTAGCTTACCTTACAAATGACCAGACCTTACCGAGCGATTGGGAGGAGGTGGATAGAATGGATGACGTAGAAATGAAGGACATTCACCCTCGGCCGAGTCAAACAATGTACAGTCCATCTCCTCCCCCAAGTTATGATGAAGTACTCAGAGGGCATGAAATGGAAGTAGGTTACATTGAAAAATGATTAAATGCATGGAATTCTGTGTGCATAATCTGCCAATTAAAGCTTATTTTCATTTAAATTGCATTGAACTGTTAAAAACACAAATATTGCAGAATTTAAGATATACCTTTTCTCTCTGTAAATTATTGTGTAGATTTGACTAGGGCTGGGCAATAATATCGATATTTCAATATATTGCAATACAGTGACAAAAAATATTGTATCGCAATACAATTTTGTAATATCGATATATTGGCAATATGCTTAAATTAAGGAATTTTATCATTATTAATATAAAACTGGACTTATGAAAGTTTGTTATTAAGCCAAACAGTAAGTCAGAAGTTGTTTTGTGGGTATATTCAGAGTATAACTTGAACGAAATCAACAACATTTTTTTTCCGTGTTGGTTACCTATCATAGTTATGTACATTTTGCATGTGAATTAAAGTAAATATAGTAAGAAAATGCCATTTTTATTACATTGAAAATATTGCAATACATATCGCAATACAGTTAAAAATATCGCAATATATCGCAATACGAAATCTCAGGCCAATACCCAGCCCTAGATTTGACATAACATGGAAATAAAATATGAAAATGATAATTTGCAGAAGACAGAAGAAAATGGGGAGAATGGTGGAACAGAAGAGGAAAATCCGCTGGAATTTCCTGTCACTAATTTATATGAGCTAGAGGGCCGTGTATTTGCCGAACATTGGTCAATTCCTTACAAAAAAGAGGAATCACTTGGAAAATGTCTGCTTGCTGCGACAAGGCTAGCAGAAGCCAGTAAGTCATAATGTAACCACTCTGTTACATGTTAGAGTAGGTTCACTGATTGGCCATTTTATAACAATTTTTCTCCTAATTATATCAAGAAACAGTGTTTTTCTTTTTTTATTAGAATGTTCTTTGCCATACAAAGACAACTTCATAAGCTTGAATCTGTAATGTAGTGAAATGAGATGAGCATGGTTTTAAAAGTGTGAATGAAAATAAAACTTTATGCAAAGCACACATAGTGACATTCACAAAATGTTGAATTCAAGAACAAAAATCCAGTATATTTTATAAGGTTCCCACCGTGCAGGTTCATTATAGTGATAAATCTGTCTTTTTACTCATATGGTATGTTAGTCTTAGTCTAGTATTATTTAATAGTCTTGAGCATATTCACTCTGGAGATGGACAAATCTAGCTCATACTTTACCCATAGAATACCCTTGGGTAAAGGGTTGGCGTGCATTGACCTTGGTCCAAATATCTCTACAAAATGTCAGTTCAAACTAGTTCTATCGATCTAGGACATATTTTCTGCTCTTTTAAGGTAGTCCGATCCTCAGGTTTATAAAATTAGCAGTTAAGTAATCCAAAATACTCATAAAAGTATCTCTGAATCCACAAAGTTATGTAAATTTATCCACAGTATTTCTTTAAAGTTGAAGATTAAAGTTAATCATATTATATAGGGAAAATTGTCAAATCAACAATATTTTTGCAGAAAAAGCGAATTGGAATATCAGCAATGCATTTTCTAATTGCAAATTGATCAACAAATATAATTCAGGTTAAAAAACGATAGGTATCCAAGCATTCAGAGAAATTGTCATGATTTGTATTCTTGGTAAGTTTTGTCTATTTCGATCATGTATTCTATAATACATAGTGTAAAAGGTTTTTGCTATCATTACAAGACACCACAAATCACTTCTTATTTCATATGCTAATAAGCATTGGTATCTAAGGCTGGATTCAAGAAAATCTTGCTTCTCTAAAGCTATTTTTTTTTTTCCTTTTATAGGGTACAAATGTCACCTTTTTTAAGACCTTTTCTAAGACTTCCAAAACCTTTGAATCTTATATAGATGAATAAAATGAAAATTGTTGCATGAAAAAAATTCATTTTCAAGCTTCATTTTGATGCATTTCATATTAAATATTAATTTTTGGAGTTGTCCTTCCTGGCTGAGGATCGGATATCCTTAACCCATTCTGGATTAATGCTTAACCCCAAAAAATACCCTTGGTTTTTGTCATATTCCAAAATGACTTTGATGAATTTATCTAGGTCAGATGTCAAAATCTAATCAAGTCTTCAAGTTCATGTAAACTCATTGAATCAGAATATATTGGTTCAATTTTTGTTATGCTTCACCTAAAGAGTTCCTTAAGTCGAGGATGTACAATGATTAAGGTTAGCGGTCACGATTTATTTCGCATTAGGCAAGAATGGAAGAAAATTTTAGAGCAACCTTTTGCGGCCAAAAAAGTTTTTGAAAGGATTTCTCTAATTATTTTTTTGTTGTTGTGATTTTAAAGATTTAACAGAGGGTGACGAACACTGTAGGAGGTTTCTAGAGAGATGTATGCCAGAATCATTTCAAAAGGTGAGGATTTTTTATTATATGTTTGATTAGTTTCAAATAGAGCATTTGATATTGCAGTGAAAAATATAGAGAACTATTAAATTCTTATTTTCCAATTAGAATTTGTTATATACATACAGAGATATTTGTCATAGTGTATAAATGTTTGAAGTAAAATATTTTGGAAGATCTAATTTAGAAAAGTATTGGGTAAGTTTTTTTTTTTTTCATGCCAATATATAGGTATAGGTATATACAGTTACTTTGATTTCATGGTGGATCAGACTCTGATAATGTACTGGGAGACAGAAATATTGAAAAAATATTTTTTAAAAAACTTTTATGATGATTTTGAATTACAGTGACCTTTTAAAAGAATTGATAAGTATACTTGATGGTTTAAAGTAAGTGTTTATTGATGTTTATCTTTACAGCTGATGACATCAGGGGCTGTGCACAGATGGAATACAGAGATACAGGAAGGAATATTTAATATGGCGGAGTTATTTATTGATATGTGTGTGGCTCGACTTCAACATTTACCTGTACACCATGAGATCCTTAACATCCTCACACTGGTGATTCTGTCTCCATTGTCATCAATACCAATCTAAAACCTTTACAATATTTATCAGAGTAGCATTTATAATAATGTAAAATGAAAATCAAATGCAAAACAAAAAAAAAAAATTTCTCAGTGAAATTTTGTATGAAAAGGTCTTATTCAGTAGAATTGGTTTAAAATGTTATAGAGATTCATGAATAATCAAACTTTCAAGACAGTCTTTTTAGACAAAAGCATATTTGCAGTATTGAGTATTCTAACTGTTTAATTTTACAGGTGTTCAATAAAGAGAGTGAATATCATTTTAAAAATCGATCGAAGAGAGACCGCACATACTGGGAAGACAAGTTAGAGGATGGGCAGTTATACACAGTCAATACAGGCTACAAGTCAGCTATTGTAAGTCATGTACAAGTTTGTCATACACTGTCAATACGGGCTACAAGTCAGCTATCGTAAGTCATGTACAAGTCTGCTTTACATTGTCAATACAGGCTTCAAGTGAGCTATTGTAAGTTGTGTATAAGTTTGTTATACACTGTCAATACAGGCTACAAGTCAGTGTACTAGTTTGCTAGACACTGTCAATACAGGCTACAAGTCAGTTATTGTAAGTCATGTACAAGTTTGTTACACACTGTCAATACAGGCTACAAGTCAGCCATAATAAGTCAAAAATCTGCTCATACCATACACAAAGGCTACAAGTAGGCTATTGTAAGATATCTACAAGATTGTTATACACTGATAAGATAGGCTTCAGGTCAGATAATTTTCCATGTTAGTTACAAGTTTAATGTGGTCTGTCTGGTAACCAATTAACTGTAGTAAGCCATAGAAATGTAGGCACGGAAAGGTCTGTTGAGCATGTACATGTATCAATCAAATAAGACATTATGTAAAATATGTATCTGTACATCGTAACATGTACCAGTTTTAATTCAGTTATATTGTACATGTATAGATAGACACAATACGGTAATACAAATTTATAAGGAAGTGTCAGGGATGGACGATTTTGCTTCGTTATAAGCATAATTCATTATATCCATCAAGTTTACAAATATTATAAAGTCACAGAGAATGAAAAACTCTTCACTGTAAGGGTCAATTGGTATAAAGCCTTTTTGCTGTAAACGTGTATTACATGTACTGTAAACTGAATGTGTCACAATTTAGCAGTTATATGTTTGAGGTAATGTCCTGAAAAAGTATTTTTGATATAATCAACATTTGATTTATTTATATGTGGCAGACATACATTTTTTGAATTATTTTTCAGGACCCATATGGCTGGCTCACACATGCTATTAATAGGGTAAGTATATTTTTATTCTTATAAATGTCTGTGTTTATTATTTAATTTGGGACTTCATTTCTTAACACAATTAAGTTTATCATGTGTGGTTTTCCTATCATAGCAACACCTTCTATATCACAACAGGGGGTATATTTTTCTTGTCTGTCTTTCGTCCTCAGAACACCTCCTGCAGTTTTAGAGATGGTCAAGAATTAGTTTTTGCTAATGATTGATCATATCATATGCATATGTAATAAAGTTTAATAATTTTGATCTCTGCCCCAGAGTTAACCAGGGCTCAAGAGGGTGTGGTATCTTGGTTTCTGAAGTCTAACATTTAAGCAGTGGTATTTAACTTAATTTATGTGCCCCTGTGTGTTTTTGTTTGTATGTAAGATCATTAATTTGTCTTTATAGATATATTCTACCATTGCTGTGTTATCAATTGGAGTCATGGTTTGAGAACTTAATGATGGTGAATAGGCTTTCTAATTTTCTCATGCCTTGTTTTTTTTTTTACAAGTGTCATTTTATCATTTTGTTGCATTGATAAAATTACTTGAATATACCCGAATCCATTGTTCTGTACAACTGTGAAATATACTTCAGGCACGTAACAGGAAATCACTTTCCACTTGAACGCACACAATACACAGGTAATCAAAGAGAGAGAGAAGTGAATGAGAGAGAGTCACAAGATCATCGTGCAGTACAAAAAAGTTTCAACAACAGAAAACTGCATAGTTACGGTGCTGCTCAGTAATATTCCTTTGCTGATAAAATGCATGTTTTTTTTTTATTAACTATTTGAATAAACTATTATATAGGGTTTTTTATTTACCGTTTTAAAAATTAAATTAATACATTTTTTTTTACATCATATTGACAGTATACTCAAGTAAATTGAAAAGCACTAATTAGGAATTCTGAAAAGAATCCAACGTTTGATTTTTTGAAAGTGTTTAAAATTGCACATCAGTTGTATTTTAGAAGTCAGCTTGACTAAATTAATTGAAAATGCATTGAAAAGACAATTTGAAGTCAACTGCTTGTATTCCTAAAATTGTCAGATGTAACAATTTTTTAAAGCAAAGTCTAAAGTCTTGTGTTAAAGTTAAATTACATGTAATTTGAAACATTTTATTTATCTAAATTCTTAAATATTTGTGATGATTGGTCCTTAAAAAAGCTACAAAAAGTACAAGAAATGCTGGAAAATGCACCATTTTAGAACTATTTAAAACAATTTTTTCGGGGGGGGGGGGGGGGGGGGGGCCACATTTTTTTAAACAAGGTCTAAAGTCTTGTGTTAAAGTTAAAATAATTGAAAGCATTTTATTTTTCCAAATTCTTAAAAATTTGTGATGATTGGTCTTTAAAAAAGCTACAAAAAGTACAAAAGAATTGGAAAATGCAAATTTACCATTTAAAACAATTTTTTTAGGTAGTGTAGACTCCATTTTTTAAAACAAGGTCTAAAGTCTTGTGTTAAAGTTAAATCAAATTGAAACATTTTATTTTTTTATTCTTAAAATATTTGTGAAAATTCTTTAAAAATCTACAAAAAGTACAAAAGAATGACTGGAAAATGCACCATAATTCAGAACCATTTAAAACAATTTTTTTCAGGTAGTGTTGACTCCATTTTTTGAAACAAGGTCTAAAGTCTTGTGTTAAAGTTAAATCAAATTGAAACATTTTATTTCTGGATTAAAAATTTGTGATGATTGGTCTTTAAAAAAGCTACAAAAAGTACAAAAGAATGCAAAGCCATAATTAGAACCATTTAAAACAATTTGTGTTCAGGTAGTGTAGCCCCCCACTCCATTTTTTTAAACAAGGTCTAAAGTCTTGTGTTAAAGTTAAATCAAATTGAAACATTTTTTTTTCATAGAAATATATAAAAATTCTGTGAAAATTGGTCTTTAAAAAATGACAAAAAGTGCAAAAGAATGCTATTTATATGGAAGCATGCTCTAAGTAGTGTAGACAACCCCCTTCCATGCCCTCCCCCCGGCCCTTTGGGCCTCAAAACCCCCCCACATGAACTTCTGGATCTGCCACTGCAATTGGAGTCATGGTTTGACAACTTAATGATGGTGAATAGGCTTTCTAATTTTCTCATGCCTTGTTTTGTAGTTTGCATTTAAAGGTGGATTTAACTTGGTGAAAAAATTACTTGAAAATGAAGACTTGGATGCCCCAGTAAGTTCACATCATTCCTTGTGGTTTTTTTTTTGTAAAGAATACAAAAATTTTGTGTATGAAAGAGAGAGAGAGAGGGAATGAGAGAGAGACCCAATGCTAACTAATACAAAAAATAAAGACTCTTTTACTTTGGTTGCAGTCCATGGCAGCTTTACTGAGACCATTTGGAATGTGTGCAGAGTTCTTGAATCCTAAAGTAGTAACAGAAATCCTGGCCCCAGGAATGGAGAAAACAATCAAGTACATACAGAATCTGGAGGAGAAAGACCTGAAAGAAAAGGTAGAATTAGTTAGTGTAGGAGCATCAGAATAATGTCACTGGAACTGTGTCATTGTGTATAAATATCATCATTGATTACTAGAGTAGTAGAATTATAGTGTTAGTTGATTTCTTTTAATGTGAAATAAAGTGGAACTATTATATGAAACATCTTAATAATTTTTAAGATATATTACAAAGTGGATGTTCCTATCATTTTTGCAAGGTGGTTCTATGAAAGAAATATTATCAGACCCTTTGCTTTAAGTCTGCCAAAGGATATGCAAATCTTTTGTCATAAGTATGCCTCATTGCATATTTTATATGAAGCAAATTTTTGTTTTCTTTTAGAAAATTGGTAGTGTATCAGACCTGCTGGCCTCTATGAAGTTGTTATGTATACAGATGTGGCCAAATCACACAGAATCTCTTGATGACCTTCGCCTGGAAGTCGCTCTCAGAATGTTGAAATCTCCACATTTTAATGCTCGTATGAATGCATTAAAGGAGGTAAAGCAAAAGCATAATATTCAAAACTTAATGAATTTCTTGAATTGAGAAATGTGTGTATTGGATAACGTTAATTTATTTGAATCATGATAACGTTGATTTATTTGAATCATACATAGGTGACAAAGCTGATAGAAGATTCTACATCTAACAAAGTTTCCAAGACAGCTATAGATTACAAGACAATATTAAATTGGTTGGTGGAAAACAAAGTTTTATCTATAGCACTAGAAGGTAAGAACAGTGCATTTTAACTAATATTTCCAGTAAAAATTTTCATAAGCATTTAGAGACAATAACAAGTTATATGATAGTAAGTGTAGGACATTCATTGTCAGGTTCTATGTTCCATGTAAGGTGACTTGTTTCTGATTCAGGTAACATTGATCAAGTCCAGTATTGTGAGAAGGTGAAGGGTATAGTGGACTTCCTTGGATCTGAAATAACGACAGAGGAACTGGCAATGATCTGGAAAATGCAGGTAATGCCCTGTCCTTTGTTATGGTTGAAGATACAGTTGTAGAGTACATACGTATTCTTGTTAGAAAATTATGAATTCAAATGTTAATCAAAGCTTTTGTTTCTGACAGGTGGGCCAGACCAATCACGTGATAGATAACATCCACTCCATTATTGCTGCAGCAGCTGTCAAGTTTGACTCTGCCCAGCTAGAACACCTCTTTCTGTTGATTCAAAAGGTAAAGCACTGAGTAAAATTATGTCAATGACTTAAAAAATAATAAAAAACCTTCTTATGAACTTGGAATATCTTCCATTGAGTTGTTATCACTATTTCATCACAGAAGTGGCAGGATGACCACAATCGCATGAAGGAGAAACTTCTACGGCTGATTGGTAAAATAGGAAGGGACGCCAAGGAGCCCAAAACTACAACCAGGGTAAGAAGATGGTTCATCTTTAAGTCAGAAACAAGTTTTACCCATTAAAAGATGTAATGTTAGTATTTTGCTGTGACAATATGATAAAAAAAATGTTGATATTGATGACAGGTACTAGAGCTGCTGTGGGATCTCTCTCATTTACCTACATTGTCAAGGCAACTGATTGAGTTAGCATTGGAGGAGCACCTGGCCATTCTCAGTGACTCATTCAGTGTACGAGAACAAGTCAAGCGGAACTATGTCATCAAGTGTGTGGAAGACATTAAAAAGGTCAGTCTTATAATAACTGATGGCCTATTAGAATCATTTGTGTCAGTTTGCATGTTGTATACATCAACATGCTTTAATCTGTAATTGCACTTTACAGGGTGCCTGTGTTCTACCTTCACTGAAACAACTGCTCAATATTTGCAAAAACATAATGAAGCAAAATAACCATAAATCAGAAAAGGTAAGTTTCTTCTGCTCATACTGACCTGGTAAGATAAACATTTATGCAGTTTAAAGTTTTGAAAAAATTTTATTTTGATTTTCTAAATTGTTTTATATTTTTAACTCCAGGGTATTTTACATGAACTTAACAAAAATCATGACATCATTAAGCTGGTGACCCAAAGTTTGATCAAACTCCACAAACAAGCCCAGGCCACAGTGGGAGACGGTCAGCTAGGACCTGATAGTATTGTAGACGCTAGATACCCACACTCTGAGGTACGGGTAGGGCAGGGCATGTAGAGAAAGAAGAAAAGTGTTAGATCCTCCAATTTAAGATAGGACTGCTATTGAAGAGATTTTGGTTTGAAAGTATTATTCAATATAATATATATGAATGACAGTCCTAAATTAAAATTTAATTATATACAAAAGAAATTAAGTGGGAAAGATACTTGTTTACTGTAATGTCTTTGCTTTGTTTTGTAGTTTGTGACAACACACCTACAGTTCCTTCAGTACACACTACAGGAGGGGGCCCTTTACCTCCCCTGGAGTCGGGCCCGGGACATCTGGGGGACGCTGATCGCTAACTCCGATGCCTGCCAGTGGGACAGAGAGGTTAGTAAGGCACGGAGAAGTGAATAAAGAAACATATATCTGGTATCTTACTTTAGAGAGGTTGATACTGCTTTTCAGAAGCAAGTAGAAATATTTCTTATCTTTTTTTTGAAATGAGTTTAAACATATCAATTGTTTCGACAGACCTGCTTTGAGTGGTTCAGTAAAGGTTTACCAGATCTTGAGATGGAGACTCAGACTCAGTTGTTCCAGAAAGAGTTGTTGAAACTGGACCCATCAAAACTCACAGAGAAAGGTGTGTCTATTTGTTTAACACTTAGAAAGAGATGTCCATTTAAAGGTACTTGGACACAGATTTGAAGTTAATATTTACTGTATAATATCACGAATTATATTTTTTAAAAGCATTTCACACAAAAATTATTTAAATATCTTTTTTCATTTACATGTAAAAGTTATTAAAACTTCAATTTTTTGGCGGGTTTGATTGACACATCCTTGCACTTTCACAAATTTTAACTTTCTTCTTAATCCTTTGGAAAAGTGGCAATCTTTTTGTGTTTTAATGAGAAATATTAAAACTTTAATCCAGAAAAATAATTTTATTCAGAGTAGAAATGTTACAAAGTAAAATTCCTTCACAAGTCCCGTCATTCCGAACTAAGTCTTGTGTGCAAATCGATCACACTCGTGTATTGTACACAGTTTTTTGTAAACAGGACACAGCTCTGTTATTGTTGATTGTTTACGATTCACAGGGTGTGTTCAGTAGTCGAAGTCTGCTCACCACAGCTGCACGGACTTAAAATATATTGTGTGTTTGTTTTGCTTTCAAACATGTCTACTCTGATTTTTCTGGATTATAGTATTAATATTTTTCATTTATACACAACAAGATTGCCACTTTTCATAAGTATTAAGAGTAAACTTAAAATTTGTGAAAGTGCAAAGATGTGTCAATCAAACCCGCCAAAAAAATTGAAGTTTTAATAACTTTTAAATGAAATAAAATTTTTAATTAATTTTTGTGTGAAATGCTATTTATATAATAGTGTTGCATTATGCATGTACTATGCCTTAATAAGGCAAACATGGTGCACGAGCCGGAGGCGAGTGCACTATGTGTCAAACCCTGCCTACTATTTAGGCATAGTACATGCATAATGCAACACTATTGTTATTATTATGCTGACTGTTGTTATTATTTATGCGGCAATCCATTTGATTTTTCCTGAAAATAATGGTGGTAACACAGCGCACTTGCAAAAATTCAAAATCTTCATGCTAAAATTCGTTGCATGCTTAGTTATTTTGGTTACTAGTATTTTCTCTAAATAAGTCAGGATTTTCTGTCCCAAAGATACTCATCTTTATTTTCTGTTTTGTTAGTAAGTCTGATTTGTTTACAGACGTGGATTCTCATTGATAATTTTCTTTTACATCTTTCAATCAAGCGCTATATAAAAAAGCGTTTTAATGACCCCATGATATCAATTCATCTAACGATCTGTATGTAATTAGTTTGAAACTTTGTTGTACCCATTTATCTAAGATTCCTTAGAAGAAATATAACTGTTTTCAAATAATATTTGTCTATTTTCTCCTTCTTGTGTCAATTGTATAAATTAAGTTTATATATTTAATAAAATACCTTCAATCAGTGATCGTCTCTGTGGCGTAATCGATAAGGCATCGGACTAGCAACCTCTTGGTCGTGAGTTCGATACCCAGTGTGTGCATAAAAGAATTTTATTCACAAAATAGGGCCGTGCACTATTTCGGCATAGTATGCTTACGCTATATAAATCCTTAGACCACTATGCGAGAATAGTAGGGTATGGGTTATATAGGGAGAAACTGACAGGAAGCATAATAATAAAATATATGTCGTAATATTATACAGAAAAAATTACCTTCAAATCTGTGTCCAAGTACCTTTAAAAATCTATATCCATCAAAACTTGCAACAAAGTATGTTCATTTGATCATAAGTCAGATGCATTGAAACCCACAGAGAAAGATATGTCTTTTTGTTCAAACAATGGATTATTTTGCATCAGGGTAAGAAACATATACATGCAGGATGACTTTTGTGATTGCAATTGTAGTTACGTAGGTAACTTTAGTTTTAAATTCTTTCCATAGGTTTTGCCTGCTTTAAAAACTTCTTTGAAAATGTGAACAAGTATGAGCACCGACTAAAAACAGATGGAAGTAGACTGGTAAGTCAATGTCTTTACACTGAGCTTAATATCCCATGCATGTTTATTTGTGTCTGTAGATTTGAGTTCCTTACTTTACTTGACAGTCGTTGTACAATGTGAACATAGAGTTTTTTTTGTTTGTTTCACAGATAGTAGAGAAATATGAATTGCTTGGTCTGGACTACATTTGGGAGATCTGTTTAAACACCCCAGATGAGTCCATCGCAGACAAAGCCATTCAGCTCCTGCTTTGTGTTAGTTATACCAATCTCGCTGTCAGACTCAAAAAGGTTAGTATTTAAGTAATTACTCAATAGTATAGATGGTCTAAGAATTGTTACATGTAACTTTGCTTTTGAAATATATGTATGAAAGTGTGTATCCATGCTTTTTGTTTTCAGGACACTGTGAGTCTACACAAGAAGTTTATATCTGAGTGTTCCAATAGATTAGAGGTAAACCTTGTTTATGCAGAGTCTTTAAAATGTCTTGAATTATCTGTTTTGTTTGCTTTACATATCCAAATATTCTAGTTATTATTCGTCATACCGGAATTTCATACAATTTCAGGCAGCTATGATAGGGATGGGGGGAACAGCTATTGCTCAGGCGGTTACCTGGGCAACCAAAACATTAACGGCAGCCATTGTAAAAGAAGTAGCCAATGTCCCGCCACCTTCAAGGTAGGACTAAGTCACCATGGTTCACTGATTTCAAAGATCTATCAGTTTTACTTGAATAATAATAATGTACAAATATGTATTTTTCGTATATATTTTAAATGCTATATGCCAAAGTGTTTAAATGGAAGATCCTATTTCATTTGATAAATTTAGACAGTTGATAATTTTTGATAGAGACATCAATGCTGATTGAGTTTAGAGGATTTTCTTTTGTACATTTAAGGTCCATCAAACTGATGAACATTGAGCGGCTGTTGTGGATCGCGGAGGTTTACGTCCTGAACGTGGAGGAGAACCACCAGACGACCAGAACCATCCTCCCTCACGGCGCCTCCTTCCACGGGCTGCAGATTAACCTCATGATCACCTGCGAGTCCCCCAAACACGAATTCATGTTACTGGTTAGACTCAGTCTGCTAAAACAAGAACAAAGTCCAGAAAATCTATACTTCCTTTACTGACTAGATTGAATAAAAATAATTACCAGCACAATAAGTTAATTTTATTACATACATGTATATCTGAGATTTTTTTCTACAGTGTCATGGTAATGAGACATTGAGTTCTGTCAGGGCCCGGATTGCTAACAAACTCAGACAGCCAACAGACAACGTGCAGATTGTGGCTCAGGACAAGATGGTGATTATCATACAGATATATATAAGTTTTGCCATTCTGTTTTCTATATTTCTCTGTTGTAAATAATTATTGTCTTTAATACTTTTAATAGCTGGATGCCCAGAAGAATCAGAAACTTCTTCACCAGTTAGAATTTGAAGACAATCAGTTAATACAAGTCCGTCTTGCACAACCAACAATGCAACCCATTGGGAAAGAGGTATAATTGCAATATATTGTTATTACTTTTGAAAATGTATCATAGTGGATAAACCGTAATATCTCCCACTTGTTTAGGGTAACTGAACAACATTGCAGGTGTGGGTTTATTGATATCATACAGTATTTTTTGGGGGGGAATCTCTTCTTCTTTTTTTAAAGTAATTTTTAATTGGGTACATGTAATGAAAAGTGAACTTTTTCAGCCAATGACACCAACATCAAAACAGAGCTTTGACTTGGAGCAGGAGAAAATGTTGCCTGGTGTTGTCATGGCGATTGAAGGGCAGGTGTTTGATATGTTGTATCAGCTGGCTGATTTAGACGAGTCCAGGTATGGATAAATAAATCATGCTTTTTAAAAATACTCTTCATGAAATGTACATTTATCTATTTATTTACTCTTAGATATAACTTTCATCTACTTGTATATATGTCAATATAAATATGTTATTTAAGAATACATGTGAATGCCCTGTAAAAACTCGGTTATACAAGTAGGTGATGTACTTGTATGTATAAAATCTGATCAATCTTTATCCTATTTGGTACCAGAATAACACACAGAGTGAGGAAGTTGTTGATGCTAATACCAACAGATCCACACATCTCAGAAACCCTGGAAAATATCGGCAATAGGGTAAGGAATATAGAAAGATAACTGGTTTCACATGCTTCTTTTAATAACATCTTATTTTACTGCATGTGCTAGCCCAACTGTTTTGCCTATTCAAGCATTCTGCTGATAATATTTGTATTATTTTGCATGAAATAATACATGTATGTTTTAAATATGTTCTAACCACATATTTTTACTTTGAAGGGACTAAAGCAAGGTGTCTCAGGAGATGATATCAGCCCAAGGGCCAGTCCTAGAAAATCCACCTCTGCCTCTCCACTGCCCAGCCCTCGTCTACCTCCCAAGGATGTTCTGAGGTCTCTGTTTGATGCCAGTGCTCAGGATATGTCAGCATTCCGGGTTCTCTATAATCTAGAGGTAGGTTTAGATGTGTACATTGTTTTATACACATTAGTGTTCCAGTAAGACATGCTTTTAATGAGTATTGGACAATTTTGCCTTGGCATAAGAGAATGAAAATACTTTGTAAAAAGTGTCAATTTATCATAAGCATGTTCACTATAGCTTGTTTTTACTGTATGTCTAGTTGTGAATGCACGTTTAAACCACAAATGTTTGAAGGTTTGTGTTTGATGATATAAAAGTTTTACACTTTACAAACATTTTAAAGGTGCTGAGCAGTAAGCTGATGCCGATTAGTGTGGACCTGGCCACCAGGATAAGTAGTCAGGCTTTCTGTGATGACTTCCTGTCAGTGGGGGGTCTACAGATGGTGGTGAATGTCCTACAGGCAGAGTCCCTGGCCCCTGAGGTGAACTACACCATCAGGCAAGGATGTTACTCCATATGTCTGCAGCTGGCCCGCTTCCTGTTGTGTGGGCAGACAGTTTCCATGGAGATGGATGATATCCATAGTATCAGTGAGGATGCCAAGTCAGCGTCTGGCTCCATTCTGTCCTCGTCTCCTCATAATGCATCGTTCAATAAGCAATCTGCTGGAAGCCATGCTGTACAGGTACAACTTATCAAGCATTTTAATTTTCATAGAGAAGCTATTCACACAGTTTTTCAAAAATTAAAAAAATTCTTCAGAAATAAACACATTTGTAAATGTTTTACTATATTGCCTATTATTTGTAGACCATGGATGTTCACACCTTCACAGAAACAGTATCGTGTTTTATGAGAGTCACATGGGCGGCAGCGGCGGGTAGGCTCCACCTCATTGGCACCACCCAGGCAATGATTGACAGCACGATGGGTCATGGTAGACGGAGCAGGCAGAGTAGTTCAGGTAAGATTGACCTGTCAATTTGTGTACTGTAAACTTTGTGCTCTCCTTTGAAGCTTCCTGTTAAACTTCTAACTTGATAATACTTGAGGGTTACTTAAGTGTCCCAATGATTTATTTTCTGAGTGGAACATAATCAGACTGTATTGTATGATGTTATTTCTGCTTTATAGGGAGTACTGCCAGTGAGAGTGAGAGTGACGGTCAGAGTCTACATGCCGGGGTGTGTGCCAAGGCCCAGGACATCCCCACCAAGGACTGTAATATAGCACGGGAGGCTCTAGAGATCCTCGTAACCTGTCTACAAATCAGATGTGAACTCATTTGTAAGTACTTTTACAGAAAAATACCTAAAGAGAGTGTATTTTGAAGGTCTAAAAATGATACATATACATGTATCTGATCACTTATAGATTGGTTCAAATACATGTTCTGAGTGTGATGTTTCTCTTTAATAGCCTCCTTTTATTCCCTGCCCTGCACCAGTGACTTTATCATTGATATTTTGGTGGGTTGTTCTAATGCTGATATACGGAATGCTGCTCTGGAGCAGTTCTTTCTGCTGAGTCAGACGGAGTGTACACTGCAGCGTACACCTCACCACTTTATGCTGCAGCTGCTGCTGAAAGCCCACGTCCCATTCTGGGTGTCCTCTGCCTCAGCCCGGGGTGTGAGTCAAAGGTTAGTGTTAGTGTAAGAATAAATCTCACTTTTAACTTATCAGTAAAAATATACCAATATACAACACCGTTCTAAAGTGTGATGTTTATTCTGCTAGTAAGAATTTGGGTCTACATTATTGTAAAACTTCCAATAATCACTGAGCTATATACACTTGTACTTGCAGGTTGCTGGGTCAGTGCAGTCAGTACTTTGATCTTCTGTGTAAACTTCTTGAAGGACTTTCAAGTGAGTATTCAAGTTCATACCTTCATTTTGGTACCTGTACTACATAAAAAAGGTAAAAGTTAATCAAGAATAGAGTACCGGGTATACTCCCTTTGTTGGTCTGACAATGTTGGTCTTTTGTGTTGATAGAAGAAGAACAGACCAAGCTACAGCTGGACCCCCCAAACATGCTGGAGGATGAGGTAGCGTGGCTCGGGAATTATGTCCCCTCCCTCCATCCTGATATGGCGGACACGGACAACAGTCTGCTAGCTGGCCACCTGAAGCTCATCACCACGCTGCTTACTTGCGAAGGGGTGGATCCAGAGGAGCATGGTAAGTTTAGTTAGATAAATCTGGAGGTGGATCTAGGAGTTTCTTTATAGAAGTATATACAGATTAAAGACTTTGATACACCATGACTTACAATATTTTGCAGGGAGAGTGCTAGTGTATGATATCTTGCATGACTTCCTCTTCCCGGCTTCCAAAGTGATGATGGACAGTATGAACACAAGTAGTGAAGAAAAACTTCAGGAAGTCAGCCCTAAGTAAGTTTTATTTGTTCAAATCATAACTCCAAGATGCAAAGGTGGGCTTAAATATGGGGATAATGCTTTATGTTAAAAAAAAATTATTTATTGAAAATAAGATTTTAGCAAACCTTAATCATGTCTTTTTCTTTGATAGGTGCAGCAATTGTGAATCTCGTGTGGCAGCTTACAGACTGTTGAATGAGTTAGCTAAGGGAAGCTACTCTATCTTAAGTGACATCTGTAAACAGCTGATTGAAATGCACCATCTTCCTCAACCAGACTGTGCTAATGAGTGGGAGGTAAGGAATGGCTAGGATTTAACTGTATTCAGATTCTTTTTTAGGTCACCTGAGTAAACTCAGGTGACCTATTGCTATCCGTTTTCGTCCGTCGTCGTCCGTCGTGCGTCGTCTGTCGTGTGTTAACATTTGAACATTTTCAGCTTCTTCTCTGCAACCACTGAACCAATTTCAACCAAATTTGGCACAAAGCATCTATGGGTAAAGGGGAACAAAAATTGTGAATTTCATGATCCCTGCCCCCCTGGGGCCTGAGGGGTGGGGCCAAAACCAGTAAAATTAATGCAATCTTTAAAAATCTTCTTCTTTAATCCTGGACACCAAGCAGACAAACTGTTTGCATGATTGTAATCAGCATGGAGTCCTCTACCAAAATTGTGAAATTCATGGCCCTGGGGTCAGGGGTTCTAGTGCTAGGGCGGGGCTAAATAAGTATATAGTGAAAATGCATTATTTCTTTGAAAATCTTCTTCTCTGCTCCTAGGTATTAAATAAACCAACTAAGTACATAGTTATGATAAGCAAGAGTGCTTCTACCAAAATTTTGATTTTTATGGCCCCAGGGTCAGCGGCTCTGGTGTTAGGGTGGGGCTCTATTAATTATATGAAGTGAAAATACATGATTTCTTTGAAAATCTTCTTCTCTGCCCCTGGGTATTAAATAAACTAACTAAGTACATAGTTATGATGAGCAAGAGTGCCTCAACCAAAATTGTGAATTTTATGGCCCCCGGGTCAAGGGTTGGGGGGGTCTCTATTGATTATATAGTGAAAATACATGAATTCTTTGAAAATCTTCTTCTCTGCTCCTAGGTATTAAATAAACTAACTAAGTGCATAGTTATGATGAGCAAGAGTGCCTTAATGCCTTAACCAAAATTGTGAATTTTATAGCCCCAAGGTCAAGGGGGGGGGGGCTCTATTGATTATATAGTGAAAATACATGAATTCTTTGAAAATCTTCTTCTCTGCTCCTAGGTATTAAATAAAATAACTAAGTACATAGTTACGATGAGCAAGAATGCCTCTTCTAAAATTATGAATTTTATGGCCCCAGGGTCAGGGGTTCTGGTGTTAGGGCGGGGCTCTATTGATTATATAGTGAAAATACATTAAATCTTTGAAAATTTTCTTCTCTGTCTCTGGGTATGAAGCAGATGAACTACCTATATAGTTATGATGAGCAAGGGCCCTAATATTGCTGAATTGTGAATTCAAGGCCCCAGGGTCAGGGGTGGGGGGTGGCTCTACTTATATACTGAAAATGAATTAATTGTTTGAAATCTGCTCCTTTGTATTAATAAAATATTTATTTATTTTTTGATAGGCAATTTTAAGGATGCCTTTTTAAAATTTGTGCAATGTGTGGACCTAGGGTCAGGGGTTTATGTCACAGTGTTGGGGGCACTACTGATTATTGCTGAATATTACTGATTAGTTGGAATGCATTTTTGTTCCCCTACCCTGCATATGGGTATTCAGTAACCAAGCTAAGCAACTGCTAAGTGTATTGTTATGATGATCAATGGTGCCTCTTTCAAAATTGTGAATGCCATATAGCATCTGGCTTAAAACATGAATCAAATTCAATAACTGGAAAGTTGTTGCATAATGCTCAGGTGACCTATAAGGCCCGTGGGCCTCTTGTTTTTAAATATTTGCTGAATGTTACCATTGAGAACCTATAGAAGATACTGTCAAAGTGTTTTATTTAGAGTTTACGACACTTGGCGGGAATTGATCTTTGAACAAGATAGTATAGATTAGCTCATGTCTTATTTTCTTTATTTATGTGATTATGTGCAAGACATTTAACATTTTATTCTAATTTTTAGAATTTGCCTTTCACCAAAGGGGCTAAAAATAGTTCAGAGTCCAGATATATACAAATACATTATCTTGCATATTCATAGGAATTTCATAGTCTCCTTTTCTCTTTAGTACCTCCCTCCGGTGGATGGACGGGCCCGTTGTGGCTTCGTGGGGTTGAAGAATGGTGGTGCCACCTGTTATATGAACTCTGTCATTCAGCAGTTGTACATGGTGCCAGGAATTCCTGAAGTGGTGCTGGGGGTGGAAGAGGATAAACCAGACGAGGAAAGGTCAGGGTCAAATTATCTCAACCAAGTTAAACTGGATCCGTGCATAGTATTAGAGAGCTTAGTGGAGTGATATTGAATTCTCAAATATTATCTGTTTGGTCATAATAAATATTAGACCATATGCAACTAATGTTGCTCATACATGTACTTGTACTGTCACTTAACTACAAAGCTTTACACTTTGATCATGATTGTTAACACAAATTTTCATTCTTTTTCTTTTAGTGTGTTTTTCCAAATTCAGCAAGTGCTAGGACATTTACTGGAGAGTAAGTTACAGTATCATGAACCAGAGAGATTCTGGAAGGTGTTCAAACTCTGGGGTCAAACTGTGAACATCCGAGAGCAACAGGATGCTTTTGACTTTTTCCAGGCTCTGATTGATCAAATAGACGAACATCTTAAGGTTGGTCACATTGTTCAGGAAATTCAGACATTTTTCTTTTAATGCTTATTGGTGCATTCATCACTTTAATTTCATTAATGTATATTCTATTTCACTTTTTAAAATTGAACTCTAATGATGTATGTGTATATAATTTGGTTATTTTGTTTTGTAGAAAATTGGAAAGCCAGAAATCTTCAAAAGAAAATTTCAGGGAATTTTCTCAGATCAGAAAATATGCAAAGATTGCCCCCACAGGTCAGCAATATTCTGTTTGTTCAGTTATGCTAGATTCCTAGGGTACCTTGCAGTTGTGCTTTAAAACATTATTATTTAGAGATTTTTTTTCCCAATTTAAACTGTTAGAAATATGAATTTTTGTGTCCAGGTATGAAAGAGAGGAAGCTTTCCTGGCCCTGAATCTGACCGTGAAGAATGCTACATTACAGGACTCACTAGATCAGTTTGTCAAGGGGGAGCTACTGGAGGGGGATAATGCTTACTTCTGTGATAAATGTGGAGAGAAGGTAGGAAAAAATGATAATAACTAAAAGCTACAGTGTGTTATGTTAGATATGTTCAGAGTGTCGATGTTTAAGTGGTTCCTTGAAGAATTCAACAGTTAAGAGAGTGAACATTAATATCTAAAAAAATTGCAGGAAAGTTTTTAGAAACATATTTTTGTTTACACGTTTTTTTTTTTCGTGTGGAAGAACTAAGTATGGTATTTTTCCGTAGAGAAACACCATGAAGAGGATGTGTATAAAGACACTGCCACCATTACTGTGTATCCAGCTGAAGAGATTTGGTTATGACTGGGAGGCCAACAGAGCTCTCAAGTTTGATGACTACTTCAAGGTCAGTAACAATTACTCTAATCCAAACACCATTAATGTAAATCTGTTAAATTTTATGATAAGTATAAAATTGGAATATTTGTTTTTCTTGGTAACAGTTTCCATGGATACTGGACATGGAGCCGTACACAACTGATGGTATGGCCCGTCGGGAGGAAGTGCTGGAGACCGTGGACAGTAGCTCGGAGTCTGAGAACGGTGAGTCTTCAGTGACAGAGGAGAGGTCCCTGGAGATTGTGACCGCGGGGAGCAATGTAGAACACAGACAGATAAACTACGAGCTGGTGGGGGTGGTGGTACACAGTGGGCAGGCCAATGCTGGACATTACTATTCCTTCATCAAGGAACGCAGGTACTGTAGGATGTTACTGTGTACTAATGTAATGGATAGGAATCAAAATTAATGCTGCTTTCTTTGAATTTACTTTGTTTAAATTAAAATTACCCTGAGTGCAAAAGGGACAAAACTAAAACGTTGACAATATATTTATTTTTTTTTTTGGGGGAATATTTTTTTCAGGGGTGACATGATGTCCAATCCAGAAAAAGGGAAATGGTTCAAATTCAATGACACAGTGGTAGAAGAATTTGAGATGACTGAAGAAAGTATAGAGTCAGAGTGTTTTGGTGGATCTTACAAGGCCAAAATTATTGAACCAAGTAAATTCTTATAAAACAATTTCAAAAGCACAAAAAAGAAGTATTAAAAGTATGCTATACAAATTGATATCAAGTAGGCAATTAATCACTGTTTATAATTTTTTCAACCTTTGTGTTGTAGCCACTTCGTCCTTACCAGATGAGCGAGTTCGGTACTGGAATGGCTACATGTTGTTTTATGAAAAGATGGAGGAACCAGCCAAGACTCCAGTCTCAGCTAAAAAGTCGAAACTTCAGACCAGGAAAGCCATACTGGAAGGAGGGTGAGACCATGTCATAAATACTGAATTACATGGAAATTCACAACACTTTACTTCAAATCCATTTTAATTAACAGTTTCATTGACAAGTTTGAAAGACATGAGATTTTTTTCCATGATCTACTTGTTTTTGCTGTAATTTCCCAGATGCAAAATTCTCTGAATAGTAAACAATTTTATCACAAACATATTCCTAAACATTTTTTTTTATGGCATTTTATTAGCATTAAATTTTTTCATCTTAATAGATAAAAAAAATACCACAGCATTTTGGTAAACAAAGACTACCCAAATGCATATGCAACATTTTGAACTTTGATAAAAGATTATTAACAGTTGAATTAATGGAAAGTTAACTGACACCTACATTCTACATAGTAAAGTATTGAGATAATCATTGCATCTTCCAGGAAGGATGTTTTAGACAAGGACAGTTTTATGGAGCTGACGGAGTTGGTACACAAGGGGGAGAAGAAGGGGATCTTTATGGAGGAGATGCCGGCCAGCATCCACCAGATCATCCAGGCAGAGAACCTCACCTTCGTCAAGAACCGAGACGTCTACAACATGGACTACTTCAGATTTATCAGGGAACTCGTCATAGTCAATGCGGTAAATATAGCAATTAGATTACTGTAAACCAACTTTTATTTACATGCGAGAAATTTTCGCGAAGTTCGCGAGAGCCTCATCATCGCGAATAATTCTCGTCGCGAAACGGTCCTAAGAGTGTTATGTATCTATAAAGAACAGATGCTAAAAGGCTTGATCGCGAAAATTAATCGTTGCGAAGTAGTTTACCCCTGCTAAATCGCGAAATAAAGTTGTCGCGAATAAAAGTTGGTTTACAGTAACTAAAATAATGATTTAATGCACATTCTTTTTGTGTAGTATGCAAAATGCCACAGATTTTTACAGAGGTGTTTAACTTGAGTCTTTGTTACAACTATTATATTTAATATGAAAAGAAAAATGATTAAGAAATAAATTAAGGGGTTACTTTATTTATCTCTGACTCTTTGGAAATGAGCACCATACAATCACGCTATAATCAAAGTCAACTGAATACCGGGGTACTATTTCCAGCATAAAGAGAGCCACAAGGATTTCCAGCAGATGTCTGTGATGGCTCTACAGCTAGGGGTTCGCTTCCTGTTCAACACGTTCTTTAGATGTAAAAAGAAAACCAAGTAAGCTTCTTGATATTCATGAATAAATTCTTTGATTAAAATATTTAAAAGAAAAACACTGCTTTTTGGCTGACAGATTATTTATGAAATCCTTGTAAAATTGGCCTTTTTGAAAGATTTTTTTAATATATTAATTTATATTATTTACATTTTTAGACTTCTGTTGGATGAATGGGTGGATGCAATAGATGATATTTTAGACAAGAGTAAAGAAGCTTGTAGATGGTTGGTAGAGTATCTCAGTAGTGCAGAGGGATCATCCTACATCAAGTAAGTATCACTTCACTTTCAAATTCATATAAATTCTGTTAGTTGACACTAGATCTGTCTTTTGATTAATTCAAGTCCAATCATTGCCTGAGACAGTTACATGTATTTTCTTGTTTATGTACATGTATGTTTTATCTTTTTGTAATAGAGGAAAGAAAAATTGGATCTAATGACATATGAATTTTGTGTTATATGTATATCCTGTATAGTTGTTTGATTGATGCCTTCTGTTACAGGCCGTTCCTCCTGGAGTGCCCCTGTAGAGATGTCAGGTTCACCATGGCCCGGATACTGGAGAGAGTCATGTCCTCCCACTTCAAACATGGAGGGGTACCTGTAAGTGGAAACTTGGGATATTTCTCTTAATTTATGATGATACATGTACATTGATGTTTATGTTATTAGAAATGGGAAGTAAGAAAACCATGACAAAAGTAAAGGAGCACCTTCATTTACCGAGTACTTTGTACTGTAAATCTGGAAATTTTTAAGTCAATTTTATTTTGCGAATTCGGGTCAAATTGGTGTTATTTATATATAGTGAAAATTCAAAATTTTGAAAAGAATTACCCCTGCTTTGTTTACATAATCTTTTTATATATTTATTTTTAAGCAAAATGATAAATTTTTCTCTGAATGCAATGAACTCGCAAATTTGCTAAAAATTTATCTACAGCAAAAATTTCCAGATTTACGGTATATAATATTTAATACATTTTATATTTTGAGGAAGAGGAAATGAATTTATTTGTTACATGGGCATGCAAACAAGACTGAATTTAGGCCAAAAAAAATTAATAAATAGTTTCTCAAAATCTTGAATTTCATGGAATCTGGTTTAAAACACAAACCAAATTTAATATTTGGAAAGTTGTTTCATGATACTCAGGTGACCTAAACAGCCGCTCTTGATCAATTTGTTTTACTTTTTGAAAAGGGAAAAAATAACTATGAATTTTTCTATTTTTCCTGTATAGTTGAAAAAGAAAATGCCTTTCTGTTATTCCCCTTTTCTGTAGAGATGTCAGGTTCACCATGGCCCGGATACTGGAGAGACATGTTTTTATTAGAAAAACAATATATTTCTTCTACATTTAAAGTATTTTATCAGTTAACTTTTAAATAAATGTTTGGACAAAATAACATTATTTAATGTTGAATACATATTTTTAAGTCAATTTTATTTTGAGAATTCGGGTCAAAATGGTGTTGATTAATTTTTAGTTTCAAAATTTTTAACTGCACAAATGATTTACAAGAAAATTTTTGCAAAACCTGAACTGAAAATTTGCTAAAAAAAAAAAAAAAGCAAAAATTGCCAGATTTACGGTATATAATTTTGAATTTTTATATTTTGAGAAACAATTTATTAATTTTTTTTGGCCTGAATTTACCATTTGTTTTTTTTTAAATATAAATATTGATTTTTATATAGACACAGAAGTGTTTTAATGAGATTGTGGAGATTCTCTTACAAATGTTGAACAAAGACGTGGTGGACCACTGTAAACACTCATTTCATTACTTCCAAGTCATTAAATCTTACGTCCAATTAGTAAGTACAACACACTTCATAAATGTTAGCAATATTACTTTAATCAGTTTATTCTATCAAACTACATCTTAAAAAAACTGCACAAAATGAACTATCTGTTTATTTGTAGGGAACAAAGTCATGCAGTCATATGTTTTTACGTCAAGGCTTCCAGCGATTGATGGGATTTTTAATTGGAAATTCAGGGGAGGTCAATCAGGTAACTTTTATATGAGGAAAAATGAAAAATTAAAAAGAAGAATTGTTTACTGTGTGTCTTTAAATGTGTTATGTCCCTTTGCACAATGACAGTTTACATTGGTCCCTGTGCTCCAAAATTGTCATGAACATAATTGAATGTTGTAAACAGGGAAATTTTCGCCCCCTTTCACATGTACCCCTTCCACCCTATTCACAGGTGGGAAAATTTAAAACGTCTAATTCATACATTGGAAAGATCTCATAATAATTTCTTAAACAAAACTGAAACTGGGTGAATTTAAAACAGATTAACAAAGTTTCGAAGTATTAAAAGTAAAAAAAAAAATGGGGTGAATATAGTTAACATTAAAGTTGTCTGCATATTTTATTTTGATTTACATGTATTTGATAACTTTTCTTGTGACGGCAGTTCTATGGAATTGATGTTTACTTCTTTGAACTATTTCAGGGACAAGACACGCCCACCAGGAGGTGGAGTTCTATTCAGTCACGAGAGTTTGGGAATCTTCACTCCTCACTAGCAATACTCATCTTAAATTGTGATGTATCCAAGTACAGAACAGAAGGTAAGAGCTGCTCCACATCACAAAGTTTACATTTCCATGTCTCTTAAACTTTACTAGAAGCTTGGCAGAATGATTTCATCAAGCATGTACATATGAAAAAAAAAGTCTGTATTGGTCTAATGCATCAGTGAATGGTGTTTTAATTGAAAAAGCTACAGCAAATGTAGTACTTAAGATGTATTTTTAGTATTTCTTTCATATCAAGATTTATTTTGATATTTCCTTCCTGCAGAACCTGGTGAATATGAAATACGCAAACCAAAAACAGTTTTCCCAACAAAGTTTCTATTAATGCCACAAGACATGGAGAACTATGTGTATGGACCAGAATCTTCTCGTTACATCCGTGAGGTATTATAAATGTCATGATCTTTAGCCAAAATAAAAAATAACCCGCTGAATGATTTGTATTTAAATGATTGTTTTATCAAAGTGTATTTCCACACATGTGGTTCTCGATAGTGTACTAGCACATTTCATCTGTGCAATGTCCTGAATTCCAAATCGATATGATGGAAAAAAAATTCAAACTTCAGCCGATTTCATTGAGTTCTTTCAGCCTAAATACAACCCCAAAGATTTTATTCTATTACAGACAGGAAACTTTTTATTCTTCATACGATATATATTTTTCTATGTAGGTTATTCATGCTGTAAGAGAGGTAGGGACCAGTTTAGTCATCTGTGACATGTTAGTGTACTGCAGCTTCTGTAACTACAAGTTTAGTGAGACTGTCCTCAAACATCTAATGGTAAGCTGGATTTGGTATTCTTATCTATGTAAGATTTTATTTAAAAATGTGAAAAAATGACAACTCTGCCTTTTGCTTCAAGTGTACATGTATGTTATAAGCCTCATTACTTTTTCAGCATCAGTATATGACAGCTCCTTCTAATGAACTCAAGCCTGTTTTCTCATTACTCACTGAACTATTGGTAGGTAGAAAATTAGGAATAATCAATAAAGTACATGTATTAGATAAATATTTTTTTTTACATTGAATTAATAAATATACGTTATACATTGTACTTTGTGCTGGAGAATTTTGGTTACTTGGTCATTTAAAATCAAGTCATGTTTTGTGTAATGCGGTCTTCAGCTTTCCTTGATATCTTGTTGTAGATGCTTGAAGATCCAGTACAAGTCCAGCGAATCAAGATGGTCATTGATGGAGTAAGCGACAGCTCTGGCACATCGTATGATGGACTTCTAGGTAAAAACCTAGGCATTTTATGCAAAACTTTTAGAAAAGTAAGTTTTTGAGTGCATGACAATAAAAAATAATTAAAAATTTTTTCCCAGCCACAGTGAGATTGAATCATGCTACAGACAGTAGGCGGTCCTACACCTGTATCAAATCTTTGGTTGGTCTTGCCAGTAAGAGTGCACCAGTCAAAGACTACCTCATGCAGATTCCATCCAAGTGGCAGTGGGCTGTCAACTGGCTCAAGAAAAAGGTAGTTATATTGTATGATTATCACTAATAGAATTCAAAGCACGGTATTAAAATATTGATATGGAACAAAATCTTGAAAATGCATTTACATCTAAAACAATAATATTTTAGCTTGTGGTTATACATGTATTTCATTGCATTTCTGTGTTGTGGTTTTCCAGATGTCTGAGTACTGGGCACCATCCTCTACTTCAGCCATTTCTAATGAAGACTCCAATAGAAAATCTTTCCAGAGAACTTACAGTGCACAGGTACCTGTATAAAGATTTACATGACAGTATCAGTTCTGTATCCATCACAATCTTTAACATTGACTTCATTATGAAAAAAGTGTACAATTGTTAAGAGGTTTTAAAATACTACATTACAGTGAAACATGCTTATAGCAAACACAGTTACTATGAATAAACACTTTTTAATGAAATGGTTTTCATTCCCAAGGGTCTTAAAATGTATTGTGTACTTATTAGATAAAACAAATTATGTCTATAATGAAGCCCAATTTCCCTTCCCTGGTACTTTGTTATAAGAATGTTTTACTATACTATGCACATGTTAAACCCAAGTATTTACAATTTTACATGTAACTTTGTAACTTCACTGTACAATTATTTCACCATTATGTTAACAGTCTACTCTAGAGGAAGCTAAAGCTTTACTAACAGAACTTGAGTCTCAGGAGGGAAGCCCCGAGATGGAGACCAACGATGACGACGGTGACAACACTTCACAACCCAGAGACGAAGTGGATGATTCCACCAGGAGGAAGACGTGATCAACTGTAAAAGCCTAGAGAGTTACCATTCAATCATAGCCCTGTGTCCATTCAAGTTAGCCCTGAAAATCAGACGTTCCTAAAACATCCTTCTACATGAAACATTCAACTATGATGATGTTGAATCTACACTGACACCATAAATACCAAGTTAGATAAAATGTAGATGCCGTAAAATATCTGCATTTGTGTCCTACAAATTTGTTCCAAGTATCTATAGACTGTTTGGCTGCCATGAACAAATCTTTGTCAGCGTAAGTTGTATAATCTGATCCAAATTTTTAAGGTTAACAAAACAACATACATGTATTACTTGAGCACAATTTTCTCTTTAAGTGTCTTAATATAAAAATATCCCAATTTTTTTTACGTGACAATAATCAATGCAAATATATACTGAGTATTCAGCTTTGTCAAGACAATGACCCTAAACAAAAATGCATTGAGATGAAAGCCTAAACAAAAATGTAATTATTTGCTTATACATGTACATGCAAGTTTTTTTGTTCTAATTGTGACTAAGAAGGTTGACAATATTTAAATTCATGTTAAACATCTTGTAGAAAGCGGTGTACAATTGATTTAATTCTAAATAAGACTAATATATCTCAATATGAAGAACTATACCAGAATTTGGAGTTAAGATCTTGCATGGCATTGAAATACTGTATAATCATTCTTGAGTGGGATCAAAGATGATTGTTTCCATTTATTATATCAGGCTCATTACAATCATACTTTTTTTAAAAAAAGTTATGACATTGGTTCAAAGTCAGAACTCAGGGTGTTTGTTGTATATATATGCCTTATATATGTCTTATACAGGTACTTGTTTTGTTTAAAATTGGAATGAAAGAATTGTAAACCATACATAGTCAGATTGTGTATCATCCCAGTTGTTTTTACTATGCAAAAACTGAATGCTATGTTCCTTTCCTTGCACAAGACCTTGGAAAAAATATATTTGTTTCAATGTTACTTAGACGGTTTCATGAAAAAATTCCAGGAAAAGATATTACCTTCCGTGATATTTGTGGACTTGAAAGAGGGAACAAACTTTTTTCCAGGCCCCCCCCCCCCCCCCCCCAAAAAAACATAGTAAAAATGAATTGCAGAAAGGTTTGATACTGATTAAATTAGTTTTAATGATGAATTAATATGTATATTATTATACATATAAAAAAAATTAAATTTGATTTAAATGTAAGTACCATGTTGAATGGATTTAAATCGTACAGTTCTCATTTTCAACAGATTCGGGGTTGTGCACTGTGTGTACTGTTGTACCTACTTTTACATTCATTACACTAGCTTACTTTTTTTATCTATATATATATACAGGTAGAAATTTAGAGAAGATTTAACTTTAAATGAGATCACTTGTAAGGCGTTTGAAAAAATATGAAAGACTGGTTTTATGTAATCTGTGAATTTAAAGCAGTGAAGCAATTTATACCTTTTTAATGTATTCAGGTGCAATTTGAAATTCATCATTTTTTAAATGATTTGAATTTCTGATTATACGAGTACATGTACTTCAATTTCACTTTTTATACAACTTAGTTAATATTTGAAGGTATAGGTTCGATGTTAAGTATTTTGTTAATCTTTACAGTTTTCTTTTTCTCTCGGAGGTGCCATAGCAAGTTTTACATACATTATACATATATATTTAATTGTTGGAAAAACAATTTTCCCCAAGAACTTTGTTTAAAATTCAATATATATATACTTTTGAGTTTATGTGGATCAGATTTACACTTGCTATGTGTACTTGTTTACATGTTAAATATGACAACTTCAATCCTTATTGCACAGCTTATATCCCTATCTTGTAGTTATACGTAAAAGTGCTGTTAATTAATCCCTATTAATTACATGTAAATAAATTGTTGTACATGTGAAACTTAGATGTACATATTCTTTTGTATATAAAATTGTACAGATAAATAAATTGTATAAATACATGATGCATACAGATGTTTGTATTAATCTCTTCAACTCCCCTTTGACAAAAATGGGACATATTGATTTGCATCTGTTGGTATGTTGGTCTACTCAATATCTTGAGAATCTTTGGTTGACAAATATCAACTTTCATACACAGTTTCCTCTAAGGAGTAGATGACCTCTACTGTTTTGTGGTCCCAGTCAAGGATCAAACTAGTCCACACAGTGGAAGATGCAATCTCCTCAGTATCTCCAGAACCATTTGGTTGCCAGTTATTAGTTCCACATCTTAATAGAATACCAAGAATTTTAAAACATAATTAATTATGAAAATGAAATTGCATAGAATCCTATTAGAAGCTTAATTCTTAAGAATAAAATTTACTAAATAATGTCTACCCCACTCTCATCCCTTGGATATCTTTATCTATTGAAAATAAGAGAGATAACCTCCTCTAGTCCAGGTCAACATCATAAATAGTACATTTAACCCTTAAATACATTCATTCATATTCAGCTAGTAGTAAAATTTCTCTTTACAATTATTTGTATATTATACAAATAATTGTAAATAGAAATTTTATTACTAGCTGAATATGAATCAATTCCAGAGATAGGATTTTAAAACAAGAGGCCCAGGGGCCACATCACTCACCTGAGCAAATCGGCTTGGAAAAAGCACAAATCAGAGCATAACTGAAAAGTTTACTGAAAGGGGGGAGGGGTGCTTGAATTTTAATACTACTTGAGAATGCCTTCATATTAACACAGCATATGACTTTACTGTTCTTGATACAAAGATTTTTTAAAAACATTTTCTTCCTATATATAACTTCATAGTAATTTGAATTTGATTCCCCATTGTTTCCCTCCTTACCCCAAAGGGCCATGATTTGAATAAATTTAAATCTTCTATACATGAGGATGCTTACATGTCAATATGACTAAGCATAGCTTTTCTGTTCTTGGGATTTTTCCCTTTTTTTATGTAAAACTTTGATCCACCATTGTGGCCCCACCCTACCCTTGGGGATTATGATTTGAACAAATTTAATTCTACACTACCTAAAAATGCTTGCATATAGATACTAGTATCACTAATCATGGCATTGCTATTCTTAAGAAGACAATTTCTGTAAATATATTTTAATGTAAAACTTGGATCCCCCATTGTGGTCCCACCTTATCCCTGGGGGTTATGATTTGATCAAACTAGAATCTACTCTACCTGAGGATGTTTCCACACAAATATCACTAATCATGACTTTAAAGTACTTGAGAAGACAATTTTAAAAGATTTCCCTATCTAGTCCTATGTAAAACTTTGATCAGCCATTTCGGCCCCACCCTAACCCTGGGGGTCGTGATTTGAAAAAAACTTCAATCTACACTACCTGAGGATAATTTCACATGAGTTTCATCTTTCCTGGCCCAGTGGTTCTTGAGAAGAAGATTTTTAAAGATTTTTCCTATATATTCCTATCTAAAACTTTGATCGGCCATTGTGGCCCCACCCTACCCCCGGGGGTCATGATACGAACAAACTAGAATCTACTCTATCTGAGGATGATTTCACATGAGTTTCATCTTCCCTGGCCCAGTGGTTCTTAGGAAGATTTTTAAAGATTTTTCCTACATACTCCTATGTAAAACTTCGATCGGCCATTGTGGCCGCACCCAACCCCAGGGGGTCATGATTTGAAAAAAACTTGAATCTACACTACCTGAGGATGATTTCACATGAGTTTCATCTTTCCTTGCCCAGTGGTTCTTGAGAAGAAGATTTATAAAGATTTTTCCTATATACACCTATGTAAAACTTTGATCGGCCATTGTGGCCCCACCCTACCCCAGGGGGTCATGATTTGAATAAATTTGAATCTACACTACCTGAGGATGATTTCACATGAGTTTCATTTTTCCTGGTCCAGTGGTTCTTGAGAAGAAGATTTTTAAAGATTTTTCCTATATATTCCTATGTAAAACTTTGATTGGCCATTGTGCCCCCCCCCCTACCCCCGGGGGTCATGATTTGAACAAACTTGAATCTACACTACCTGAGGATGATTTCACATGAGTTTCATTTTTCCAGGCCCAGTGGTTCTTGAGAAGAAGATTTTTAAAGATTTTCCCTATATACTCCTATGTAAAGCTTTGATCGGCCATTGTGGCCCCATCCTACCCCCGGGGATCATGATTTGAACAAATTTGAATCTACACTACCTGAGGATGCTTCCACATGAGTTTCATCTTTTTTGGCCCAGTGGTTCTTGAGAAGATTTTTTAACAAGAGGCCCAAGGGCCTTGAATCGCTCTTCTGATAAATTGTACAATCTATCACTTCTATTAGAAGCCTCCAACTCTATTAGTATCATAGGACCCAAAATGCATCAACTTACAAAGTTTGATAATATTTAGCCAGTTAAGACTGAAGATATTATAATATAATTATCAAATAGCATAAGTAGGTCAAAGTGACCTACCTTTTGATTGGAATTTTCTGAAGAATCAAGATACATTAATTGACAAAGACTGATGATTCTAATTAAATAAGTACATGAGATATTCAAAAGTAGGTCACCATGACCTACTTTTTGGTCAACATTCTCTGAAAACCCAAGATGCATCATCTGACAAAGTTTGACAATTCTAAGCCAATTAGTTCCAGAGATAATTAAATATAGCCATCAAATGTCAAAAGTAGGTCACGGTGACCTACTTTTTGGACGACGTTATCCAAACATCCAAGATGCCTAAACTGAGAAAAATTTGCTGATTCTAAGCCAATAAGTACCTGAGTTATTCAAAAGTAGGTCACCGTGACCTACTTCTTGTTGGACATTCAATGAAACCGTAAGATGCCTCAACTGACAAAGTTTGATGATTCCGAGTCAATAAGTACCAGATATAATCAAATATAGCCAAAAAATGTCAAAAGAAGGTCACAGTGACCTACTTTTTGGTCGACGTTCTCCGAAAACCCAAGGTCCCTAAACTGACAAAGTTTGATGATTCTAAGCTAATACGTACCTGAGATATTCAAAAGTAGGTCACAGTGACCTACTTTTTGGTCGACGTTCTCCGAAAACCTAAGGTGCCTAAACTGACACAGTTTGATGATTCTCAGCTAATATGTACCTGAGATATTCAAAAGTAGGTCACTGTGACCTACTTTTTGGTCGACATTCTCTGAAAACCCAAGATGCATCATCTGACAAAGTTTGATAATTTTAGGTCAATAAGTACCAGAGATACTTAATTATAGCCACAAAATGTCAAAAGTAGGTCACTATGACCTACTTTTTGGTCGTCACTCTTCGAAAACCCAAGATGCATCAACTCACAAAGTTTGATGATTCTAAGCCAATAAGTACCGGAGATACTTAAATAAAGCCATAAAATGTCAAAAGTAGGTCACCATGACCTACTTTTTGGTCGTCACTCTCCGAAAACTAAATATGCATCCACTCACAAAGTTTGATGATTCTAAGCCAATAAATGCCTAAGATACTGAAATATAGCCATAAAATGTAAAAAGTAGGTCATCGTGACCTACATTTTGGTTGACATTTTTCAAAGACCCAAGATACATCTACTGACCAAGTTTGATGATCGTAGGTCTGAAGGTAATCAAAATATGCATTTTAAACAATTTGAAAACAAATGTCGGCAAAATTTAAAAAGTAGGTCACAGTGACCTACTTTGTTATAAATATGTTTTAAGGTTCCTAGATGCATCAAAGTACTAGATTTGATGATTCTAAACCTCCCAGTGTCTGAAATAATGGGATTTAATGTTTTTAAAAGGATAAGTCATAAAGTTCAAAAAGTAGGTCACAGTGACCTACTTTTAAGTTGACATTGTTCAAGGACCCAAGATGCATCAACTGACAAAGTTTGATGATCATAGGCCTTAAAGTGTCCAAAATATGCCTTCAAATCAATTTGAAAACAAATCCCCGCAAAATTTAAAAAGTAGGTCACCGTGACCTACTTTTGAGTTAACATGATGTGAAGTCGTAAGATGCATCAACTTACAAGATTTGATGATTCTAGTCCTTATAGTAAGAAAAATATACACGTTTTTATTAATTGTAAATTTAGGTCAACTTTGAAGTGACCTTGAGACCACGCCCTTTGCCCCAGGGTCATGCCTTGAACAATTTTTAATCTTCAACATATCCTAATCCTTGTATGTAAGTTTGGTGAAAATCTGCCTGGTGGTTCTGGAGAAGAAGATTTTTTAGCAACCAGTACTTTTGGTTTTGTTTTCCTGATTATCTCCCCTTGTTTTAGGGTCCCAACCCTTATTTTAGTATAATTTAATTCTGTTTGTATTCTTGTCTCTCATTGGTTGATTTCCAAAAAGGAACGCATAACATTTTGTATAATCTGGTTTGGTATGGGGACACACCCCCTTGACAACCAGCTGAATCATCTGTATCCATCAATCCCCTCATTTCCAGTCCTTCGGATTCATGAAAAATTCCAGATTTAATGAATGTACCTTTAACTTCAAACAGTTGCTCGATCTTACCTCATGTAAACAAGCATCATGGCTGCTAGATCTATGTATCAGTTTTTACCTCCCCTTGCTTCCCATCACTTCCGTTACTACGGTTGTATTATTGCGCGATAAATTTGAACTAATAAAAACAACACAATTTTACATCCCCAGTTGTTTAATTATTTTAAAATTAAATTATAAGGAATGACTCTAATTCTTGGCCAGATTATCGAGTATAATATGGTTTGGGTCAGTTTACGCTTTTTTATAATCCGCTTTGCGGATTATAAAGCGTAAACTGACCCAAACCATATTATACTCGATAATCTGGCCAAGAATTAGAGTCATTCCTTAAATAAATGGTAGCCCTTGGGCCAAGGATACCCTGTGACAAATTTGGTACTGATTGGCCAAGGGGTTCTTGAGTTATGGCCCATATTCTAAAAAGTTAACGCACACCGCACAAATGGCCATAGCATTAGCTCTTTGAGCCTTTGGCTCAGAAGAGCTAAAAATGCCATTAATTTTTCACTAATTCATAATTATCTCCCCTTGGAAAGGGGCGTGGCCCTTCATTTGAACAAACTTAAATTCCCTTCACCTAAGGATACTTTGTGCCAAGTTTGGTTGAAATTGGCCCAGTGGTTCTTCAGAAGAAGATGAAAATGTGAAAAGTTTACGACGACGACGACGACAGACAACGGACAAATTTTGATCAGAAAAGCTCACTTGAGCCTTCGGCTCAGGTGAGCTAAAAATCACTCATGAAATCAACTGTTTGAAATCTATGTATAAAATGGTGAAAAAGAAAAGCATGCACTTTACAGAACAAATGGACATGTTTTTTTGTTCAAAACTTACCCATTTTTTAGCAAAAGATAAAAAAAAAAGAAACAAGGTATGGATTGATTTTTATCTTGAATTACCTTTAAAATTTTAAAACAAAATTTTATATGTTAAATATAAAGATACTCTTTATGCAATTTTCAGTAAATGCATATCTGAAATTACAAACTTAAAATATACACATACGGCAACACATTCTAACATAAAGCTAACAAACTGATTTGCAACCATACATTTTCAGCAATGTACGACTGCAATAAAAAAAGACAACATTTCTAATTCACAAAAAAAATATCTTAAATTGGTTTATATTGCAGATCTATATATATAAATTTTTAATAAATTTGCAATAAAACAACTATCAAGGAATCTAAAAGCCAAAGGAAAAGTTCAGTTGATTGACACTGTAATTGAAAACGAGAAATGTCAATGAAGTAACTGTCAATATGAGTATGTCATCACTTGAAACATTTAATAACAATTGAATACAATTTTTGGCAACCACTGTTATACCAAATCTCTATGTGTCCTGCTAATAAAAGTAAATTCCATTCACACTATTTCAACCGTATGAAACGTGTTAATGCAATATGATTTATAAAAGGATTTCGTGTTTCTCTCTTGTACACAAAATGCTGAAAATAGATAAAGCTTCAAGGTTACAAATAAACTGTGTAAGTTAAAATCATTCCATCTGAGAATTACACATACAAGACAAATAACACCAATAAATAATGGCTGGACTAGTCCTAGCACTAGGGCCTGGCCTTTAAGCAGTAGATGGAGCAATGCCTCACTATCACAGTGTCCATGAGATGCACTCCTCTCTCACACACACATTCAGTATCCATTTTATCATGTGTGTATTGCACATGTGGGATAGAGATCCATGAATATTTTTTAAGGTCTGTATCCCAGTCATAAAAACATTCAGCATCCTAATGTGTATTAGTTCAAAAGTCAGCAAACTCTTTTGCACACTTTTCTGTGGAAGATATTCTGAGTGGTTCCTCTTCATAATCATCGAAATTGCTGGCATCCCCAGGTCCTTTGCAACTTGGAACAAAAGGGGCGTCTACCTGTTATGTATCAAGATAAGAATAAAGGAACTTCCGTGCACATGAAAAGTAAAATAAAAATTGATTTACTGGTAAAAAAATCAACCCCCCCTCCCAAAAAAAAATTAGGCTAAAACTTGCCTTTTTCTGGTATATAGCAATCCAGTCTGTTGCTGAGAACCATTTGTGGTTTTTGATGTCATTGACACCATTCTTTAAATTGCCGTATCGCTTTGTCAGATCTACTTGTAGTAAGTACCTCAGAAGGTCTTTTAAATCATGGCTAAAATGTGAGGGAAACCGCACCTGAAATTACAGAGCATATTAAGCATAAAATTTGATTTAAAAAATGGACATTAAGCATTTGATGGACTCTATGTAAATGTTGTTGATTTTAAGACAAACCTTTTTATGGATTTGTTTAATTTCTTAAGTACCGGTATACAAAAACTGAAAACACATAAATTTTATGTTTCCATTTATAAAACTGAACTTAATTAAACACCTCCAAAATTGATTCACACTTTTCTAGACAACTGTAATCCATCAAATATCTATTATCTTATGCTAATACTAATTGTGCTTCTATATATATGGACATAAAATTGACAATTTTCTTTAATCCTCTTGTGTTTTAACTTGTTTTGCATGTGATCAATATTGTTAATTAGTATTTTTTTAAGAGAGAAAAATGCCTTTAAAAGTTTATTACCTTTCCTGAAACAATTTTTTCATAGATTTGGATGGGTTGATCTGCAAAGAATGGGGGATACCCTGCTGCCATTTCATACACTAGTACACCTAATGCCCACCAGTCCACTGCTTTGTTGTAGCCCTATAGAACAATATTAAGAATAGGCTTTTAGGAATCATTAATCTTTTCATCATGATCACCAATTTTCCATTCACATTTGGCTTTACATATAATACTTGACAGTTTTATTTTATGAAGAGCATCTTGCCTTGCTAAGAATGATTTCTGGAGCGAGGTATTCTGGGGTACCACAAAGGGTCCATGTTCTTCCTTTCACTTTCTTGGCAAATCCAAAATCTGTCACCTAATCATTGCAAAAAATAACCAAATCTTAAATAAAATTCCACAATTAGTAGTGTGCAATCATTTTTACGAAGCTTAAAATTGTTTCTCCAATGTTTTTTTCTTGATTAATAATGTTAGATTACAGTTAAACATTCTTTACTAGCAAAATGCACAAAAAATGACAACAGTTCATTACAGTTTCACCTGATCTGATTGTACATGTGTATAGCATTATTGGGTAGTATGACAACATTTAGATCAGAAGCAGTTCTGGATGTGTTTATAAGATATGCCCCCTGATCACCCTGAGTGCCCCGTCCTACAGGACAGGATGTGTGCCAGATGAATTAGCCAAGGTCTAAAAGGTGCTTGCTGCATTGTGTCTGCTTTAGCGGCCTGTATGGAAGCCACACTGCTAGCAGTAACACATCTAAAACACAGCTATATATAGATGAGCAAGCAGCGGTGGTGTTGCTGACATGTATAGGATCGATGCAGTGTCCACTGATGCATGAACGATTAACCCACCTATAAATAGCCCCCCTTCTTTCTTGGTGTTTCACTTTAAGAGACACGTCATTCATGCTTCAATGAGATTTTGCCCTGGGGACGATACATCACTCAAAACAGGTCTGTCATAACAAGCTATTTATAGACAGGTAGTATGGCAGTAAGCCAGGCCTCGCAATCATGCCAAACTAACATGCAAACTGATAACAGACTTGTAATAACATCAAGTACAAAGTCAGGTAACCCAAAAATGGTCATATCTGGAGAGGCTTCAGAAAAAAGTGGAAACTAAATATAATTGTATACAATGAAGGCCATATGATCTCAGTAATCATGCATAAGGGTTTCATTATGAATTATTCATTTTTTTATCTTCATTAATAACATCTTTTGGGCATGCAAAATTTAACAAACAAAAAATTACATTGCTATATTTGTAATCTAAACATATGTAAGGCATCTGCAATTTTCTACAACCTACTCTATTTCAAACAGTTTTATTATCACTGCAATGCACAGCAAAACTATATATACATGTATATCTATAAGAACATAGAAGGGAAGAGAAAACATCTACAGTCACAAAGCTCACATAGATAGGGGTTTTGGATGGATCAAATGACTTCACTTTGCATAATATTAAAATACTCAATGAAATTGTTATCTCTAAAGAAATTACATCTCATTCTTTTCTCCTTTCTTTCCCACCATAACCCAAACCAAATTTTGACTCCTATGAATGTTATGAAACAGATTTTTGATCCTACCGTACTTGTTAAAACTTATAGAATATTTTTTATGATTTAGAATGCTAGTTCATCAACTTGAAAAGTTATTATCTCTCTTATTAGTGGTGTATAATCATTTAATGAAATTTTAGGCTTTATAAAAATACACTTTTGACAGAAGCAAGACAAAATTTGATCAGAAAGATTCACTTGAGCTCCTGGCTCATGCGAGTCAAAAGGCACAGGTCTCTGAGAATAACTGCTACTTTTTCTACCACATACACATATAAAATCACTAACTTTATTAAAGAGATATTCTTAAAGAAATCTGATTAAATTACATCTATAAATTTAGTTGAAAATAAAGAAACTATCGGTATCAATTAATTTTAGGCAACATTATTTTATAAAGAGGGCCAAAATAAAATTTTTCTAAAGTACCATTTTTAAGACTGTAAAGTAAAAAGCAATACTTTGGGCAGTGTGAATTACAAAATCTGACTTTATATCCAAAAATCAGTTTCTGTTTAGTGCTATATCAGTCAAATTCAAGCTACATACAATTCAAGCGTGGAAGCAGAGCTCTCTACATGCAAACAAAAAGCGCTATAATAGCAGAATTAGCAGTTATGACAGCCAGTTTTTGATACCATGTCCCAGTTAGAAGCAAAGAAAGCTTACCGTGTACAGACGAATGTCAAGTTTAATGCAACGTTCCTATACATCTTTTTTTTTTAACAACACCACGCCATACCTTTAAATAGCCCATGGTATCTAATAGTAAATTCTCTGGTTTTAAATCGCGGTACATAATATCCAAATGATGTAAGTATTCCAAGACCAATACAATTTGTGCAGCGTAAAACCTGGAATGCGGCTCACTGTTAAAAAGAAGCACAAAATATTGTTATCACACACAAGAAAACTGTTAAGTCTGCCAACTAAACCTAAATGGGGGTTAAGGGGGGAGGGACCAAGATCATCCGGGCTGCTTCTGACGGTTCATCCGTATTGTGTTACTTACTTTCAGATAACCTTGGGAGTCTATAAGTAAATTCTCAGGTTTGAGATCTCGGTATATGAGATCCAGATAATGAAGATATTCAAATGCCAATACTATTTGGGCCGCATAGAACCGGGAATGTGGCTCACTGTGGGGAAAAAAAGCACATCAAATACAAAACACTGCTGAACCTTTTCTCTGTGTAAATGTACTGTCTTTGTAATTAAAGATATTTACTTATAAATATATAGCACAAATATTTCTTCATGTTTAGAACATTTAATGAAGAGAGTTAGTATCAAACACACAACACAAAAAAATGTTGAAATAACAGGTTATGAGGTCTCTTTAATTAAATGAAAAAGACTGTTGAAAATTTTAAATTTGATGAATTATTCTTAAGTTAATGATATCATAAATATTTAAACACTATCAAAAAGGGATGTACTAACTATAATATTGACTTAGATTTATGAAAAGATGCCATTTAGATGTCAAATTATACAGCTGGCTCTTTATCAAATAACAAAAAATAACTTTAAAAATAGGCCGTTTTTGTAGACTTTTTAATGTATTGTGAAATACAAGACATATATTATGCCATTTTAATAGAAAGTGAAAGTAATTCATGTAGTTTATATAATTGTCTATAGCCACAATAAGGACATCTTTGGCCATAGTTTGAAAGTTCACAGTTTAACTCAAAATGATTTTTTTTTCTAATTTGAATGCATTTAAAATAGCATGCAGCCCATAGTATCAGAACTGTAACAATTTAAACAGAATATATCTTACTCTATTAATAATATACATGAATAAAAATATCATGTTTGTTAATTAAAGCGATGATATACTGATGTTTAATTTCATACTTTTTATTTTTTTTTTACATTTCTTTCCAGTTTTTAGTAATTATTAAAGCTTGTATTACAAAGATAAAATAAATGATTATGATGCTCGTGCATTATTTTTAAAAATATCATGATAATAATACAATTAATTGAAACTTTATTGTAGAATAATGCTTCAGTATTTTTGGCACTCAAATTATGATATTTATAGCAGTTTTACCTAAACCGTCCAATCCTCCTCAAATGTGAGAACATTTCACCACCCGTCACAAACTCTAACACCATGTACAGATTAGAATTATCCTGCAATAGTAATCAAAAACATTTACTCTGTAAACTAAGAAAAAGAAATGCATCAAACACATAACTTCTCATAACATTATTGCCATTCCATCATTATTACGGAGAGGATTAAAATTTTTTATCACATTCATTTCCAGATAATTTTCTTTTTCAAAACAGAATTTTACCTTAAAATGGAAATCTAAAGAAACCAGAAATGGGAACTGTATGGCCTGTAAAATCTTCTTCTCATTCAGGGTATGTTCAACTTGTTTTAATTTCACTACCTACAAAAGCAGATAACACCATCTTGATAAGGTCAGAGAGTACCCATTCATTTTTATGGTGTACAACTTAACACATACTTTAGGAAAATTACACTGTCTTTCATGGTGCAATATATTTGTCATATCAGTTTAATGTTAACTCTTTTCCTTTCACCACCTTGCTCATGGTAAAAAAAAAGAGACATCTTAAACACTTTACTTCATAATACAAATTTATTGATCACTTAACTAGATCTCAAAAAGCACTCAGTCAAATCAAATAAGGCCAACCTGTGTGTATAATATACCTTTTGTTTGTCTAGTATCTTCATGGCATAAAATTCTTTGTTGGCTTTGTGTTGTACTAACATTACCCTTCCAAATGACCCTGTCCCTAGGGTCTTAATTCTGTCAAAGTCATCTAGACAAGAAGTGTTCTACAAATAAAACACTTGTATTACAATACAGGCTATTAAAAAAAATATCACATCCTGGTTTTTTCTTATGCTGATTACTGTTTCCTCCTAATATTGCTTAACTTATAAATATTTTATCAGAATTTATGCATACTGTTTATTTTGTTGAACCCAAGAAAAGCTTACTTGACCAGGGTGGTCCCATTTGTTTTGGAATTCTTCCTTGGCTTTGGCCAAAAATTCTTTGACTGAAATTAAAAAATAAACTTACTTATATTGTATACAATACAATACCCCCTCCTAAATGTACTAAAGTCTAAAACATTAATTACAATTTAGTTTATACATTCAATGCAGCATTTGGCATATTGAACCCAAACGGTATTTAAAATGGGATTTGCTATGTTTTGCAAGCAAGCATCAATGTAAAACATTTAATAATGAGGTGCACTTTGTGACAACCTACAACAGCCCCGGTAAACAGGTAAACAGGGGTATGTAATGACAGTACACACCAGATAGCATTTATCAGTGTCCTTAGAGGACATATAGTACACAAAAGAAGCCCTGACAAAAGAGACAGTGAAATAGAGCTGATTTATTATCTTTGTATGGTCTCACAGAGAATGTTTATCACCACTAATCAATGACCACCATAGGATAATGACTGTTTACAACTTCCTCCACCTCCAACATGTAAGAACTGGCATATCAAAGGGTCACTGCACTGAGAGTATCATGTGTAAAAGAGAAAGTTTAATAATGATTTCATTAATAGGATTAGAGCTAAACTTAGAAACATCTGTCATAATACATTTACTTAAACCAATGTATTATAAATTTTCCATGCAAGTTCCCCGGTGAACATGGGAATTTAATTCTTTGTTGGTTAATGAGGTATTAAGTAATAGCTATTATATAATGCTGATTTATATTAGTAGAACAATATAAAAGCAAAAGTGAACAAATTACCCATAAAATCCCTTTGATTTGCTCTTAGTCTCTTAATACATATTATATCACACACATAACCCACCCAGATAAAAATAACTAAAATGCTTGTTACTCAAACTCCTTGTATTTTAATGAAAAATTCTATTAACACATAGTAAATATAAGAATATATATGAACATGATAAAGAGAATCTCAGTTCAACCATTTCTACATAATTGTTTTTTATTCACACTGTATGAAACCCAGGCTTTTTTGGGGGAAAAAATTATCGACTTTGAAACATATTACTTTACAAAAGCTATGGACTAGTATACAAATGAAATTGCACAATAAATCAACCCACTTTATACGAAAAATTAAGTCCTTTGAAATTTTACTTAGAATGTAACATACTCAGGTCAGGGAGGTCAATTCAATCTTTTTGGGGACAAAAACCAGATCATTTTTTTTACCTTTGTAAATTCTGGATTTGTGTAAAATAGGAAAAAATTAATAATCTAAATATAATGTTTGGTGAAAAATATTATTTTCTGAGTAATTTTGATTTTAATCTGATTAAAGAAATTCTTCAAAGTATATTATTTTCAAGCTCAGTTTCTTTAATACGTACAACAGGAATCAAAGGAGAATTTCAGAAGGCAACAGGTGACCTTGTTCTGAGATATTTAATCATTGTCAATGACCTCTTATATGCTTTTGTTCATCCATTTATTACAGTTTGATATATACTTGAAAAATTCACACCAAAATCCAACAAATTTAACATAATCAATGAACATAGCTACATGTACATATAAAACTCATGTTGATTCAGGACCCCTGACATTGTAAAGATGTTGATAAATGGGGTAGTTATAGGACTAAAAGCTTCATTTGACATATATTTTATCAAGCAAATTTGTAAATTATGGAGAAAGTAATCTCCATGTCTCTGCTGTATCATCCTCTGGCTGAATGTTTTAATATTCTTCAAATAAATACGAGGAAATAAATAAATAAAAAGTGACATTTTTGGGGAAGGGGTGGGGATTATTAATACCGATACACTTGAACTTGCTTAACTGAAAGTTTTGATACAGCTATATAAACTGAATTATGTGTAGGTTTTCTTTCTGAATAGCACCTGGTAGTGTATAATTATGTGTAAAAGAAATTATGTCAATTTAGTGCATTGATTTCCATACAATTTGTCATTTCAAAAAGTTGAACCAAAGGAGATTGCATATTCATTTTACAACTTAATAACTGAATTACAACTTTTAATTGCCTATCCAAGAACTAACCGATTTTATTGACATAATATACCAAGCAGGATATCCTAGGGTACACCATCCCTGCCATGACCTACATACACATGTACTAACCAACAACACAATCACACAATCAGATTGTTGTAATGCTGACCACATTCCATCACTTAAACTAATGACTTCTCTCAAGTGTTGCCGATGGTTGCTACCTAACACACAGCTTACACTTTCTGGTGCCAGTAAGATGCCAGCTTCAATGATAATAGAACTTCAACTACTTAACATAATAAATTTGTCTCACAATTCTTCAGCAACTACTCCACAATTCTTTTCATTTCATGACAATGACTATCTTTCTTCACATTGTTGTGCGATCCTGGACTTATAACAAGCATTTTATAGAAAGGTATAAAAATGTCCAACAATTCAATAACACCTCTATATTTAGATTTGCTGCTAAATTTAGATCTCTAGGGCTGGCATTTTTTTCTATTACGAAAGAATACACACTAAAAACATACCATTTTCTGCTGGATCCCCCTTTTTCGCTGTAGCAGCATTTCCCATTGTGTCAAATACGTATTTTGAATGTTACACAAATGGGAGAAAATGCTCTTGTTTACCGATAAATATCACCTTCTTAGAAATCAAGTTGCTTCGACCGTCCATGAACCAATAACAAAATTCCTCCTCTCTACTTCACTTAATCAGAATTTGAACACTATAAACAAATACGTATCCCTAAAAATGTCATAAGCTTTCCGAAGGAACAAATATACAAATATAGTTTAGATCCAAGAATCAGGACAATACACTTTAATTATACGGTAATATTAGCAACAATAAAGGAACTACATCGCACGCGGATGAATAAAAGTCGCCATGTTAGAGCGATCATTTATTTATGTCAGAGGCACCGTATGGGGATTATCAAATAAGCAGTTTAAAAAGCACTAGAAATCATTTATTCAATCGCGCGTTCGTGAATCTCTGGTCTCAATACTAATAGACCTAGATCCTCTAAATATTGTCATTTTTACTGACCAAGAATGAGACAGAGACAGGGATTCGAATGACCCAAACAAGTTAAATAAAACACTGTAAAATATAATCTATCTAACTGTCTAAATAAAGTTTAGCATATAAGCTTATCGTTTCAAACAATATATTTTTTCTACACCATTAAAGAAACTGAGAACATAATCATAAAAAAAACCTGTATGAAAATAGATTCAGAAGATAATATATGCAATTAAAACATCATTTAAATATTTTTTTTAGAGGATGAAAATTTTCAAACTAGGACGACATCTGCAACTCAATGATAAAATATTTCAGGGAGTTAGGCTACTGACATAGAACCTGACTGTCGTACGCCGCGCGCCGTTTAGATATGGAGACAAGGACCATTAGCCATAACTGATCATAGTCTTAGCTTGAATTCTACACACAAATTCCAAAACATCCAAACATACTTTCTGGTAGTGGTTCATAATCTTGAGTCATTTTGTTGTATGTATCGACCAATCTTTCAAGATTTACCGCCTTTGAACTATCACCATCTTTCGTCTGGTCTATCGCGAGACTTTCTGGAATTTTGCGAGATTTCATTTTAGGTGCGTTCCGTTCAGACCCAAATAGGAAATATCTTTGTTAAAATCTTTATTTATTTCCCAAGGCACTGGTGGATTTAGAGGGGGCAGTGGGCCAGGGTATTTTGTGTCCAATAAGATTTAAAACATCATTTTTTTCTTGGTGTGTTGTGGGCTCCTACCCCGGTCCCAAACGGTCGGGTCCCCTTTTTTCAGATATACCTGGATCCGCCACTGCCAAGGCGCCACTTAAATATTGAAAGAAGCGTATAATGGTGGGTTGTTTTTTAACATTTCAAAACATATCCATGATATAAGTTCCGTTTTCCTCTGAAATCATACAGTAGCTTATATGCATTATTTAAACTTATATGGATATTGAATAATGAAAATAAAGAAATTTTATGCTTACTTGGAAAATTTATTTCTGAAAATGGTAAAAGAACCAATGTATAAATACATAGACCCTGTCATCATGTTTATGCATGCTAAGCCATTTAAATTTATACATGTATAGCATCACATTTTTGTATTGTTTTGTGATCAATGACATTCTTCTGGACACTTGTATTAAGTATGATCAGTGACACTGAGAACAATATTATTATGTAACTTGGTCATTTATATAACTGTTTAAAAAAAAATTAATTATATTGTTATAAAAAAAAAGAGAGAATGTTTAAATTGCTGAAAATGTAAATAAAATAATCAGTATACAATGATAAGTCAGTATTTTGTGCTAAATGGGGTGCTCAAAGAATTGGTTAAATGTAATTTTTGCCCCCTCAATTAGAGTAATATTAAATATTTGTGGAAACAAACGACATTTTGACTAAAACTAGAATTGTTAAATTTCGATTATAGTAATCAGACAATTAAGTCGTTGTTGGTTAAATGTAATTTTTGTCGGACATGCATCAAAATCAGATCTTAAGTCTAGAAAAATATGTCTTACAACTAGAAGTAATTATGCAGTAAAATTCGATCTGGTTGTGGAATTTTAACGCCTTGCTCAAAGTTCAATAGATGTATCCAACATGCGATTCTAAAATGTGTACCTCTCTACAATTTTTCTAGGTGTACTGATAATATTTGAGACCTCTGTATATATATTTATATATGTGTGTGACCCTGGTGCTAAATATGACGTCTACACAAGGTGTCAATGTGTATAAATCATCAGTATGATAATAGCGATACTATAATTATGAATGTATATTAAAAAGCACAAGTATAAAGAAAGGAGTTTTAAAGTTCAATTCCTAGTATTAAACACAATCACGCATTTCGAATTTAAATAAAAATAGAAGGAATATATATATAACGGACTTTCTAATCAAATCCTCAATTTCAGATTATTTTTGGCAACGGCCAAAAAAAAGCATTTTAATTTTTCATTTCAATCCTTCTTTCATCTGTCTATGTAGCAAAAGTTCTGCGAGGCACACATTTTATGATAATAATTGCCAGTTAGACGTAAACCTCCAAATCCCCAGCACAGCACAGTTCGTGGAATGATCTTAATCAGATGTTTAAAAGCCCGAGATGCTTGGATAAACACAGTTTTGTGCATCAAAGAGTTTCAAGCTATTTTTACCATCCGGCATCTAAATTTAGCAAACAAGAGCCAAACAAGACACATTATAAAATGAAACCTTGGAAGAGACCTACCGTCCCAGAGGTACAAACGATGAAGTTCACGACGCATCCGCTCGTCACGAATTCGAGTGGACTCCCTGGTATTGTCATACTTCCTAAAACTTAACACATGATGCCCCCTCTCCCTCCTAAGAGGGGGTAGTTCCCCACCACTCCCTGTCCTTAATCGGGGGTCAGTATTTGCCCTTCTCTTCTTCTCTGAGTCGAACAAATCGAAAAATAAGTCCATTTTTCGATTATCGACTCACTTGAAAGTTTTAAATTTTCACAATTCACTCAGTTTCCAAACTTTCTTTGTTAAACATGAAAATATTCCTCCGCCTTGTACGAGAAGGTATTTTTAGCCTTTAAATTACAGTAAACACGCTAGCCAAGGCTTAAAAATTGCATCTTGGTTCAGCCATGTGGAACCGACATTCTTGAGGTCCCTATCATGAATGACAAGGGATTGATGACCATGTGCTGTCACAGGTTTGCCTGTACTCTAAGACTATGAAGTGACCGTATCAGATTTCAGCTGGGTTCCTATACAGTCGCTCCATTAATTGCTTACAGCTATAATAATAAGAAATACTTCGCCTTTGGTGAGAAAAGGCAAACAATTCGATATGTCATGCACGTCTGCTTGTGTTATATATGGAGACAATGGTTTATTTTGGGAATAACATTTGGATTTTTTTTTCTCGTCTAATTTATGATCCCTGTCTAATTTTGTTTGATCATGCAGTTCCTTGCACATCGCTTATTCACGTATTTAAAAATGCTTTCTGAAATTCCAATACAGCTGAATGAGCAACGACAGAAAATAGTCTGTGCGAGGAAAAGACATGCAAAATAATCGCTATATATTGATGATTAGACGTTTAGGATATATGTTAATTAAAACTTACTGTGTGCTGTACACTTAAATATTCATGGAATTCGAAATGATTAAATTACTATATATATCAATCAAGCACATTAAAATTTTATTTATGTTTTTAAACTTAATCAAACTGATCAAACAAAGAATCCATGTTCCATTGTGTAACCAAATACAATATGTAGTCAGTGTAAAGTTGGTTTTGGGAAAAACTAGACGTTGCCTTTCATAATGTTTCCATCTTAATGTCATTCGAACGACTGACTGTCCAAATGTACAACCATTGAACTCTACAGTGGATAAAATTCCTATAGCTTAAGCATAACCCTTAGTTTTTGGACAATGCTTTGCAGTAGAACTACTCCATACACGTTTTACTCTTCAGACACTTGACGCTTGGAGCATTTTCTTTAATAATAAAAAAAATCACATTGTAAAATTTATTTTTTCTTTTTCTATTTATTTATAAAGAAAAAGTTTGAAACGTTAAGTGTCTGTGGGGTAAAATAGTATGAGCTAGGGTGTGCCTGTGTTATACCCCTCCTAATCATAATGATTTGGAAAAGATGTCTGTTTAACTTTTTGTTGTTTTCACATTCTTGACCACTGCCTCAGAACAGAATCAAATAGGAATGGAGAAGATTGTTAAAATGGAACTATGTTTTCCTTCATGCAAAGATGATTACGAAGAAAGAAAATCAAAATATAAATAGAAACTGCCTTTATCAGAAGTACTTGTTCAGATAAGAAAATAAAATGGAGTTGAAGCTTTTAGTTCCAAATCTAGATTTAACTTTCTTCTATTTGTGGCGTCTGTGGTTAGAATGGGACCAAATAATGAAAAAAAAACTTCATCCTTTTAGATTACAACACGTTTTCATATCAAATAAAGACCAAACTTGTAAAAATTCCAAAAAGCATAAAACAAGTCTGATTGTAGAAGGGTTTCGTTTATAGTCTCCTTGTTTCTTATTAGGGATATTCGCTAAAAGTTTAAACACCCACATTGATTTAACATTTTAATTCCGATTTATAGTGGAAAACAAGTTGGTATAAACCAAGAGTAAAGTAGATTTTATGTACGTTTATACACACACCTCTTCCCCGCTGTGCTCTTTATACTTAATACAGTATGTAAAACATTGATCATATGACTTAAAGAATCAATTAATTAATTCATAAACATTGAACAGCAAAGTTTAAACTTTTTGCATATTTTCCACTCAAAATCATATAAAATATCAGAAGAGTTTTAGATATATATTCTCACTGCCCTCCTGACCTACCTTGAATCCCCCCCCCCCCCCCGCTGGAATTTTAGTCAACGGTTACAGAATATTTTGCTGTTTGACAAACAGAAAGAAGAAAATGACTCATCCCTGTTAGAAAGAGATTCAATTATACACCAATGAGAACAACACAGCTCTCATAAAATTACGAGAGGTCCTCTTAAATTTATAAATGACACACGCATAAGAGTTATATCGCTTATATTTATAGACAATGCTTTAAATCAGTGTGGGCACGTCACAGTATGTGGATATTTTAAGTATTTTTGCAAGAATCTCTCTCTCTCTCTCTCTTTTTTATTTCTTATTGCATAATTACTTATTCCTAAATCAACCATAATGACTTCAAAAGAGTGACCTCCCTTTATAATACATAATTTTAATAAGGAAATAGCATGACTTGCAAAAAAAAAAAAAAAAAAAAAAACAGGAAAGGAAACCGACTACTGGTAGAGTAAAAAATCTTTTTTCAATCCCATACAAATATGAAACGCTCTCATTTAATTTGGTATATACCACTGATATGCATGTCCATGTAGATCATAAGCATGTTCAAGTACTCAAAAAATATTTCTTTTTTTTTGACAAATCTATGCGTCCCAAAGACGGTTTGATAAGGCACACCAAACACTTCAAACTCTACTTAAACTAAATACATTAAAAATTATTTTCTGCATCCTGGTATACTCTAGATAAACACACACAAAAAATTAATCTCGTATATAACATGCTGAAATTGTCTATATGTAAATACTTAATTAACTAAAACTCTAAAACTTACATTGATTAGGTTTATCCTTTCCTTTGCTCATGATGGCGATATCTTGAAAAGTATTTTTTTTTTTGGTAAAAACAACTATAAATGATAAAATTTCATCACAATATCACACTATACACAGCAATACACAAAAGCACCAAGGTCTCCTTACAAACAAAACCAGATTATGCAGTATTTTTTTCAAATATATTATTAACCACCAGTGTATATTATAATCGGCTAATCGGGTGGAAAAAACTTCATAAATGTCGCAGATATTTGGTAGTTTCATTAAAGTCCACTAAATCTGCCGAATTAGCAGCACCGTGTGTTTAACACGTCAAAGAAAACAAAGGACTAACTTGGCTGGGTAAATATACGACTGTTTGGTTTAAACCATGAGTAGGATAACGCTCTTTATAATCATTGCAACACAAGTAACCGCCACCAACTTAGGAGACTTTGAGCAAAATGCACTTGTACGTAATTATCATATAGAGAGCTCACTTTGGAGCTAAGAAAACAGAATGTTTAACACCATGCAAATACTGACAGCATCTGACTTCCACAGATAGTAAATATATATATAGAGATGTAAACAATGTAGAACTCTGGGAAAATCAAACAAGATAAAATATCTAATGTTTAATATGTCAGATCTGTGTTCTACACTACAACCTGTGTACATAAAACATTGCAATGAGCCAAACAAAATTCTAATAGGCAGACGCATTTGCAGGTTATAGGTATTTGAGATCTGAAGGGCACTTTAACTGTAGGTGTTTGTAATAAAAGCTTGTATTATAAAAAAGATTGTCTGGCTCTTTTCAAGGTGGATATTAAAAAAAATCCCCAAACTTCAACAAAGAGAACATTTCTACACACACTTCTCCAGCTCTGATAATCAATTTCCACAAAAGTTTGCATCATTTTCTTTGGCTTCTGCTATTGCAGTACAAGGTCACGCACACAAAAAAAGCATCTGAAATGTTTTCGACGACGCTCGCTTTGTGCTATGATGAAATGATACCACTATACCTTTCCAACTGTTGGCATGAATGTGGTGAACTTTTTTGATGAGTTGATGTTCTATTAAGCAAGCAGAACGCCTTGACCTGTAACCTTGAATGGGTTCAACTGAACATGCAGCAAATGCAGGATATAAACGCAAACTGAGATTGTTTAAGGAAACACTCAACCTTTGACAAGTCTTTTGATTTACTATTTTTATCAATGGAAATGGACAGAATTTCACCGAATAACAATACAGTTGTACCTACCAGGAAGAAAGATTTGAAAAAAAAAAATCAACGGTTTTTAGACATGAAGTAACGATTGCATAAGCATAGAGGATCGAGCTATAACTAAACCGAGCAATGAACCCTTCGGTTATGGACATATCCGTTAGTACTTACAAAACTCTGCCTGCTGCTTGCTGTACCCCTCCCCGTCACCTTTTGATGACCCGTCCTTATCCCCATGCTTGCTGTCCTTGTGTTTCTGGCCGAATATTTTGTGAATAATATCCGCCATCTTGGATCTTCTTGTAATTCCTGTAAGCCAGAAGGATACCAAAAAATTAATTATTGCTTCAATACGTGTCCTCACGAACCATGATAAATTTGCTATAGTGTACGTTTAAGAAGACTTGGAAAATTAAAACCTATCTACAAACAACATTTGTAAAATAAACTCGGTAATCATTTTTAAACAACTCTAGATAAAAGAGTTCTTGAATTGGCAACTTGTACTAAAAGTTTGATCATTATCTAGCATTTTAAGATATTGTCAATTCAATGTGTTTATTAATCATGTGAATGCGTCTCCTTTCTCTTGCTCTAGATTTATTTGCCCATGGGGACCAATGACACTCAATAAAATTACAACTGAAAGCAATACAGTATAGAGAAACCCGTTTTTTAATTCAATGAATTGAACATGCGGAATCTTGTTAAGACATAATATAAGCCACGATCTTTTACAATTTAATCTTTGATTGAAACAACAGTTTTTTTCAAGGTCAAAGATCTTTAAATAGTGAACTCAGTTTTAAACTGCTTTATAATCTCTAATAAACAGCTTTCTACACATTTACTGCAACCTTTAGATTAGGACTTAGTGTACTTGTACTGACAAGGGAGAGAAAATGTTGCATCTTTATGTCAATCGAGTTCAACAGAGTGTAACTTCCGGTATGAATTATCTACAAGTCATGCTTTACACGATATTTTTGTTATTCAATAAAAGTCAAATTTGTACTTCGTTTAAAATGTTGAATAAATTGGGTGGCAGTAAATACAAAAACTTAATGAAATGTCATGTTGCAATTTTGCACGTATTGCCATCAACAAAATTTTAAATTTACAATATGACATTTGATCCCCAATTCCAAAATTTCACAATTTATTGAGCATACATTGCTTCTAGAGACAGAAAACAGAAGCTTTTCAAACAAAAATT